CGAAAATTGAAATAAATTATATATTAAATCAATCAAATTATCTAAAATTGTAAAAATTTATATATATATATAGCCTAATATACATTAAAAATATTGTCTCCTCCATGTAACGCTTGTTCCCGTAGCCCTTTAACCCCAGACTAGTCCCACAACAACTGGGGCTTCAGCAGCCCACTTGTCAGCAGATAATCCTGATTCCTCAGCCTCTCATTGTTAACATCCGAGACATCCGAGCCAGCATTACCATAGTATGGGACACTCTCATACTGAAGTAATGTAGGTAAGCATTAAGGAAGCTTTGCCCACGATCCCCACCAAGCAGCTTTGGCTGCGAACCAAAATATTGTTGTATTTTATTCCAATTGAGGACTCATCGGAACTATGGAAAACAACATTTGAAATCAATTCGAAACAGCTTGCATAAATAGTTATCATTCATCCAACGGATCTACAGCGAGGACACTGGGATGTTATTCGGATGAGAAAAATGTGGCCGAAAAATGGGATTGTAAAGAGAGGAAAAATAGTAATGATAAATGGAGTGGACCTGCAATGACATATAACGGACATACAAGCTAGCTACAAGTGCCTTGATATCACACAGTCAAGTGGTATGATAAGGAGGCAAGGAAGTTCTAAATATCATCAAATGACAGGGAAAATCATGAAGAGCCAGCTCAATGGGAAGGATAAAATCAATGCCATAAATGTATATATAGTCTGTCAGTCACCAAGTATGCAGCTGGCATTATAAGATGGACAAGGGAAAACATGGAGACTACTGATGCAAAGACTAAGGAACTCCTCATAATGCACGGAAATTTCCACATCAAGTCTAATATCTAAAGGCTATACACCAGCCAGAAAGGTGAGTGGGTTTGAAAGCCACTATCTTGAACGAAGCATCAGAAACTCGAAGCACTTAGAAATATATCCACAGAAGGGATAAAACCTAACCTCATATGATTGCATCCATCTTCGCTCAAGTACCACTTGCATTAACACCTTGCGACGGATGCTTTTAAAAGCGAGTTGCTCCAATCAAAACGATGGCTGATGCGGTGAGGAGAGATTTTGAATATGCGAGTGAACCAGCGATGTACGGACATGGACGATTGAAAAAGGAATGGCTTCTAATTTTGTCAACGATGGCGTCGGATCGAATAGCTCGGAAATATTCAGCTAACAGAATCCAAATTAAGGACTAAAATTTGAGAAAATTTTTTAGACGTGCAAATTTATATCAGACATATATCATAATCAAAGCAACTTCAACTTATTTTACATTATTCAAGAAATATTTTATCCTAATAACCAATGCAATGTATTGGATTAGCTATAGGTTGACAGCAATAAGCAAAATGCAAGATAATTAAATATTATGCTGTAAGAACTGTTGGTAGGTCTTAAAGTGATCTTATGATTACAGTAGCTGAAAATACAATTATTTAGTTTTGTTTTGAAATTTGCGAAAGGATGGATTTAATTCAAGGGTACGGAAGTGATAGTGATGGGAAGGTCGATGAATTGGATGGTTCCGATGATTGTAAACCGATGTGTTCGGCCGAAATCTGCAGATCTTTAGCGATTAATAAAGCGAATCTCGTTGTTGCACCAACTGTATTAACTAAAAATGATATTGGTGGCGTTTCCTGTGTTAATCCCTTCGTTAATGAAATTAAATGCAATCCGAAATATGACGAATTATTTCAGCCAATTGTTGGTTTTTCTTTATTTTTTAAAACGTATTTGCTTGATATATTCTTTTATTTTTATTGCGTAATGCGTATTTATAAAATATATTTTTAATGATAATTTTTCTAATTCTAATAAAGAAATATGTTTTAATATTTAACAGTTTTTGTAATTCAAACGTGTTTTAAAGTAATGAAGGCTTTTGATATATAATTAATTAACGGTTCAACTGATTTAATAATATTAAAACCATAAATTATTGATGATTAATTTAAAATAGTGAAGTGATAATTTAAGTGACTCTAGAGTGATATAAGTGATTACACCATTCATTTACTTGCCTTCGTTGTGCCGAAGAGCATGAACTTTTTCTTACTAATACTTGCTTCCGACATCATAGAAAACATCTAGTAAAGTGGAACTCCCTGGGCAACCAACACTTCAACAAGATTGGTTATATCTTAGTCAGTTGGAAGAGTTCCGTACTTGATAGTCATTCCTATCGGGAAATCTTCATGGATCTGACCATGTTATGGTTTGAGCCAAGATCCACATAAAGTTGACAACTCGCAGAAAACAGCATCCCCGAAGATCCTTCACTATCTCAGACTAAAAAGTTTGGGACAGTGAGCGCATTTCAAACCAAATTATTGAAACTTCTCAATGATAGAAATATCAGTGATTTTTCTGGAACGGCAAATGAATACTGGTGCAAACTAAAGCAGTGTTTTCAAAAGTCTTTCACGCTAGGGCATTCTAGTAGGAAGTGCTTTAGTTGGGTATCGGAAGCAACTGTCCAACTGTCTGAAAAAACTCGAAGCACGAATGTCAGGTGATCCTGACTACCGGACGCTTCGAAGATTTGCAACGAAAGCAGCACGAGATAGACACATCATTATTGTAGTGACATGGTCTTGAGAATGGAGGCGGCCGCTCGATTAGACGATAATAGGAAACTATTCCGCTTTCTTCATAAAGCAGCTATATTTCGAGGAACGATCAGTGAAATGGTAAGGGACAGCAATGGCGTGCCAGTCAAGAATATTAAGGATTCCTCATAAGATGGAAGAAATTCTTTGAGGCCAAACTTAACCATAAAGCCCCATCTGTTGACCCTCATATAGCTGATATATTCGCCAAACCATATGCTTGCAACTGCGAGTCTCCAACAGAAGAAGAATTCGAAATAATCCCTGTTATCCATAAGCTTAAAGCCAATAAAACTTTGGGAAATGGTCTTCGGGCTGAACTTTCTTTAAATATCATAATATCGTACATCATCCTTCATAACCTACCTTCAGCAATTATACTCTCTAGTATGGAAAAAAGAAATATTACCAGATTATTGGAGCAAAGCAGTTCTGCTCGCAATTCTCAAGAAAGATGATAGGTATCGAGGAATCAGCACATTAGACGTCTCAGCGAAAATTTTTGCTTCCCTGCTCAACAGACTTAAGGAAATACGAGGCAGCAGGATGCACTCTAATCAAGCTGGTTTCAGACCAGGGCGCGATTGTGCTCACCAGATATTCATATTTAAGAAGGATGTTGAAACATCGCTTCAGATATTTGCAATCCACTGTCACATGTTTCATCGACTTTGCTCTACCTTTAATTCAATTGATAGAACGGCGCTTTGGAGGGTGATGGAGCGCGACGGTGTTCCAGAGAAGATCATTCGACTTATAAAGGCATTTTATGAGCACAGATCTATATGTGTATATGGGGACAGACTCCTTCGAAATAAGAACTGGTGTCCTTTCCCCTACATTGTTCAACTATGCGATAGGCTGGATAATGGACATTGCTTTTCGGCACTCAAGAGATCCCCAAATCAATCCAGAGCATCGTTTTACAGATCTTGAATACGCTGATGATGTGGTCCTTTTTGCTGACATTTATGACAAATAATGCTAAATAACGTGTCAGCGAGAATCGGACTCAGGATCAATGTAAGTAAAACTAAATAAATAAATAAACTAAATAAATAAATGAATAAACTAAACAAATAAAATCTATAAATAAACTTTTCATCTTATGTGCAAAAAGCTGATAAAATTCCTCTTTTTATAAATTCATTGCCGGTTGAAGAAGCTTTCATTACCCGATTTTAAATATCGTCGGTCTACTCTAATACCAAATGGCCAGTCAAAGGACGACATTACAACTCGGATTACGGCAGCTAGAAATGCATTCTTCCGATTAACGAAAGCTTTATGGAGTCGTCGTGAAATCACCATAAAAACGAAGGTCCGAATCTATATAGCCGAGATTCGTTCAATCTTGCTATTGGTTCCGAGACATAAGCAATGAGTATGGAGGATATTTAGAAGTTATCTGCCTTTGACCACTCCTGTCTAAGACATTTCACAGATCCGTCAGGCGGATATAATATCACATGATCGCATCCACCTGCGTTCAGACCACTTTTGCATTAATAATGTAATCATCCGACTGCGTCGCTTGGAAGCGTCACCTTCGCTGGTTAGGGTACGTTCTTCGTCGTCCACCACAGGAGTTGACGCATATTTCGTTACTTGCTAAACGCTGTGATGTGTGGCATCAAAAGCGAGGTGGGCCAATCAAGACCTGGACTGATACGATCAGAAAAAATTTTGAATGTATAGATGAACCATCAATGTATGGACTTAGATGATGGGAGAAGAAATGGCTTCCATTACTATCGACGATACCATCAGACTGCTCCCTTAGAACCGTTTTACCCTTGTAGTCAATGCAACCAGCCTACCCAGTAAGGAGAGCTGTTAGAAGAAGAAGAATAAAGTAAATAAAATGGGAACTTTTTGCCAAGGACTTACTTATCGCCTGAACTACACATGAGTTATCAACAGGACCCAGTTTTTTAATGATTTGCTTCTGAGATACGATCGAATCCCTGCTCGAAATAGGCGAGTGAAAACCTAAATGATTAATAATATTAATGGTTCAATGAAATGACAAGGATTTAATGATTTAATAGGCTAAGAATTTATTATTTCCTTGGTTTGATCCATATTTAACGTATTATTTTCGGCTTTTGGTTTTTCTTCTTTATTTTAATAAATATTAAGTTTTATCGTCAAAATTTCTTATTTTGCAAATTTTATTAAAATTGTATCATTTGCAATTGTATTTTTTAAAATTGTATTTTTTTAAATGTTTTAATTTTAATTGGTATTGTTTGGATATTTATTTGTTTAATATTTTAATGTTTTGTGAAAATTAAGTTAGCTTTTTTTTATTTTCCATATAAGGTTGGGCCGTCAAATCCTTTCAAATCTGCAAACCAGTCGGCTCCAAAGAATATGTTAACTGGATTTATTGAATCGGCTCATGTAAATAGCGTGCAATTTGAGCAACAGATACGTTCCTTTGACACTTTGGGTTATGCCCGTGATCCATCAGCCGAGGGTAACAATTGCTTCATTGGAGATTTGTATAAAGTTAGTTTTTTTTGCTAAATTTACCAATAAAAGATATTAATAAATAAATGAAATATATATACACTATAAATTTTACTGTTAATTTTCCCATTATTTTAATTATTTTGCAATAATGATACTAAAGAATGGTACTAAAATTACTAACATTTAAGGCAAAAAAAAAGCAAGGAGCTGGACTTTTTGAGGGAGAAAAAACTGGTGGTGAAAAAAGAAAAAGACTTCGCAATATGGATTCAAGTGATGTGAACAATTATACCGGTAAATTTGACTTTTATTTTTTTTCGCTTTTCGATTTATGAATTTCTTAAAATTGTTTATTTATTTATATTTTTAACCCACTTATTCATGCATTCTTTAGGTCCTTGGGCCAAATTTGAGGATGAAATAACAATATCGCGACCTGATCCTGAATTGGCGAAAGAATTAGAAGAAATCGTTAAAAAACGCCAAAAAAATAGCCGTGCTGGTCGTAAAGCTGCTGAACAGCAACAGCAGAATATTTTTGATGAAAGTTCCACACTGCATTGTAATTCTTTCATTTATTTTTGTAGTTTTTTTAAAAATCAAGTAAAAAAAAAATTTGTTTCACATTTTTTTTTAGTAAAACAAGAGCAAGATTATTTGGGGCGATCATTCATGCATGCTCCTCAATATATTGGCGTTAATTTACGTGAGGATCATATCCCAGAAAGATGCTATATACCCAAGAAACATATTTATACATATCGAGGGCATACTAAAGGACTAAATTGCTTGAAATGGTTCCCAAAGAGTGCACATCTGTTTCTCAGTGCTTCAATGGATACTAAGGTGATTTTTAAAGTGATTTTTAAAATATAGTAATTGTGCTGTTATTCATTTACAATATTACTTTGAAGTTATACAATTTTGAAGTTCAAAAAAAAAATTCAAAATTACGAGGATTAGTTGAGAATTTCTCCTTTTTTTTGATTAAAAAGTGAGTATATTTATTTTTTTATTTTGTTTTTTCTTTTTTTTAGATCAAGCTATGGGAAGTGTATGGCAATAAAAGTATGGTTCGCACATATAATGGTCATAAAATGTCTGTGAAAGATATCGATTTCAATAACGATGGCACTGAATTTCTTTCTGCTTCTTTCGATCGATATATCAAATTGTGGGATACAGAAACTGGTAAAATTTTTCTTGGCTATTTTGCATTAATGGTTTATAATTTTTTGGATTAAACGAACTGATGAAGTTTCTATTTTGATTTAGCGTAGTCTTTTTTCTCTTTTGTCCTACTAAGATTTCCAGAATTCTACTGGGTTCTGCGCGGTAGAGCCATTTTTATCTACTGCAAGATTATTTTTATAAAATTTTATTGTCGAAGTTTAGACTGATTTTTGCAAAATTGATTCAATTTTAGGTCAAGTGAAAAACCGTTTTCATACAGGTCATATTCCTTTTTGTGTGAAATTCAATCCAGATGATGATAAACAAAATATGTTTCTTTCCGGAATGCAGAATAAGAAAATATTGCAGTGGGATACTAGAACTGGAGAAATTGTGCAGGTGATTTTGTGTTCTTGACATTCGGATATTTTTTCGCAAGTGCTTTTATCAATTCAACGAATATTTATTTTTCTTAAAATGAATTCGAATTTTTTTGTGACACATTTTGTTTCATTTCATATATGAGCAGGAATATGATCGTCACTTGGGCGTCGTAAATTCAATCACATTCTTTGATAAAAATCGCAGATTTTGCTCAACATCCGATGATAAATCAATCCGAATATGGGAATGGTTGGTTTTTTACTTTTTCTTTGTTTTTCTTTATTTTCATGAATTGAAAATGGGAAAAAAATTGTAGACATTATTATTTGCTGTTGATCGCTATGGTGATCTTCTTGAGTTAAAGTTATTTTCAGGGAGATACCTGTAGATACAAAATTAATTCAGAATGCAGGATTGCACTCAATACCTACGATGACGAAATCACCTACTGGTTGGTTCATGACTAAATATTAAACTGGCGAAAATTGAAAATTGGCGAAAATTAAAAACCAAAAGTTGATCATTCAAATAATTATTCAATATATTTTTTCGTTTTCTAATAATCTTTTTATTGTTTTAGAGAAATGGGTAGTTGGGCAATCAATGGATAATCGAATCGTATTATTTCAGTTAATTGATGATAAATTAAGATTCGCAAAAAAAAAAGCTTTCAAAGGGCACAATGTTGCTGGCTACGCGTGTTCAATTGATTTTGCGCCAGATATGAGGTATACATATGTTGAAAATTACTTTAAAATTATAGTAGAATTTGGGCTCACTTTTTTAAAGCGTTCGTTAGTAGAATTATTTTTCCTGTTTTCTAGTCTTAATCTAAATATATATATTCGAATCGCAGCCAAAGCCTCTGGTTTTCGGGTGGGGTCCGTGAACAAGGTTTTCTTAATGCTTACCTCAATATGAGATAAGAATCGCATACTAGGGTCTAGGATCATGCCCGCTCGGATTAACAGAATTGACATGTGGGTTACCGGAACAAGGTTAGTTGCTGTGGAACCAGGGCAATCTGGCATTGAAAGGGCTATTGGAATCTTACATGGAGAAGACAAGATAATCCGGAACTGGTGAAATGCTACTATAATAGATGACATAGCCAAGGGGATTATCGTCTATATTAACTGCTCTCTTAGTTGGAGATGGATCGGTTTGCGCTATACGCTATACTCTAGATCTAGAATGTTCAGCAAGATGAGGAAATAAGAGAACGCTATAAGCTGGATATTGCCTTCCAATATCTCCACCAAGCAATTGAAATGAGACAGAAAATCATGAATAAAATAGTTGTAGTTTAACCATCGACCGACCACTGAGGCTCCATAGTGCAACATCAGATAATATAATCGAAGATGCCAATAGAATCCTCGCAACAATTCCTTTGCCACTATAATAGAAACTAATGAATTGCTACTCTGGAAATGCTGAGGTAAAATCAAGAAGAATAATAATGCCATATGCACATGGAAAAGGAGGCTGTAAAAGATAGTATGCAAATGTAATGATAATGCAAAGAAGTGAAGCCGATAGAACTATAGAAGGGTGTGAAGAATACAAATAATATCCGGATGCTGGGAAAATACAAAAGCCACACCTCATCAGAAACTCTCGAAATTGCTAAACAAGGCTCAGGCTACTAGGCTAAGGTGGTACGTTAGATAAATATAAATGCCATGTTCTTTATGAACCATCCATGGCGTATTCTTGATGCAATAATATGGTAACAACAGAGCCACCAACAACGGAAGTTATACAATAATTTATAACATCAATGTAGAGTGGCTGAAGTTCTAAGAACAATTCACAACAATATCCCAGAGCAAGAAGAACCAGCTACCATCATAGTCAACAGCGACTCAAAGTAAAAAGAACTACATGTCCGAATATGATTCACACCTTGGACGTTAAAAGAATAATAGCTGTTCATACCTAATGACATAGATGAACCAGCTGCTTGTGGCAGTCTCTCATCCACACTGGTTAACATAAGGAAGGACGATCATGAAAGATTGTCATAGAGGAACCATCCAATTAGTGGTAGTAATCTGGCTATCCACAATATGAAAAAATCCTGTCGGGCCATCATAACCATCAAACTTCATAACCATATGAGCCAATTCATCTAACAGCTTTCACCATTACTGATTAGGCTGGCTCCAACGGCTATAAGAATAAGACGTCTCCAAGCTTCCCAGTCCGAGGCCATCGCTAGTAGTAATAGAAGCCATTCCCTTTTCAATCGTCTAAGTCCATATATTGCTGCTCCACCTATTTGTTCAAAATTTTTCCTGATCGTATCAATCCAGGTCCTCCTCGCTTTTGACGCCAACCATCACAGGATTCGGCAAGTAGCGAAATATGTGTCAACACCTGTGGTGGACGACAGAGAAAATGCCCTAACCAGCGAAGGCGACGTTCTGTGATATTATTAATATAGGTGGTGTTTGAACGAAGGTGGATGCGATCATGTGATATTTTATCGGCTCGATGGACTCGTAAAATATATCTTAGAAAAAAGTGGTCAAAGGTAGATAGCTTCTCAATATCCTCCACTCTCACTGGTCATGTCTCAGAACCATATAGCAAGATTGAACGAATTACGGTTATATAGATGCGGACTTTTGTTTTAATGGTAATTTCACGACGGCTCCATAAAGGTTTCGTCCGGATAAACGCATTTCTAGCTGTTATAACCGTGACGCGGGCTATGATATCGTCTTTTACCTGGTCATTTGGTATTAGAATGGACTTGAGGTATTTAAAATCGAGCACTTCCTCGACCAGCAATGAATTTATAAAAAGAGGTATTTTATCAGCTTTTTATACATAAGACGAAAAGGTTTTCATTTTGTATTCATTAATTGTATACATTTTGTATACATTAACTCTGAGTCCTATTCTTGCTGCAGTTTCTGGCACGTTTTTCAGCATTACTTGCATTTCGTCATAACTGTCAGCAAAAAGTACTACATCATCAGGTATTCAAGATCTATAATACGATGCTCTGGAGTGATTTGGACATCCTTTGAGTGCCGACAAACGGTGTCCATTACCCAGTCTATCGCATAGTTGAATATTGTAGAGGAAAGGACGCAGTCTTGACGTCTTATTTCGAGGGAGTCTGTTAGTTCCCCATATACACAGAGCTGCGCCGACGTACGCTCATAAAATGCCTTTATGAGTCGAATGACCTTCTCTATAACACCGTTACATTCCATCATTCTCCAAAGCGTCTTTATATCAATTGAATCAAAGTCAACCGAAAATCGATGAAACACGTGACAGTGGGTTGCAAATATCTGAAGCGATATTCTAACATTCTTCTTAACGTGAATATCTGGTAAGCACAACTGTGACCTGAATCCAGGTTGATTAGAGCACATTCTGCTATCTCGTACTTCCATAAGTCTGTTGAATAAAAGGGAAATTTTCGCTGAAACGACTAGTAGGCTGATTCCTCGATAATTGCAGTATGTCCTATCACCTTTCTTGAGAATTGGAAGCAGAATTGCTTTGCTCCAATTATCTGGTAATATTTCTTTTTCCCATACCAGATAGTATATTTGTTGAAGATGTGTTATGAAGGACGATGGACAACATTTAAAGAGTTTAGCTCGATATGAGCTGAAGTGCAGTTCAAAAAGGCATGGAAATAACATTAAACCCCAGACACCAACTGTTATAGATAAAGCAGTCGCTGCAGACTCAAATTCCTGCAGAGTGTAAATAACTTAGATTGACTATAGGAAAACCTACTCAGTAAACCTGCTCCTCTACACGTGAATATGTGAATGTCTGGCTTTGTACAAAGTGACCCTAAACACGTTCATTGAGAGCTCATAGTTCATTGGGGCTGTGAAAAACGAAATTTGAAATCAATTCGAAACAGCCTCCATAAGTAGTTATCAAGTGCGACATATACGAAGTCAATTGTCTGTTGTTCCGCGGGAGAGTTTGACCAGTAATGGTGAAGACTTTAAAAAAAAAAAAAAAAAAACTAAGCGATAGGAACGATAGGAAGAAGGAAATGAGAAGTCATAGAAGCTAAAAGAGAAACTAGAGAAGATATGGAGAATAAAGGCCCAAGTAATTCCAGTGATAATTGGAGCACTTGCAAGTGTGACCTTTAAACTAGAAAAGTAGCTTCCACGAACAACATCAGAGATCCCTATTCAAAAGAACGCAATGGGACGGCAGAAACAGCTAAGGTACCTCGCAGAAACCTCAATCTCCAGGGCCTCCGAGGTTGAAGATGATTATCCACATAATCATCCAGTGAGAAAAAATTTTCATTCAATAAAAGCTTTTATATATATATATGTATACACAAAATCCTGAGATTAATTTGTTTGTTCCAGTTTTATTACATCTGGTGATGCTGATGGAAAAGTTTTTATATGGGATTGGCGCAACCATAAGACAGTCGCTCAGTGGAAAGCTCATGATGATTGTGTAATTTATACCTTATGGCATCCTCATGAAGCTTCTCGGATGATTACTGGAAGTTGGGATACTTTGATTAAAATGTGGTCTTGAACTTTTTTTATTTGGATTTTTCCTTTTAATGATCTCTTATTTCTTATAAATCCTTGTCGATAATTGTAGTTCATTTTCCTTTTATTCAGCATTTTTTCAAATCATTTTCCAGAGAACAAAGAAAAATTTTCTTTTAATTTCACTTTTTCATGGAGGTATTAAATTTATTATTAAACTTTATTAAATTCAACATCACAAATGTGGACTTGCGAACAACAGGTTATTCTCATTTTCATCAAAAATTTTTTATGGAATTTGTATTTATCTGTTGTATGTTATATTTATTTATGAGTTTTTGCTGATCAGTTATTTTTACAAGCAAATCTATAAAAATTTTAATCCCAAGATTTTTTTATTTTGGAACTTATTTGTCAAATATTTTGCTTTTTTGATTTTATTTTTTCCAATTCGGTGTACCTAAAGAAATAAATTTTAATGGTAGTGAAGAGGTACGTTTTATGTTTTAACGTTTTATGTTTTAAACATTATCTTTTTTCAGCAAAAAGTGAAAATGCTGGAATTTCTCGTTTGTTTCATTTCATACATTTTTATTTCTTTCTTTTGCATAGGGTAAATTATACTGTTTTTTTCATATATTTTCATAATAATTTGAAATGAATATTGCTATCGATAAGAAATTCAGAAATTGCGAAGTACACACATTCTAAAAACTGTCGCGATTTTATATAGTTCATTGTGAAGGTTAAACTTCGTTGGAATCGAAGTAAATGCGATTACACCAAACTTACTTTTGTCAGTGTGGTGCAAGTGCAATTATTCCATTTCCTTGATAGTCCGAGGTAGTCGCGAAAGCAGTGAAGGCTGGAATACGTTTTAAGACTCGTATTTTCGACAGTGCAATTATTCCATTTTCTTTCGGGGAAGTCGGGAGAGCGAGGAAAGCAAAAGTCTTTTGTTGAGAAATCTGGAGAGGATGGTAGGTTAGGAAGATATCACCAAACAGGAAGTGCAGAAGATGTTAATCTGAAAAGGGAGTTCGATCTAGCAGTTTCAACCTTATCAACAAATATCTGTTATCGAGGATCGATAAGAATTGGTTAGTATCATCTCAGAAAAGTGCGTCGGTTCTTATTAGCAAAATCGTTTAATGCGACGGATTCAACTTAATAAGATATCAGCGAAGTTCAGCGAAGAAAAGAAAACTGGATAAGGAGGTAATAGAGCAATGAGATGTTGGTGATGGCTTAACAAAGTGCAGTGGATGGGGTCCAACAGGAGCAAAGATGGCCTCAAGGATGAAATTTGCATTCACCTTTGATAAAAAGACTTGAATATGCAGTTGGAGAAATTTTTAGAAAATCTTGCGGCATTGGTTTGGGCTTTATTTTGCAGAGCGTTAGAATTTAACGACTAGCCGCACCATTCTTTGAGAGTAATTTCAGTGTTACTATTATTATATGGCTCTACTGTGGTTGGTCGCTTTATTGTTTTAAGAGACTATAATAAATTAACCCCGGTAGCTGGCTCCTAAACGTAATCTTCGAGTGGAGTTCGGGTTTCAGTGTTGAATTCTTTCGCCTTCCACAGCAAGTAATCCAGTCCTCTGTTATTGTACGGAATTCTCTTTTTCAAAAATAAAACTCAATAAAAGAACATATTGTATTCGTTGTTCAGCGATGCCTTCATCCGTCAATGCACTTTTTTCTTTTTCCTGGTCGACACGGGTGCTTCCATAGCTCTCAGCATTTTTTCCAGAAGGCTACATATGGAACTTGAAAGTCTAAAAAAAGAAACGCGAAATCACGCTGAGTGGTATTTGTTGTATGTGAATTGAACTTGTATAAGAATAAAAATAAGTAGTACAAAAGGCAATTTCGAGGTGATTGAACGAATTTAGGATTTATAGCGCTAAGTGATTTAAATTGGAATTATGATTGCTCTGGAATGGTACGAAATGCTTCTTAATGCTTTTTTTTTCGAGTCTTTAGAACGGCTTATGTTTTCATTTCTCTGATCGCTGTAAATCTGCCAGTTTTTATGTGCGGTTTCCAGTTTGAGTTTATATCAGCTGTAGGCTAACGTGGCAGTCAAAATTCGCTGTCTGTTATAAAGTTTCTTGTCTTTGTTTTGTTTTCGCACACTTCCCAGTATATTGCTCCGTCATGCTTATTTTATACGAAAGTTCTCATAAATTTATTATCTCTTTTGTAGTTGCGGCATCGCTCTAATGGGCTTTCGCGTGACGCATTTGCTTCGTTGTTCTTTTAAAGGTCTATGCGCAAACGAATCGTCGTCAAAAGTCCCAGTTAAATATGCAGTAAAAGAACGTGGACGAGTTGCTTGGTGGCGGAGAGCGTATGCAAATTTTTTTTGTGGTTTTTCATTTTAAATTATTTAAATGTTATTTTTTATTTCCAACTTACTTAAATTGCATTCATTCATTCCAAATTTTGATTAATTTATCAAAATTTTTTCTTTTGATTTATACAGCGTTTACTAGCCGATCATTCGTGGATGTTTTGAAGTTCTTGTCAAGGTCTTTTGTAGATTTTAAGCCACGTTTAGACGTTTAGATATGTGCTTCCAAAATCCAGCAAGTAGCACCGTAGGCTGCATAATTGAGAATAATTTACTTGCCCATTCACCTCTAAATGGTAAAACGATAAGATTTATGTAATATTTTATGGGATATCGAAATGCCTTACTTCACAATTTATCAAATTTGATGAATCTTGATGATCTTAGAAAAAAAATTGCGACGTCGAAGGCATTTAAAATAATCTTATAAATAATCCTTTGCATATTTATGGTTTCAGTGTATACAATGCGCCAGTTGTAAGTCCACTTGAACGAGGGGTCGATTTCACATTTCAAGGTTTTTTTTCCTAACTGTTTAAGTGCTAGTAAATTTCTGAATTTCTGATTCAAAACATTAAATTAATAATTGTAAAAAGTATATTTGATTTTCAGATGGTCGTCCAGTTTTTGCTACTTCACAGCGTGATCTTAATAGAAAGTTAAAACAGATTGAATTAGGGGTAATTTTACTCAGTTTTCATTCTTAAATTATTTTATGGCTTTTTAGATTAGATGATTTAGTTTAGTTTTTAAACGTGATTTTTCGAATAAAAATGGAATAATTGAAGTGATATTTTATTTAAGAAGTTCACCTTCAGTGCTTTGGTTTATATATTCCTTATGTATTTTTCATTATTTGTTTTCATTTTTGTCTGTTTATCTATTTAAAATACACTTTTATATATTTATTTAAGAGCTTACGAATCACCTTTAGGGCTATGTGTATATTTTTTGTATATTTTTTGCTTCCGGCAGATGAAAGGCCAGCATTTTATAATTCACATTCGATTCGATTTAAAGGAATTAATTATGAAAGTTTTCTAGAAAAAAATCGTCAAATTATTGGAGGAAATGAAAACAGCTGAAATACTGTGGCTGGAATCCGTTGAAAGTGAGCAACAAAAAGAAGAAGAAATCAATCGATGGCGACCTTTGGAAAAGGGGCAAAATGAGCTTTAATTGGCTTTTTTTCGAAATTTGCTATGCGAAATTTGATGTTTCATTAATTTTTTCACATTTTATTTGTTTGCTCGTAGCTATTTTTTTGTCACTAATCATAATGGAAACTGATTTGAAGAAGAGTGAACATAAAAGTTGAAGTAAAAAGAAAATACTTATTGCTTCAATAAATATAATTATTAGTTGTAATTTCTTGTAAATAAATATTTTGGAAACATTTTTATGAAATCTAATAGGTGAAAACTAATTTTTACTTGAAATTTAAAATATTTTTAAAAATACTATTTTTCCGTTGCAAAAATTTAAATCCTTCTTGAAATTTTCCATTAAAAGGTAATTTTGAATTTTGTGTAATCATTTGTGATTGAAATTATTTTACTAAAATTGCGCCTGAAAATTTCTGTTAAATTCGTGTTTGATAATTAATTAATTAACAGTTTCAGGTATGAATTATTTTTTAGAATCGCTTTATAAACTATATGGTTTGGAACTTTTTGAAGATGTAATTACACTACTGGAACTCATGTCAAATGAACTGTCACCAATGAAGGATGCACACGCCGCAAACATTGCTTCTATCGCTGCTGATTCATACTTTCAGTGTGATAAATTTGTGAAGAGTCAAGAGGTTATTTTTAAAGAAATTTCAAAGAACTTTATAAGAAATCTTTCTGCTATTTGCTGGTTGAAATATTTCTTTAGCGCGATTTGTATTCTTGCCATGCTGGCAATGATATGGAAAATTATCGGCCTCTTCAATTTTTTACTTACTTTTTTCTTCTTTTTTACTCTAATTGAAACTAAAATTCTGGCAACATTTTGATTATATCGTTTGCAGTCGTATTATCGAGCAATAACAATCACAAAGTCAATAACCGATTCAACTGAAGAGTTAGTAAGTCGATCTACGTCGATCGGTTTTGTATGATTTTTGCCTCTAGTCAAGTTAATTTCGAATTTTCCCAGCGATATTTTTATAATCGCTATTTTAGAAATTTTCTGAAGTCGAATTGAAATATCGTTTATATCGGTGTCTAATAAAACTGAATAAAAAGGAAGAAGCAGTTGGCGTTTTAGGAAGTATTCCCGAAGATCTAATGACACCAAAGGTTTTTTTAAAGTTATTTCCATCAATCTATCTCGCGCCTTATTTACGAAAGTTTTCGTAAAATGTTGCCGAACTATGCAAGCAATAGCTACCATAATCTCGTAAATCAAAAATAAGATTCGAAATGGCAGTCCACTTCAGACCACCTAAAATCAACAATTCAAATCGACAGTTGAAATCTGTGATTTCAAATTAATTACGTAAGGAATTCGAGAACATTAATAGGTCAACCCTGACCAATAGTAAGTGACAGCTAGACAAGAGTCGCCAAAGTACCAGTAAAAAAGTAGAGATTAAAGAAGTTATAATATATGACACCCTGTAAAATATAACCATTTTTGACTGCTCAATGAAAAGGTAAAGATCCGACAGATAAAAGCCGACAGGACAAGAAATGCTGACCAATTGAAAAATGAAGTTTCGCTGTTCGTTGACATTGGTAAAAATTTTAAAATGATTTTGCAGGTAAAATCCGCTTTGGCTCGATTACATGCAGTCGTTGATGTTCGCGATGCGAAATCAGGCATGAATGAAACAGTTGCCAATTCTTTGTTATATCATAGGTATATCATTTTTTTAAATTTCAAAATTTTTGGACTGTCAATATCCTTAAAAAAAATCAAGAAAAAATTGGGCTGTTAAAATTTAAGCAGATATTAGTAGTAAAATTTCTTATTTCTTTTTATTATAATTCTTTTTCAACAATTTTCACAGCATCATATATGAGTTTCTGAAAGTTTACTATACTATTTAATTATGGCAGCATTTTCATTTATCATAATATAAAAAATTCTGTTTTCTCTCGTAAAATTTCGCTAAAAACTGGCCTTGCAGAAAGGTTATAGAAGATTGTCCAGAGGCAATAGATTCACTTACCCATGTTATACATGGCGGGATATCATCACCAGTTACGGTTCACTGGTCTGCAACCATACAAGCATGGCTAAATGCGCATGCAGCGATTGCAGAAAAAAATTTCTCTAAAGCCATCACGATTTTATCAACAGTGGCTACAAATAATTCGAGGTAATTATTATAATGTTGGCGTTATCTTCGATTAATTCATTTGATTAATTCGGTTTCATTTATGTCGAAGAAATATTTATTAATTTCCCATTATAAATGATTGAAAACTCGAAATTTTTGTTCTTGTTGCAATTTATTTTTTGCTAGAAAATAAATTTTTTTCAGAATAAATCTTTTGTTGGGTAATTTGCATTATACTCAAGGTGGACGCCAAAAAGCCATGGTTTATTTGCAAAAAGCTCATCATTTAGATCCGGGATCTTCGAATTCAATGGATATATTAGCTTATATCTATGCTCAGGTTAATTTAATTTGAAATTGAATTAATTAAATATAAATATTTTGTATAATGTTTTATGGCATTTTCTTTAAAGGAATCCATTATTATTAATTAAACTTTTAAACAAATCGCGTTTACATTCTAAAAAAATTTCCATAGATTAATGAAAATTATATTTATAGTGGGGATTTTGGCACCTAAAAGTATATATATATATTAAAAGTATGTATAATCATGTAGATTGCAAGAAATACTTTTTTTTAATTTTAGGTTTTATTTTTTAAATTCTTGACACATTCAAAGCATTTGCAGGATCAGAAAATCAAAGAACTTGAGAATTTATCAGTTAATCTAATGGAGACTCAAGAAAGTGTTGAAGCATATATTGCTTACGCATTACTCGCTAAATCCCAGAAAGATTTCGACAAAGCAATTTTTTTTGCACAAAAAGTTTTCTTTTAATCATTAGATGGTCAAGTTTTTTTAGATCGAGAATAGAAAGAAATATAAAATATTAAAAAAGACTTAAGGCCTCTAAAATCTCTAACGTAATGCAACCAATGGCGATGTTACTCAAAGCGATCATTCTGATGGAGCGTAAAAGATTCGATGAAGCAATCCAAATCCTTCGTGATACAATTGTTTGCAATGTCAATAATTTTGATCTTTATCATACACTTGTACAAGCTTATCTTATGCAAAATAAATTACATGAGGTAATTTTCCCACAAATGGATTTTTTGATAAGAGAAATTTTTTTGAAATTTTTTAATTTATTTAGTTATTAATTGAATTAGAATTAATTAGATTCAAAATTACTTCTGATATCTCGTAATCATTATAATCATCTTAACTATTTATGGCAAATGTTTCCTTAATTATAAAGCGTATTATGTAAATAATCAATGATAAATGATCATATTTTAATTTTTAAATTACAGGCTCGCTTGGTAGCTTGTAACTGTCGCATCCAATTGGGCCATGACAATGCTCGAGCACTTTATCTTTGCGCAATCGTTGCCTCTAGAGAAGGGAACAGCTTGAAAGATGCTCAAAAATTGCTGGAGAAGGTTGGTTATTCAATTTTTATTTTACAATGTTAGAAATTTTTAATTGAGGGTTCGAAATTTTTTATAGGTTTTTTCTCATTAAAACCCTATTTAAGGCCATATCATTATCAAATCATTTATTGGATGCAGTTTTCCTACTTGTTGATCTTTATGATCGAACTCAGAATTACGAGAAGGCCATTACTTTGTTAAAAAAACAAACTGAGGTAAAAAAAAATTCCACATTTCCCAAATATCCTAAGTAGAAGTTTATGAGCGAACTTGAAAATTTCAAAGCTAACGGAAAAATGCAATATTTACTTTTTATTATCCATTTAATTTTTCTTCATCTGCGTGGAGCAATAATACAATGGTTTTTACCATTTTTTTTCAAGACCACAGTCAATAGTCGGCTTCATCGTCTACTTGGTGATTTTTTGTCAAAAACAAATCGACCAGTTGATGCTTGCTACCAATATAGGTAATTTTGCTGAATTTATATTTTGCAATATTAACATTTCTACATAATATAAAGAATATAAATTCATATTTATAAATTTGAAGCATTTAAGGCATTCTAGGCACTGTCCTCAAAAAACTGGAAATGTACAATAATTTATCTGTGGCGCTAATTAAATAAAAATGGCATTAATTCCATTGCAGATTGGCAGTGGATGGGGACCCAAATGCAGCGAAAGCTATGAACGCTTTAGAAGCCATCCCAGGAATAAGCACACCTGAAGGCCTTGCATCAGTTATTTGTCCTGCAGCTCCAAGGCGAAGAGGAGTCGCGCATTTCGTAGATCCTTCTACGCCAAACAGCGACAGGAATTTATAATTCTCTTATTTACTCTGTTTACTCTATTTTGCTCTATTTTCTATGATCCTACTGCGACAAATCAAAATTTTTCGAAATTATGCGGTAAAATCTCCCTGATATCAGTTGTGAATTGAAATTATGCTTAATCATTTCTTGAAAAATTTCAATAAATAAGACTGATTAGTTATAAGATTATACGTTACTAATCAATATAATATAATCAATTATATTTCATAAATCTGGACCATGTGGCCTTTTCCTTTTTGATGAACTCTGTGTCCACGCATTCATTAGCCCTTTCGTCTGCTTGCCCACATCAAAAATTTTTTTCTCATATGGGTCCATTTTTCCACCTAATTCATCACTGTTCACTGCTTTGGTTAAATGATTTCCAATTCGCTGAACGAATGCATCTAACAGCGCCTTAGCTAAATTTAGCCCAATTCTTCCTGGAATATCATAAATAAGCAAACACAGTCAAAAAAATCTTTAGTGGTATAATTATTGCTCAATTCATAAGAAAAGCAGTAAATAAATAGTATGATTTTGGATAATATTACGATATATAAAATGTAAATAAAAAAATAAATTGATTAAAATACCTCCAAAAAATAAGGCCAAATGTTTGCCAAAGCGATAATAATGTGGATGTAAACGTTCCAAATCAACTTCGCCAGCACCTGCGCGAAGAATTTGCTGCATATGATCGTTGAATGGTTTCGGCATAATAACCTATAATACATCCATAAGAGTTTGAACAGAAAACGTTTCTGACATGCTAGTGCACGCTACTCTTCTATTTCTCCCTTGACCACCGTCCTCGAACACAAACCGGGTGCGACCGCTTTATCAATCTGTTGCTGATTTTTGGATTCTCCACTTTTAATTTAATTCCAACATAAAAAAAAGATATGAAAAATTTTTTTGCTTAAATGTGCACAGGCTAAAAACTGTTCAAAATTGCTTTGAGGGGTTCTTCAACGCGCTGGCAGGATTTCACACTCGCTTACAGGTTTATTAATTTGAAGGGGAAGAGTGGAAGCTAGGCTGCCCGCCCCGAATGGCAAATCTGTTTCAAGGTAGTTCACGGCAAGGTAGTTATTTAATTAAATAAGGAGAACTTACATTTATGCAGAATGCCTTAATTGAGAGTGTCATAAAGAAAGGAACGTCCACTTTCAGGCCACTTTCCCTCATCCAATCGGGCAGGTTCGCAGCAAATAATTCGAGGATCTCTAAAACAAACACCAATCACCAAACAGCGCTCGTAAAAAGTCCCCTTTTAAATTTAATGCAACTGCAGTTCCACCGCCTTTAACCTTTTGGTGTTTCGCGAGAGAGTTGGCAAGTGATTCGCGAATAAACGGCGACTATGTCGTCGACGTCGTAGTACTCCTCAGCGAATTCTTCGGCGCGCATCATACCTTCCGCGCGCTTCAATTTCTTCTAAAATTACATAATTTAAGAAATATTTTTGGAGAAACCCGATCAATCAACAAAAATAACGAGTGTCATCTGCTAAAACTTTTCGAAAATTATTTACGCGAAATTGTTCGCGCATTGCTAAATGTCGTCCTTCTCCCACTATGAAGTATTCGATTGTTCATGGCTGTTGCAGAAATGGGACGAGGCGGTAAAACCAGGCGGGGCTCATTTAAAAAAATTTCTGTCCTCGGGGCGCTTCGCTGAAATTACCCCATTTCACTAAGGGCGATAAACAAAACTATATTCTTTATACTTTTTTATTTTTTAAATATTTTGTTTCTTAAAGTAATAGAAATTTTTATACGAAATTGAAGGAATTCTTCGAAGAAATTCTTTTTTTCTTCAATTTTAATGTTGCGATTTGGTAAATTTGGTAAATTCGGCAGAATTTTACTTTGTAAATTCGATAAATTGTTATTCTACAATTTAAACAAATTAGTAAATCATAAATTATTATTTTTTATTCTCATTTCGGTCTCATTACTTACTTCGCAGTTGTTTCGCCTATATTTCGATTCTCCATCATTTCATTTCCACCTCTTTCCCCTCAATCCTCCCTCCCACCTCTCGTTCGGGCTTTTCCCACTTATTTATAATTCCCCTCAATCCTCCCTCCCACCTCTCGTTCGGGCTTTTCCCACTTATTTATAATTCCCCTCAATCCTCCCTCCCACCTCTCGTTCGGGCTTTTCCCACTTATTTATAATTTCATCACATGAAATTTGATTCTTTGCAGATATACTAAACTGTGATATGCTAAACTGAGGGAAATAACTGACACCTAAATTATTGCAGCTATATCAAATCTATTTTTGCAGACACTTCCCTTGTTATTCGGAAAGAAATTAATTCCGGATACATTTCACGATTATTTCCATCGAGAATAAAATGAAGCAAAAGAGTGAAAGTTTTATGCGAAAAATGAATGTAAAAATGTATGTGAATGTAGAAATGTAAGTTTTATCATTCGACAAAAATGATATTTAATAAACTACATGGATGCATAAAGATATTCGTTGTACAAAATAATGTAAATGATAATTTTTGATAATAATTGAATGTTAATTTTAACAAAAAAAGGATACCTTCGGTAGGGAACTTTGAGGTGAATTTCTTGCCTTCGGCAGAAATCTTACCTGATAGGGTACCATAAATCACCGGCAAAATGGGCAGTACTTCGGTGTTTTTCCCTCTCCTGTCTTCCTGTCTTCCCATTTTATGCTTTCTTTTCATTCGTAAATAATTTATGCTCTTGCTTCATTGTTGTTTTTGTTCTCTAGCAACTCGTTTATTTAATATTTTCTGTCTTTGTTGTCATAAAATCTTCTGCTCTCTCCGTGTTCCCTCCCACCCCCATATTTTTTTTTTTTCTTAAAGTAGATGAGTCCAGCAGAATTAGATAAAATGGAACTATCTAAATGTTTTACGGCCGATCTGATATGGAAAATAACACTAAGGATTGGGGGATTTAGGTCGATTGCAAATTGATAGTCTCTTCTTATTCTTTCCTTTGTGCCAAGTTTTAATGTTAACACAATGATCATTAAACATTTTAATTTTAAATGTCCATTTAAAAACAATTTTTTAAAGAACAAATAAGAATCATAATTTCCAAAAAAAATGATAAAAATGCGTTGAAATATTTGCGAAAATATTTTAAATTTAATTTTAAAATATTATTTTATTGTAATTATCGTAATTTTCGAAAATAATTCCATAAAAATATAAATTTAAAAAAAAATTTACCATATTTTATTGTTGATGATTTGTTATGAATTGTATAATTTTCAGCGAATTTCATATCACACTGAGTGATCTCTCTAATTGGTGCACACAAATTAGTTTTACATTGGCAACGTGAAAGACTAGAATTGTACGCTTGTGGCAGATAATAAGAATCGCATCCAATAAGTTCATCATCAACACATCCGGTGATCCAAAATGATCGTGGACCCCTTACTTGTGCAATAATACAATAAGAAGGTGGTGGACAAGTAACTACATCCGGTACACAGCAATTATTCGAGTGCAGCAACCAACTGTTCGTTGATATTAACTGTCCTTTACAATACCAACACTTCAAAGATGTGGTATTTTTCACGATAACAATGAGAAATAGATAGGAGACGAACCACATAAACGTTTTGATTTTAGGCTAATATTCCTAAAATTAAAAGGAATTGGTGGAAAAATGAAAAAGGCGTGGGGATCCTTTTAAAATCGGTTGGCTTATGGATCTTAACCAGGTTGGGAAAAAATCCAATGTGACAAATAGTACAGTTAATTAGTCCGATTTTTCTTGATTTTTATTTCGATTCAGCAAATGATCAAGTGATTTAAAAAAAATTAATAAACCAATTTTAAAAATAATTTTTTAAATTTTTTTATTTAGCAAGCAGAATTAATTATTTGACTCACCTCCTCGAATCACATAACGTTGAAACTGCTGAGCAAATAAATGATTAACGATGCAAATGCAGATTTTCGCGATATTTTAGTCTTATTTCACCTTTGATATTTCTTTGAAGAACTAAACTTTTGCTAAAAAAAATTCTTAAAACTATTAAAAAAGTTCTATCAACGAAAAAAAATCATTCAGAATGAGCAAAAAGATGATGACAAATGAAAATTTTTATGAGGAAATAGGCGCAAATGGGATGCGTCGATACGGAAAGAAGGAAATGGAATTTTGGTGGATGGATGGATATTGAATATGAGAATATCTTAAAAAATAAAACATATTATATTTCAAGAAGTTGAATGTTATCGGTAAAATTTGAAGGAACCACTCAGAGTCGATCCCACAAACGATGCATTAAATTCAGCGATAGTCAACGGCTTAACCCTTTAACCCTTACGGAAAAAAAATCGGAAGTCATAGATTCTTCGAAAATTCGCTTTTTCTAAAAAAAAACTCATTTTTAGGGTCATAATTAATGAAAACATGGAAATTTTAAGTATTTAATGCTTTATCAAATGAAAATAATTTCTTTTTTGATAGATTCACTTCGATTCTCAACATTCGTCTGGCAGTATTCATTGCATTTGGCCCACCATCCTACGAAGAGATGAAATCTTCTATGAGAACGAAGCCGCGGGAGCATCTCCAGCATTGCATATATTTCACTTTTAAAGACAGCACAGCCTACTCGTGGACAAACAGTGCTCCAATCAACGTTGCTTGACCTCAAGTCGATGCATCCGATAGCTATTAGATATTTCATTAATATGTTTGCCATTTCATATTTTTAAGCTGAGAAGATTTATAGCAATTCGATGTTAATTTGCATCCAAGAAGCAACGATTTACAAAGTCACAAACATCAAATAATAAATGAAATAAAGATAGAATCTTAAAAGAATTTAAGGATCTAAAAAAATTTAAAATTTACAATCCGAATTTTTTATAAAATTCATAATTTTATTAAATTATGCTATTTAGATTTTTTAATTTTATAAAAAAATAATTTTGATTTAATTTTTATTAATTCGAAATTTGAAGTCCAATCACTTTTCTCTACAGAAATTTGCTCGTTTTACAACCAATTATAACTAATAATTTGTTCAGAAATATAAGCTTAATTCTCGAGTTAAACCGATAATCAAATTTATTGCAAGAGTGATCGACCGACAGAATTACGCGAATTCAGTTCAAATAGCCATTTATTTTCAGTTATCATTAACCAAATTTCAAATCCCACTTTTCAAACCCAAAATCAAATTCTACCCACTAATCTGTCAACTAATTCAGATTCGTTTGCATCCGTTTTTTGTCGAAAGAAAATGAAAATTTTTGAACAATTGGACATCGGATGGTATCAAAAAATAAATGACTGGAACTTTTTGAAAACGATTCAGAATTTGGAACCGAAAAACCAGAAATGGTGAACAGCTTCAAAGTCGAAAATGGATCGAAAGCATGAAATTAAAATCGCATTTCAGAAATCCAAAATATTATTGCTTTTGCGCGTTTCGACTGATTCTCCGTTGCAGTGTCCATCGTTTTATAATTTCTTCATCTTCATCTTCATCTTCTTCTATTCAATAATCGAAAAGCAAAAAACCCTAAAACGCCCTTCATTTGTGAATTTTTATTTCGCAACTTGTCATTAACATATAAAAACGAAATGGAAATCTTCCTTTTTGCCAATCAATTATTCAAGTGAATTTCAGAACAAATATTATTTCATAAAATCATTCGAAAGATTCGAAGAAAACTTGTTGTAAAACAGATTTCATATATTTTTATATTTCATATATTTTTATATATTTATATATATTTTTAATTTCATATATTTTTTGCTAGAAAAAGTTCATCGAAAAGCAAATTTCAAATCGAACAATTTATCCATTTGGATGAAAACAAATCGAAAAGTTTACCAAAATCGTATATCAGTTTTAGAAATTCAAATTTATCCATAATTGTCCCACCTTTTCTAATATTTTCACTAATTAAGTAGAGTAGTGCCTATTTTTGATTTTCAAGACCAAAAAACTTGAAACTCCTCACCTTAGCAGTCAGCAAAACCAGGTTAACCAGTAATGAGATGTTAGAAGATTACTTTACACTGTTCTTATGCTTCGACTTCAAATTTATTTTACAAAAATTATGTAGTATATTAAGCAAAATAAATTTGATAAAAAAAAAAGAAAATTCGACCCGATTTATCAAAAAATAAAGCATTACTAATTTAAAGAACATTATGAATCTATGAGACTCTCTATAATCGTAATATAATCGTAATAATTTGATAAATTAAAATGCAATATTTAATAACCCATTAAAACAGCGAAAGCGAATTAGATTTAAACAAATCCTTACCTTATATTTTTCCGATAAATTTACTTTTGAAACTTATCGAGATCGATTTTAAGCAAATTTTAACAAAAAGTAACAATAAACATGATTGAACCAAAAAACAAGATTTTCAAGAGTTAGAAGCATAACGAACAAGAATATCGCGAATTTCCTGTTTAATATAATCGACAGAGCCTGGGTGGCTTGTTTCTCTACTGGCTATAGCTTTGGCCAGATGTGCTGGAACCAAAAGAGTAAATATGTATTACCTCATGTTATAATTTCAGCTTAATTTAACTTGGTACCTACCACAATGGAGATGTTTTGTTCAAGACCACTAGCTATCTTGAATGAAAGTATTTTATATAATTCAAATAAATGCATGTTCATGACCTAAATTAAAATGGCTGGCAACTGGCATTAATTTCAAGAAATCTCCATCGGCAGAAATTTTTGGGGTTTATTTACTAGCAAAGTGGTCCTTCTAAAGAGAACTTTGCAGGCTTACTAAGAAAAGTGCAAATAACCTTTGAAATTTTGGATCTCAACAGCAAGAGTGAATTTATGCTGAGCATACACAAGTTTACAATAACGATCATTATAGGCTTCAATCAACTCATGTTCATCGCATTGATCTTCAATTCCTGAAGCATCATAGACAGATGTTTCGGCAATTTTCACAAGCCCTTCTACCATGACAGCATAATATTCACTGCAACTTTATATTATAATCTCAACCCCAAATGTCTGAATATATTATTCTGACATATGAATATGAATATAATCTGAATATAAAGCATTTGACTCATTTTAAACTTGGTTATAATAATATATATGAATGATTCAACTGATTTTGTGGGAAATAGGAAAAGGGATGAAAGAGTGATATCAATAAATGACTAAAAAAAAAAATACAGCAATCTCGGGCAATTTCAAACAAACAAATAAAAATAAAATAATATTTAACAAAAAGTAAAAAAAATAAATAAGATATAAAAATATTATAAATATTATAAAATACCCCAAGTAATCAGCTGTTTCCACGGTTAAATTAATTAGACCAATGCAACATATACGCTTTTCTTCAAATCTTAATATCCGACTCATTTCATTCAATTCAACCGTGATGACTTTTTCAATTACCATTTTAAACATCCCACTTTGAATGGATTCCAGCACCTGTATATTTGATTTAACCTTTTAGTTTGAATGCGGTTAAATTAAAAATTCTGGGATTCTGCATTGATTTGAAATTTTAAAATTTACTATTATTGAATTTTGCTGATTTCAAATTCAAATGAAATCAATTTAACAGAGACGAGACACAACAAAAAATAATAAAATTTAAGAATTTTGAAATATTAAATTCTAGCCTGAAACAAAGCCGTTCCACCACATAATATCGAATATTCAGCGAAAAATAAAATCAGTTCCTTTGAAAATTTAGTTGTCTTACTGTACTGAACACGACGCAACATTGGAATTATTAACGAAGAATGGGTGATCGGCATATTTTGCTGAAAATCATATTTTAAACTACCAACTGTCTGAATCAATAATAATTTCGAAAAACTTTCATATTTGCAAGGTAAAAATGATGGAAAATACATTTGTCAAGAAAGAAAAGAAAATGATGGATGATATAATAAAACATATGTATGACTGAAAAATCATAAAATTCTTTTGAATAAGAAACAGTAAACTAACTGCCACTTTAGGTACCAGAGAAATTGCCAACTGGAATCCAAAATGATCTTGCGCTTTTGAGCCCATCAGCTTTTGATAGATAGCTTGAATCATTGATGAATGATTCGCCAATATGTTTTCGCTACTGCATTGAAGAAATGATTCAATTACCTAAATAATTGGACTGAAATTTTCCAATAAAAATTTTAAAAAATTATTTCAAACAATCAATTACGACAAAAAATCAATCACTTATGCAAAAACAAGCTAAAATAAAGAGCAGAATTACTAGTAAAGCAGCAGGAATATTTGCTGTTCGATTCCACAAGTCTTCTTTCATAAGATAATTGAAAAATGGTAAATAACTATCAATCAATGACGTTCCTGTTTTTTTTTTTTGTTCATATGCTTCATCAAGTAATACGGCTAAAAATAAAATATTTTTCAGCAAAAAAACTAAATTAAAAAAGTGCAAATTTAGAAATTTGTAAAACCCAACAACAAAAAATTCACCAGTAAGCTGTAAAGAATACGGTGTGAATTCAATTACATCATTCGCAAGAATGTTTTCAATCAAAGGTATTACATATTTATCGATTCCGCCATCGACTATCAAATAAGCCTACAACAATAAAACCAGTAATAATTATTCAATAATTATTCTAAAAAAATTTTTTAATTCCCATAGATTGGTTTGAAAAATAAATAACTTTCCTTTAGAAAAAAAAGATTCATAGATATTTTGAAAAGTTTATGCAAATAAAATAAACAGTTACCCTTCTGATAAGAATACAAAGTGATTCAAACACATAATGGATATGAAGAGGATCAACCGGTGTCTTAACAGCAGTTGCGATCATATTTGTCATTCTATCAATAATTTCATTGGAATGCTTCGCAGATTCATTCTATTTAATATAAATAATATTTAAGACGAAATTTTTATCACCATCATAAAAATTGAATTAAATACGAAAATTGCTTTAACAATGCAATAATAAAAGGTTTTATAAAAATTCATCACGTTAATATAAAAATATTTATGAACTTACATCGATTATGTTGAAACATCGCATAACAGCTTTCATCAAATAATGAGAATTTTGCGCTTTTGGATAAATGGAGAAGCAATTGAATAACGAAGAAATTAAAGGACCAACAACTACATTATCACAATTAAATAATAACTGGAAAAAAAGAAAATAACTTTTAAAATTAGTGTTCCCCACTTTTTTTTCAGAGGTAATGGTAACCCACATCTATGAAAAAAAGATAATGAAATTAGAAATTCGAATGGAAAAAATTCTGGATCAGTTTTTATCAAGAATATCGCAACAAGTTATAGAGTAATAATGACGCTCAAAAATTTACCTTATCAGTATTCTTCAATCGTACCAATAATATCCTTTCCAGTGCTACCGCAGCATACTGGTGTAAGATTATATGGGATGAAGAAAGTGTTGCAAGAATTGCTGAGATAACTTGAATTAATTCTTCGATTGGTAAGTGATTGCGGAATAACATAACAAATTTTAAAGCGTCGCATCTTAAAAATGGGAATGCATTCACATTCTCATTAAACAAATCGCTGCGAACGTTAGTGGCATAAAAATTTGGTATATCGACCTAAAAAAAATTACCCTACAGAAATAAGTGAAGAGATCCCTACAAAAATTTTTTTAAAGGACTTGTATATATATATATATCTCAATTTATATTTAATGATCACTTCTGTTATCGATATTACAATATCGCAAGTATATTTAATTATATTCAATATTTCTCTATTTGACGATAATACTCATAGTATATTTTTAAATGTAAATCGAAATTGTTGCACTTCATAGCATTAATGTCCTAGAATCTTTCTGTAATAGTGATTACAATATCATCCACAATTACAATATCTTCATTAAAACTAGATCGTTATGCATCTCCCTCGAAATTTTCTAGAAATTATCGTTGTGATTATGAAATTATTAATTCTACCCTCGCAGAAATAAATTGCGATTTCACTTTTTTTGTTTATCTCATTCTATTGATGAAAAAGTTAATTTTCTTAATAGCACCATTTTTTATCTTATAGAACAATATAACAGGATCCTTTAAAAAGAAAAGGCGTTAGGACAATTCCCATTTCTCTAAAATCTTTTTAAAAAAGTGGAGGCTCAAGAAGCTTTATATGTAAATAGAAATTGTTGCACTTCCTCTGTGAGGTTGAAATAATATTACTAGATGCCTTAAATAAGCTCAAGCCGTCCATTCCAGCTGGTCCCGATAATATTCAACAAATAATTTATAAAAAATGCGCAACCTCGTCTTCCCCTATTTTTAATTTACAAGGATATTACGAAGACTTAACCCCAATTTAAAAATTATATAACTCACATTCATAAAAAAGGGAGCACATGTGATCCTTCTAATTACCTATTAGCTTAGCACGATGGTAGCAATATACTGGAATGATTGATTCGCAACAAGTTAATTATTTATCTTGATGCTAATAATTCAACATCCACCTATCAGCAAGGCTTTTATAAGAAAAAATCTACCTTTTCACAAATATTGGCAAATTTTTTTCGATTGGTCAGCATCAATTGATAATGGAAAAATATTAGTATCAATTGTGTATCAAGATTTAGCCAAAGCTTTTGATACTGTTTCCAATATAAAGTTGTTGGCCACCTTTAATAGTTATAGCATTATAACCTTATAGTTATAGCATTATAACGGGTATCATTATGATCGTCACCAGATGTCAAATGATCGTCACCAGATGTCAACATTCTTTCAACATTCTTTCTGACATGGCACCTGTTAAACTAGGCGTTCCTCAAGATAGTTGTATTATTATCTTTATGTTGATGATTCATTATTATCATGGCAGATTAGATAACCTGTCTCCACTAAAAGATAACTTCAACAGAATTGTCAACTGGCTAAACAGGGAAATTACCCTCTCTTTTTCAAAAGCTTAGCGTTTTGTATATAAATTCGAAAGGATTCGATCTTCCTAATCTCTTTAATAATGGTAACGTAATCAGACGAGTCTCACGAGTCTTGGCATAATCATGGATGAAAATCTTGACTTCGACCTTCATTGCAAAACCATAGTAAAGAAATCCTCAAAAATAGTAAATTTCATTTTTCGCACGTTTAAGAAAAGAACTGAAGGTTTTCTTATCAAAAAATGCAAAGCCTCTTCTTGACTACAGTATTACCTGTTACTCCTCGAGATACCACGAATCAAGAAAATTATGGAAGGATTCCAGAAATATTTTATACATCGCCTCTTTCTTGATAGCAATTTTAATTGTAAAACAGAATTTAAACGCTACAACCTGGCTTCCCTCTCGATTCGTGGAATTAAATAAGATTTGATTTATATTTATAAAATTCTATATGGTTATATTAATTCAGATTATCAAAACTATTACAATTTTAGGTTAAATTTGAACCCAAAAAGATCTAATGGGCTAAAATTATTAAAACCTATATGCAAGGTTAAACTAAGGGCTTCTTTATTTTTTATTATTAATTTCTATCGAACGATGGAGTTTGTGCGTCATCCTTACCCATTTTTAAAAATATCATTTATTATATCATTGTCATATTTTTATTTTATATCATTTATCATAGATAATATCATTTTTATACTATTTTTTCATCATGAAGGAAGTTTGAGATCTTGATCTTTTATCATGCGATTATGTATAATGTACACATTCATTTCGAATTGTACTATTTCTCTTTATTTCATTAATTTTTACCATATTTTCTTTTTTATCATTAATTTTCATTATTTCTTATTTTAAATATTGTTGTTAATATGGCGCTTGCCGTCCTTTTCAATAAACAAATTAAATAAACAAATATTTAACTTTAATATTTTAAAAAATTCTTCAACAAAAAAGGGATTTTAAAAGAAAAATTCTTGGGAAGATGAAAAAAAAATAAAGAAAACTTTGGCTAAAATTTTCCACACCATAGAAAATAATTATCAGCATGCAAGGGTTTATCCAAACTTATGGAAAGGTCCTATAGCACGGATATAAAATAAAAAAAATAGAAATTAAGTAAGATTCATTTAACTGATTCATTTAAAAAATTCAAAAAATGACTCACGAAATTACTGAGTGTCGTTGCACCAAATTTCACAGTTTCCGTTTTAGCACCAACTGCTAATATTAAACAGTATACTAAATCCTTTTTTAGCCAGTTTTGTTGCAAATCATTTGAACATTCCTTCAATAAATTAATAATGCAATTCGACATAATTGGCGTTAAAAGATTTTCAAAAGCACGAAACAACGATCGTAAAAAATCTGTTGTTGCACGGCGTCGAGAACCAAGATCAGAACCTAAAACGAAATCAATCGCTTTAATCAAAAAATAACTTGTAATGTATTTAGACATTGTTGCTCAATTGGAAGCGCCGATGCTGATGTTCGATTCCCCATAGGAGTAAACCTATGTACAAAAATCTGGGTGATGCTGGCAACTCACCAGTATTTCTATCGCCAAGAGACTCCCTGGCTCCCTGGCTCCAATGCGACAAGCCAGTGGAGTAAGCTTAATGGTGAGGATGAGGACTCTTTAAAAAAAAAATCAGACATCAATGGCATACTAAAAAAAAATAAACAAATAAATAAAAATGTGTACAAAAGGAACGGAGTAAGAAAAAGGATCAGTTATTCTGCATTTCATAAGCTAAAAGAATAACAAATATTAAACTTTACCTTCAAGATCTTTCTTAATGTATTCTAAAGGTTCATCCTCAAACTGTTCCAGATCAGTTGGCCTAGTGACCAAATTTTTCAGGATAATATTCTCAGTAATAGAGGTTAATACTCCATCCATTTGAAAAATATTAGCATAACGTTGTTTCACACAAATTGCTGATAAAAAAGTAAGAGCGGAAGTGAAGAAAGCATCAAATCTAAATTTATTAATACTTGAAAAAAACATAAGAAATTTCTAATATTTCCTTTTCTATATTTTCTATATATATTAGAAATATTTCCTTACATAAACATTCACTTCCTTCATTAATTTAAATGCTGCTAAAAGTAATAAAAGAAAAATAATATTCTATTTTATACTGAAAGAAATAAACAGAAATTATGAAAAGACTTAATCAGATAGACATTAATCACCTCACTCTCGCATCCAGTCCCATGAGTTGCTCCCAGACAATTTCGATCACAACATTTATAAAAGGCATGAACTCTTCCTCATATCTCTAAAATAAATTAATATATATGCCAAACTAATAAAGCTGCCAAGATAACTGCCAAATATTGCAAAAAAACCAAAAAAAAATTAGCGCATGATAAAACTAAAAAATATTAATTTATCGAAAATAAAGGACTCTACAAACTTCGAGCTCTTTACGAACAATTATGAAAATAATTTAAAACATTCACAGCAGGATAAAAAAGGCTAAACTTATCAACTTTATTTATTTTTAAAATCGAAAAATTTTTAATTCTTGAACTTTAATTTTAACTTTAATTTTTGAATTTTTAATTCAAGAGCTGTAACCAACTTTAATTCAATTTTCTAAGAAAACCTATTTTGCTGGCCTACCCAGCATGTATAAAGAAATAAATAAATAAAGCTAAATTTAAATGAGCTAAATTTTGGAATAAAGGAAAATTGAATAAAGAACCTGAGAATATAAAGTTAATATATCGCATACACAACATTTCAATTTGTCCAAAGTACCAGGCTCATCATCGCTATATGCCGATTCTACTGAATCAATTTTTAACTTTAATATAGTACCTAATCCTTCCATCCAACCACTAATCGTGTCCTAAAATTGAAAAAAAAAACGATGAATTATGAAACAACCTTAATAAAAAACATCACATAACCATATGAAACATGAGATAAATCTGAGGAAATAATGCAGTAACCTCGAAATGCTCCGGCAAATCTTGTACATTTAACGAATGAAAAATTTCCATAATTAAATGTAAAATGTTTAACATTTCATCGTACTTTTCTTTCGTTTTTTCAACACTCTCTGTACTTACATATTGCAAAACATTCGTAAATAAAATTGTTAAAGGTGGTGCCAGCTGCAATTCTTATGATTACTTCAGTAAAAATGACAAATAATTCCATTGGGACAAAGTTAGTGTTTTAGAAGAGTGTTAAAAGATCATTATAAAGTTGCCAAACATTTACTTCTTTAAGCACTATATATATTTCATTCCAAAGTTTTTCTGACTTCATTTCATGACGATAGCGTTTGAAAAGTTCATCCATCGTAGTAAGTGCAGCCAGAAGTCTATTAGCATCATTCATTGTTAAAATTTCTTTCAAAAGATTAAGCAATTCTGGCCAACAGTCCGGAAAATCATATTTACTCATGACGCATACAATTTCCGATAATTGTAACCGTATATTCGCTACAAAATTTATGAATAATAATAGCGCTTTCCTGAACTAAGCCACTAATTTTTATTTATATTTATTACTTTAAACTTGAGACTTTACACTTTATGGCAAAAAATATATATATATATTCGAACGAATCTCCACCTGGAGCCTTAAACATGAAATCCAGTAACTGAGCGCGAATCTGCATCCTTTCATCCTCGCTAATCTCAACTTCACATTTTTCTTTTGACTAAAAAAAACTTTTTAAATATTATAACAATATTTCATACAGTTAGTCATTTGTAAATCAAAAAAAGTTAAAATATTATATGGAAATATTACATAATACCAATGGAAATGTTTAAGGACAATGGAAACTTATAATTTAAATGAAAAATTAATGGATTAAAACGAAGTCCTACTCGAAATATTTATAATTCTTCGTTCTTCTAATAGCACTCATCATTTCTTGTTTAGCTATTTATTATTAAATTTATTAAAATGAAACGTTTCCGCCAAACAACCACTTGAAATAGAATATAGATGGTTTCACAGCAACATTCAGATATTCATTCAAATAAAAATCAATATCATAGGAAATACTTTAATTAGAATTGAGTTTATTGAAAGCTAATGAAAACTATCGAATTTGTACTCATTTCCCGTAAGATATTTGGCGTTAGACCTACTTGTAATAAACTACAAATTAATGATGCAAATTCATCTATCAGCATGATTTTCGAGCGAAAAAATCCATCAGTTTTTAGATGACCTTTAAGGTTGATCTAAATCAGTGATTAGATAATTATCTTAATAAGAATATAATTTTATTAAAAAAAGAATACCAGCAGAGGGTACCGTTAAGTAAATTTGACCATTACAAGACGATGATAATTTATTAATTAATAATTTATTAACTGAGTTTGTCCTAGCCAAGACAAGTAAACCTTAAGCCAATTGTTTTAATCGATGATGAATAACTAATAGTGTAAATAAATTTTGTATAAATAAATAGTATAAAAATAAAAATTGTAATTATCTATGCCTTTGTACGACAGAAATATATATATATATATATATATATATGATTATTCAAATGGTTCGAGATTTCATTACCACTACAGACATTACAATAAGAATAATTGTGAATCCTGCATTAAAAATGGAAGTATAACAATTTAATTATATATGAATTTAAACTTACATGATGCAATCGAGACTAAGAAAATTCAAAAGAATAAAGCAAAGTCCAGTTTTTAAAAAAATTTTACTTGAACATATCAGTAAAAAGAATTGAAAAATAATTAAGCTGCCTACGAAACTGAGACATTTCTGTTTTTTATAGTAATTACTAGAATAAATCAACTAAAAATTCAGAGCAAGATTCGTATTTATTTTTGAAAGAAAACTATACAGAGTATATGAAAATTCATCTTTATCATTTTTTATCCTTTTACAGTCTTAATGTAAAATAATTTTCATTATTTTCTACTGCTTAACTTTGCTAACCATTCCTATTTCATTTTTCTAAATCAATAAATAAAATGAAAAATCTCGATAAAAATACAAACCCAATTTCCTTTCACGAAATTTTTAAGAGTAATAGCTGCAGCAAGAGCAATTTGTGGAGGAGTTTCACCGATAACTATCAAATTTATAAGCATACTACAAAAACCTAAAAAGAAAAACCTGAAAAGATTTCCTCAAGAAGATCACCAGTAAAAAGAAGAAACAAAAATAATCAAGAAATCTCTATGCATTGCAAAATTTTCAGATTTAGAAAGGACTTGTCGATATTTAACATAAGAAATAAAGGTATAATCTGTAATAACAAATAAAAAATGAAGAAATAAAATTTTTTTGAATAAATTAAAACTATAATCTACAGAACTTGGCACTTTCGAAAGAGACAAATTCAAACCGGATTCTTAAAGTGTGTATCCGAAATATTCGAAATGGCGCAACTTACCTATACTTTCCTCTACTCCTTAATTCCTACTTCTTTCTTTTACTTAATATTCATTTAAAAAAACCGTATTTAAAAAGAATGAATTAAAAGAAAAAAATAAAATAACCGGAGATGGTTTGCATTTCGCACAGAACGTTTTCTGCTTGCCGTCTTACTGCTGAATCGGCCTCTAAAGTTCCACTAAGTGCTTGTACAAGACGCAACAAATTATTCGAATTCTCCATTCTCACCTGTTTTCAGCTAACTTTTTTTCCTGCAAATCCATCTATAATAAAAAAATTAGAAAATTTACACATTTATGCATTTGTCGTTCCGAATAAGGGCAACTAGATAAACCTGAAACAATAATTCAGAATAGGAAGCTCCAATCTTTATCTTACAACATTAGGCTTTTGATTATTCGATATAAACTTTCCCAGAGTTTCCCATGAGTTGTTACTTTCCGCTTTTTACAACTTATTAAAATTCTCTCCCACTTCCCTTATTATAAACAATTATAAGCATACAAGCATAAAAACGATAGCTCGAATGTGCCTGGATGCAAGATAAAGGAATAAAGAATACACCGGAATTTGATGGCGAACTGCCATATACAATAATCGTAATAAAATGCGATATATTTCTCTAAAATATTTATCTAAAATATTTATCACTGATCTAATGATAATTGCCAAATTTTCTATACTTCGAAACTTTTCTTTTTCGGTACATTCAACGGATATTATTTTAAGAAAAAGTTTATCGAAAAAGTTTATCAATTAATAAAATATTTCTTATTTGGAAAGATTAAAATATAGGGTAAATTTGCAAAAATATTAAGAATTTAATTGAAAGGTTTATTAAAAATAAAAAAATATTTGAGAAGAAATTAAATTAGGCTACAACTGCTTTTAAAAAAAAGAACTTTATAACTTGAACTTATAATGTTATTAGCGTCGCGTTCGCTGGTTAGGACACCTTCTCCGCCGTCCACCACAAGAGTTGTCGCATATTTCGTTACTTGCTAAACCCAGCGATGGGTGGTGTCAAAAGCGAGGTGGGCCAATCAAGACCTGGGCTGATACGGTGAGAAAAGGTTTTGAACGTATAGGAGGACGAGTAATATATGGACTTAGACGATGCAAAAAGGAATGACTGTCGACGATGGCATCAAATCGTGCCGCCTGGAAGCGTCTTATCCTTGTAGCCGCTGGAGCCAGCCTAACAAGTAGTGATGAGAGCTGCTAGAAGAAGAAGAAAAAAAAAGAACTTTATAAATCAAAGAATATCACCGCAAATCCGGTAAATAAATAAGGAAAAATTGTTAAGAGGAAAATGCTGGTTGCTCTTCGCTGATAACCAGCCAGCGATCACTACAAACTGATAAATGATCAATTTATATCGCTGAAAATCCATCTTTATCCTTTCTTGGGCGGATAAACATAGACAGCAAAAACTTTCAAAAAAATATTCTGAATCATTGATTTACTAAAAGTCAGTCTTGGGACTATGTTGACAACTTGTTGACAAGAAATGTTAAATCGAAATTTTGATTTTTATTCGTTTTTTTGGTTGAGGTGTGGGGGGGGGGGGGGGGATTGTTGGATCTTTGCGCTACTCAGGTGATTGGTTTCTTGTGGTTTTTTATTGGTTGTTGCTCCTTTGAATTTGCTAATTTATGACACCGAAGTGGATCACTGTTGAAGAAATACAAATTGCTTTGCAAAAAAAAGTAATCAGTCAGAAAAAAAAGGGCAAACTGGCAACAAATTTGGAATTAAACTGATTAACTTTTTTAATTAACTAGTTGCATTTTTTCGATTCATTGCCCGAGTAAGTTAATTGAAATAATGGTAATATTTAATATTCACCGTGTTGATTTTAAGAGAAAAAGCGAGACGCGAGTCGTTTTTATGGCCGCTGAGAGGAGACTTTGGCCGGAATATTAGGCCTTCGAGCTTCGTCCAAGAAAAGCGAATGTGGGAATTGCTTCAGGGAAAGCTTGTAAAAGTGGCAACCGATTAACGCGGACAGCACATTTCATATAACGTAGCATGCAAGAATTTTCCTTTATTTAACCATTTGGCGGCTCTTTTTCAATTTTATTTCCCAGAATTCTGTAGAATTTATTGCGTAACTACGCTATTAGACTTGAAAATGGCTGTTTTGTTCTGAAATTGTTTTGCTTGATGTTTGCTCGTCTGTTTGTGGAAAAGTACTAACTTAGACGGCTAAGCGGGTGTTTCTTCAAACCTCCGCATCTCCTAAAACTCCATTGTTATTTTAAAAATATATATAACTGAAAGATTTTCCGAAGAATTAGGAACATTCAGAGGCATAAAGGGGACGCAGTCGAGCACGGTGGAGCTAACGGCGCATTAAGGGAATATTCTTAAGTACTTGGTGATGGTGAGGGCAACTGTGTGTGCTGCGTGTTTATATGACCAGAGAGTTTAGGTGTGCTTGCTGAGATTTTTGAGACAGCTTCATTTCAAATCATGACGAGGTTTTGAAGGCGATATGAGTTTTTAAAGAGTAGAGTATTGGTGGAACGATTTCGATACTACAGCAGCTTTAACACATTATAAAGACTTAATAGCGATATAGCAATATGCTATAATGAAGTCATACGATCTGCTTTTAAGAAAAGACGCATTGTTTGGTTGTCATTAAGCGATTTTAAAGTATAGGGGATTGCGATTGCTCTGAAGAACTTTAGTCAAAGTACAGTAAGATATAATAGATTACATAAAGATCGTTACAGTGTTGCTGATAGTTTATGGCATGGAGAGGTTTACTGGAGCATTAGAAGAATTTAGCGAAGCTCTGAGGAAAATCAGTGGAATACAGTTCGTTCTCTGAAAAGTTTTGTGGCTGTTTCTGGAAGAACAAGGATGTGATTGAAACATGTTAAGATAAAGTGGATGGAGCTGATTTACCTACGCATGTATTAATATGAAAAACTATCGTATTCTATAGATCCATGTCGAAATCTTGGAAATTATGGATTTTTTGGTTAAATGTTGGCCACGTTCGTAATTATTAAACTTGAGGATAACCCATTCATTGGTTTGGTGCATTTTGTTAATTCAGAAAGTCCATTTTCAATTTGCATCTTGATTCTTATATTCTGATATTTTGATAATGTTTGGTCATTGCATTATTAACTCCTCTTTGCATCAAAAATTTGAAATAAAATATTAATATTACTATATAAATTAGTCGTGTGTAGGGTATCGGTTTCTATATTTTTTAGAAATTAACTGCATTCATGAATTCTTTTTTTATGAAAGCCTGTATCCTTGGATACTCTTCAAGGCTATTTTTTTTCACTGCTGAATAGTTGTTAATAGTTCAGATATCTAAAGGAGTGGAAACCAAAAGGGACAATCAAGGCTATAAGTTGGTGAGGCAGAGTCATTTATTTTCTCCATTTGTTTTTCGCCTTATTATTATGAAGCATGCGCTCTTGCATTTTCGTTGCAGATTATACTTTCTCTATTAACTATTTCCATTTACTCCACAACCGGGCAATTCCCATAAAATTTGTTCCTAAAGACGAGTGAATTATTCACAGTAGACATCAGAGGTAATAATTTGATTAGATATCAGTAGCTCATAATAGTTTTTACCATAAATAAGGTTTAGAGGTTGTTTTCTTCTGATGATAACTATTGGCGTTTACTATTAAGATTGGCCAGAATAACCACTTTTCATGGTCGAAAAATACAATTCTGTCCAGTATTGCTCAGTTATTTTTTTTCTAATTCCTTTTCCTATATAGAAAAAAGTGAATTAGATAAAGCATCGTTGAAACATGTGCTTTTGTGCCAGTTCAAAACCAAACAATTCTATTTAATAGCATGCGAATGATATTTTTTTCTTAACAGCCTGTTTTTCAACGATTTCATCCAATGTTTGTTTTAGATCGATTAGATCAATTTCGATTATAGAACGCAAAAATTCTTCATCAGTTTCCGAAGATCCACCAAATTTTTGTGCGTTATGTAATTTTAAACTGCCATTTATAAATTGTGAGAATCGCTTCTGACATTCAGGACTTCTGGCTACACTTCATTTATGTTGTTATTATTCTTTTATCTCTTTTAACGTATTCATAGAACATCTCCCAAACGTTTTTCAAAAGGTAATTTTAAAAAAGTATTCGAAAAGTATTCGAAGTATTTCGAAATCTAATGCGTAGATCATTCAAAAAATTGAAAATTTACAAATAATGGAGAAAAATTTATAGTTAGTTTATTATTGGAAGAAAAAGGTTGGAAATTGAAAATTTGCAAATGTTTTTCAAATAGATAGATTTCAAATTCCATTAATCGCTTAATTTTGGCTTATTCACTACGTATTATTTTACGTTTCGCTTCGGTTATATTAATTTAGATGAATTTTACCTCAGTTACAAAACCTGTTGCAAAATCTGGCGGATTAAAATTATGGAATGAGCTGGAAAGCAGCATTTTTTAAAACTCTCTTCACTACTGGAATAACTTACCTTTTGAAAAAAATTGATAGGCACATCAAATAATTTTTAAAATAAAAATTATATTTCGATGTTATTAATGGGCTACTCATGTCCTCATGCTCTCCCTTTCTATAATAATATAATAAAAATAATAGAATGATAAATTTATTTTGAAATAAAAATTCGCAAAAAATATAAATAAACAATGATGTCCAAAAATAATAAGAAGTAATATACTAATATAATTTTAAAGCAGAAATAAAAGTAATAAAGTAACAACAAAAGTAACATACAGTAATGTCAATAAGCCTTGCCAATAAAGAAAAGCACAAAATTTGAGGTGGATTCTTTTAAAAACGCTTGAAAATTTCTCTCAGAAAAATTTGTAAAAAATGAAAGAGAGGAGGAATAACATACGCATTTTTAAAAAAAATCTTTTACATCGGCTGACGTCTAAATGCAGAATTCTGATAAGCCAATGACTGAGTCTCGAATCGTTTGCCCTTCCCTTTGCCCATCAGTTTAAATGATCGATTAATCGCATATATTTCATCTATGTTATTATTAAAATGAACCATGCGAATGTTACTTCCAGAAATGAAAAATTCATCGCACTTCGTTATCTCAAATTTATTACGATTTCGACTGATTGTCACATTTGATAAGTATAAATTCATTTGGAGATCACTATCGATAAGTTTTCCTGTATGTGATCAATTTTATTAAATAAATAGATAAATAATTAGCATTTAGCATTCCTCACATTTCAGGGGAGTCGCAAAAACGCTTTGAAATTTTTGCCGGGAAGCCAGTTGGCGGTGACGGTGAAAGGTTGGTCGCTTCGCCTGCATCACCACTGTTACCACAAAAAACTTGGTTAAATTTCATTTGACTTTTATGTGCCTAATAAACATTATTTTTAGCCAATGTATATTTAGCTTTCAGTATATTTTTAAAAAGTTAAAAGGCCAAAGGCCAAAAATTAAACTAAATACTCCTTAGGCCAAGCATTTACTATGCCAGTTGCATTAATCATATTAGGGAGAACTTGGTTGTGCTATTCAACTAAGGTCAAGCCTCCGTGAATTTGACTGCTATTTCGTGGCAATTCTATCATTGAAAGTACAATTCTGATGGTGCCGGCACCCATTCTATAATCCCAAACGATCTCCCTGGCTCCCTACAGGGTCACCTCAATGATTAGTGGAACCAGTCGAAACAAAAATGGTAAATGGCGCCAGGAGAAAATCAGAGTATACATAAACCAGTGATCATACAAATCAAACCTTGGATAAACGATTCATTTTTCAGTTCAACAATGACTGCTTTACCTTTCATTCCAATAAGAAAACAAACTAAAGTATTCATGCAATCCTTTTGTTCCCAACGTGTTAAATCCATTTCTTTTACAATTTCCACCAGCAAATATATGAATATTTTACAAAAAAAAACAATCTGAAAATTTAGAATCGCAAGCAACAAAAAATTATTGTCCATGTTATCAATAATTGTTTTATAATCACTCGTAATTAACGATTAATTTTCGAATTTTTGTCATTTCCGATAAAATTCACCAAAATGGAAATTTTTCATTCTGATTCGAGGAAATTCAGAAATATTCGAAATATAGAACGGTGGCAAACGAAAATCGAATTAAAATGTAAGCTTTTAGCTAAATGAAATGAATAAAATAAAAGAATAAATATAAAAATTATATCACAAAACCATAAATTATAATTCTAATAACATTTTTCTTTTATTGTTAAAAGTAATATAACCATATTTTAAATTTTTTTGTTCCACGAGAAATGCAAAAATTCCATTCTAAAATTCCAGATTTTTCAAATTTCAGGCAAAATATTCATTTTTTTAAATTTAATAAATTTAATTCTCATTCATGTTCTCATTAATTACGTTTAATAATTGCTCGCTAGAATGTTAAGAAATCATTAAAATATTGCACAATAATATTATAAAAGCAAAGAAAACCGGAAAAATTCATAGAAAACGCTTTTTTAAATTTAGTTGCAGAATAATGAGCGGAAGACTAAAAACACCACCAACGCGACAAATAATCGCATAAATTCAATGTTAAGCTAATGCTTGGTGGAAAGAATGCGTACAAAACATGATATAAAAAAAATCGAAAAAATGAGAGAACAATCAGGAAAACTCGAAAATTTATTTGAATCACGGAAAGAAAATAATAAAAAGAATAAACGAATAGCCCATAATTTGAACAATTAATCAAAACGCTGGAATATGAGAAAAAACATGAATAAAAAAGCGAGCAGTTGCAAAATAATGAAAATAAATAAAACAAAAATACAGGCAAAAAATTTAAGAAATATAAAAGTATTTAAATATGAGTTGCTGTGATGAAGAAGTGTAAAAGCACAATCAAAAGAACAAATAAATAAATCCAACGAATATGATAAATTCGTGCGATTCAGTGAATCTTTATCTTTCAGACAAAATTAACAGGAAAATAATCACAATGCAGCCGAGAAAGCAGTAAATGAATATGGATTTTAATGATAAATTTTATGATATCCAATCATCTGTGCGCCATATTATAGCGCAATGTGATTCACGGCGAGGTGGTGAGGAACCTTGATGTTTACGATCAGTGAAACGGTCGATTAGACATCTGAAATTAAAATAAATTTATAATCCGAATAGCTCTCTGCAAACTGAATTATATTTATAAGAAATACTAAAAAAAATTTTTGAGAATAACATTAGTAATAAGAGACCTATATCCGTTTCCAATTGTAATGATATAGCTGCCAAAATTGGATGGATATTCTGAAGAGATGTTTCTAAAACGATTGACTGTTTCGGATACTCGATCCTTCATCCAGTTGACGGTTTCTAAAAAATCTCCTCCGGCACTATTAGAACTTAATCCACCTGCACTACGGGCACCAACACCACTAGTGCTTGTGAGACTTGTATCGCGACGAGGCTTTAATAATTCAAGCACCGCGGTCGAATTATCCAAAGCAATGATGGAATGAACATCATATAAATACGGCCGAAAGGCAGCCAAAGGACGCATCTAAATTTTTAAATTTTTCACAAATTAAATTTGAAAGATACACAAATTAACAAAATTTTCAAGGCTATAGTTTGGAAAAATAACAACAAATATGTATATGTATTTAGCTGAAAGTAATGTGAAATTGGCGTTATCTAAAAATTCATATAATCTATTGTGAAATCAAATATTAAATCAAATCAAATATCAAGTATAATATCTATTGTGAAATCAAATAATTGTTGTAACCTGGATTGCCTGAGCAACAATAACAACTCCTTTACTGGTACCAATAAACAGCTGTGCACCATCGCTTTTATCCAGTAAAGATAACACAGTTACATGGCCATCTTGGTCTGCTTCAATGTCCAAGGTAGAAATGGATTCAGAAGAAGGAAGAATCTTGCGAGCATCCAGACGATAGCGAACCTTTCGATCAATTATCGACCACTGATAAACCTTGAAAAAACAGCATTTTAACCAAAAAATTCAATTGCAAGCGACAAGAAAACGGAAATCATTTACCTTGCTTCCTGGGATAATAGCTGACCAAACGAGCGATTGATCAGTAGAACTTGTTAATAAATAAGAAACAGTACTGGATGTTGATGCTTCGGATTGGCCTTCTTCATGACGCACCGTTGATGAAAAATTAAGTTCATAATCTGATGAAATGTAATATATCGATATCGAAGAATCGCAATGCCCAACCCATATTTGCCTTAAAAAAAATTCAAAATCGAATAATACAAAAAAATACAAAATACGAAAAGTTTCTATTGAAGAAGCTGATGTTTAAAGGTGAAGCATCGAATTTTTTAAATAAGAAAAAGAAAATGATATTTTTCTAAATTCTCATAGCCTACCAGGAGCATCGATCATTAATTTAGGACAAATTTATTATTTTCAAAAAATGGATATAAGGTTCGTGCAGTTGTTTTGTCTTCTTTTTCTTCTTCTAACTACTCTGTACTATTATTGGTTAGGCTGGTTTCGCTGGATACAAGAGTATGACGTCTACAAGCTATCTGGCCATCGTCGACAGTAGAAGCCATTAGCCATAGTAATAGAAGCCATTCCTTTTTCCATCGTCTAAGCCCATATATCACTAACATATATATTATATATATGTATATATATTTATACATTCAAAATTTTTCTTAAACTGTATCAACAGGTTTTAACTGGCCCATTTCGCTTTTGATGCCATCAGTCACAGGGTTTCGCAAGTAATAAAATGTACTAATTCCTGTGTTAGACAACGAAAAACGTTCTAATTTTATGTATTCAGCGAACCCACAGTATATCTTAAACGTGATTGGTCAAAGGAAGATAACTTCTTGATATTTTCCACTTTCATCGACCATGTCTCGCAACTATATAGCAGGATCGAGAATCGAAGCTATATAGACAAGGATTTCCATCCTCCTAGTAATTTTACGACGAATCCATAAAGATTTCAACCGGAAGAAAATTTAACTAGAAAACTTTATCATCCAGATTACAATTTCGTCTTTCGCTAGGCCATTTGGGATTATAGTGGATCCAAAATATTTAAAGCCTGGCATTTCCTCAATGAGCAATTGTTTTGCCACAGCAAAGTGAAAAAAAATTCGAAAAAATACTTGGAATTAGCATTATCAACAATTGCTGAAGAATAAATAATCGAAGTGTTAATAGACGAGATTAAAGTATTATTGGTTGATTTATCACCATTAACAAGAAGTAACGACGAAGGAAGCGTTAAAAGAACGATTAATGGCGACATCGAAAATACGGATAAAGAAATCACACTGATCGAAAGATAAGCAGATGGTAAAAAGCGCGCAATCGAAAAGCATCGTGTTTCTGTATAAGAATTTTTACTGAAATTAAGAAAAAACATAAGAAAATAAAAATGAAGAAAAATGGAAAAAAATTTTCCATAATTTAAAAAAATTGCTTGCTAACTTTTTTCTATATTTCTCGCCTTAACAGACTTTTTAAAATCCACAAAATACCAATAAACGCACCAATAAATACGAATCAAACCAGTTGATTCAGACATCCAAATTGAATCACTGACCATACACATAGCGGTAATAATACTCCCATCTACTCCGACTGATATACTCTGTAACCAACTTATCTCAGTGGGAACGAATAAAAAGTATGGCATATTTTGCTATGGCATAATATATATGTATATAGCTTAAAAAAATATATAAAAGACATATATATATATATTTCGAATCGCAGCTCTCGAAATCTCTCTGCCTTTCCGGTGAGGAACTTTGGGCGAGACCCTCTGAAAACTTATTATATGCCTTAATATAATCTCCTAGGCCTCTGAGAAACGATGCGAGGTTAAATACCAATTACAATGGATGAGAAAGAAGGCAAATATAAAACAAGACATATTTCCCAAAAAAGTTTAAATGAATTATTACCAGCAAATGAACGCCCTTATGTGAACTCAAAAAATTTTTGTCAAAAAAATAGGTTAAAACTGGGAAACTATTGAAAAACATAGGCTAAATTCTGCTAATCCTAGCTTTTGAGAAAAAATTTATATGCCATTAACTTAAGAAAATACTTAATACAAAAATGAAAAAAAGACCTTTGAATCCAGCCATCCATACTGATTACACCCAAGGACAGTAACAGAGCCATCTGATCGGCTTAACCAAATTTCCCCTTCTATACTGTCCTCAAATCCTTGATTTAACTCGTTTTCATCCAATGCTATAATTTTTAAATAAAATCATAAAAAAATGATTAAATTATTAAATTATTAAATTATAAACAAATATTTTACTAATAGATTTAAACTAAAACATTATTGCATCCTGTAGATAAAAAAAAAGAAATAAAATAAAAAAAATCAAAACAAAAATTAAACTTGAAGTTTTACCAACCATGACGCAAATATTATTAATATTCCAAAATAAAGAAAAAAATAAAAATAAATACTTGGAAAAGAAAGGGTCGAATGCACGGCTGAATCAGAATCATTTAACGAAATAACATCTAAAAGATGAGTAAATTCCGGCGCAGTTGTCATCGAGACAATTTGAGATGCAGAAGGACGATCCACTGGTTGAGCTGCCCAACAAACTACCATTACATCCAAAACATTACATGGAAACAATAATTCCTAAAGAAATTATTATATATTGGCCATACAGGAAAAGAAAAAGAACACATTTAAAAAGAGAAAATACTAATAATTGGTAATAAAAAAAGTAAAAAAAATCCACAATTAAAACCCACGGAAGGAGTGAGTTTAGGACGGCCACCATCTAGAATGTATTCTTTTACTTGCTCCTGACCATCAAATGGCAATTTCAGACTGATTAATTCATACAGGAACATCGCAAATGAGAAACAATCTACCTGACAATTATTAAAACATATTGATATTGAAAAAACATATTGAAAAATCTATTAAAGCCTTAACTCACAATTTCTTCAACAAAGAAAAGAGAATTAAGAAAAATAAATGAAAGAATTTATATCTTTTAAATAAAAATTAAAAAATTCGAATATTACTTTTCGCTAGACCAACAAAAATGACAAGAAAGTTGAAATACTTTCTCAGTGTATTCCTGCTCTCCATTATAACGCATAATTTCAGGTGCCATGAAACCTTCGGTGCCGCCGAAACCTTTTGCTCCTCCTGAAGGAAATGAACATCTTGATATACCATAATCACCGAGTTTCACAAGCACATCTGTGATGGAACTAAATGGAGGAGGAAATCGCCATGAGAAAACATTTTCACATTTAAGATCTCTATATATAATGTGATGTTCATGAAGGTATTCCAGTGCTTTAGCGACCTTAAAATATAACACAGTATCACGATGAAGCTAAGACTTGAAAATCAGAATAAAGAAAAAGATAAATATATATAAGGAAAACATTAGCCTCAAACTAAAAATAACCAGTCAATTTTCGACAAATAAATAAATTAATTAATTTTAAGTGGAAAACAAGCACTAATTTAAATTGATTTAAAAAAAAACAATGGATGAAAAGAATTCTTTGGCTAGACTGGCTAATAATTTTGTACAGTTATAAGAAATTATATTTCTACCAAAATTTTCATCTTTATTTAAATTATTGCTTAATTTCCATCTAAATTTAGCAGAAACAGAAATCACTGAAATTATCTGGCAGTATCTCACCTGGCTAGCAGTATCTTGAATGACATTAAGATGTAATCTCGCACCACTTCTCTTATAATTATTCAGCAGCTGACTAAGTGCACCGAGCGGTGCGAGTTCCACTATGAGAGCCAAAGGCCGCGAACAAATACCGATAAGTGAAGTGATATTTGCATGCTGTACTGATGCCAAGACATTTAATTCTTGACGACAAGTACAATAAGCACGACAAGCATTTTGCAAAGGATCTCTTTGCCATTTTGTCTTAGCAGCCTGCAAATCCAGAAATCAAAAATATGGGCCATTTATCTGACCTGAAAGTTTGCTAGTTTCCAATTTATTCTAAAGCAAATATACAACCTTGAATGCAGCAATTGACGTAGCTCGGGCACCCATTCCAGGCTCGACTGGTTCAAGCATTTTTAATGCAACATCATGAAAACTGTGGTCCTAGAAAAAGTTTAATAAGTTAGTTTATTATAATTTATGCTATTAGTTCAGATTTAGAATAAGTATAGAATAAAATAAGTTGGAAAAAGAACATATGCATATGTACATATGTAATAAGAACATATGTAAAAAAAAATATTAAAATAAAACAGAAAAACAAGCAAAGATTGAAAAAAATACAACTATGTAAGAAAATTTAAAAAAATTAAAATTAAAAAAATTAAATAAAATTATTGACAATGTTTATTTTAGATGGTCAATTTGAAAAAGAACTTTCAAAGTGCAAAAAAACTAGTTAATTTCAACAATTCAATATCAACAATTTTGCAGAAATTTAGGATATAAAAATTTGTGTTAAAATTCCTAGTTTAAAATATAAAAATTTAACCGGTTTTTTAATTGTTGCCTTAAAAACGAAACCAAAAGCACCACGACCAATCATTTTTCCGCGTTTAATAGTCTCTGATGGAATTATATAATCCGCATTTAGATCAAGAAATGCAGTATCCGGAGCGATGCATGAAACAGACAATAAGGAATGATTTGGACATGACAGATTAGTGCCATTATGTGCGCACAAGATACATTCCTCGATAGTGAATGCATACAATGATTGGCGTGGCACTCGGGTTGCACCGCTTAAATCACCGATTGTTTGAGAGCGAGAGCTGAAAAAAATTCCAATACCTTCTCTATTAAGAAAAGAAAATATTGAAAATCATCATACCATTGGCTAGATCTTTTTGAAATATTTTCTTCAATTTCACCATTGCTATCGATCTTTACATTGTTATTCGAAAGATCACCGCAAATAGGACATGGAATGAGTCTGTTTACCAATAACCGTCCTTCTGAAGTATGAACAAAGCGTGTTCCTAACGATGGATACCTAAAAAGAAATTAAATGAAAGAACAAATATATATTCAGCGAAATTTTAAATAAATCTTAAAATAAAATGAATTAAAATCAAAATAGCATAGAAAAATAATTAGAAGAAAACATACCATTCTAATTAGAATAATTAGAAGAAAACATACCAATCTTCTAGCAAAGTATCAATCAAATCAACAACAAGAGCCAGAAAACGAGTGACAATAATACGATTACATCGAATAACATATTCCTGTGTTCCTTTCACAATATTTATTCTAAAAGCAAGCGACTCCAATAGTCAAGAGTCAAAAAATAATGACTAAAACCAATAAAAACCTTCAAAGCAGTGATAACTGATAATTCTGAACAAAATGAAGCAAACCTAAAAGAAGGAAGAATTATTTCAATTAGTGATGATGTGTTAGCATTCAGAGTTCTCCACTGCCCATCCTCACCAGTTACATACCATTCCACTAGTTCATAATGAATATCGCTGACATTTGCAAGAGGCAAAAACTGACGCACAGTAAAAAATGATTGACCAAAAGCAATAATCTAAATAAATAATTTTGATTAAAACATTACTGTTATTATGATAGAATAAATAAGGCACATAGAATAAATAAATATGTACAAATAATTTACGTATTACTTGTTACATAGATTAATCAAAATAACTGGTGAATTAATTATTTTTCAAGTCAAAATTCGTTGCATTGACTTTCATTTTTGCATTAAAAAAATTATAAATTGAAAAAATTTGTTGAAAAAAATACTTCAATGCCAGTTTGCCAAAGTAACCATTCAGGTTGGAAATTTTCATCACAAATACGCTTCAGTGAATCAAGAAAGCTGCCTGAAGGCAAATGTTCGACGGAAAAAAGATGCTCAATACATGATGTTATTTGATCATTTCCTAAGATACGAGTTATCAGACGTGACCAAAAGCCTGATGGTATATAAGCCATCATATATACTCGACGCACTGTTTCCTGCAAATAATACCGCTCTATATTTTTTAATTTGCAACTTATGAAATTCAATCCTTTCTAAATAAACCTAATAACAAGTAATATGCTTGAATAATATATAATATGATCATAAAGCAATTGAATTTGTTAAATTTAGAAATACAAATAAATAAAATACAAAAAACCAAAAATTTTGTTAATCTTATAAAAGAAAACTAAAATAACAAATTACAAATCAAGAAAAAATTACTATCTCTTTCTAGATCTCAAATTGACCAAGATTAAAAGCAAATGTTCTTCGCTATTATCTTATATGTTATATGATTTTTGCCTTATGTTAATTTATGGCCGAAAGGAAAAAAAAAGCTATAGCAAATATTTAAGAAAATTACTTAAGTTATTTAAGAAATAACTAAATAAAACGACTAAACTTTATACCTTTTTAAGCAAAAATGGGTTTATTACATATTTTGAAGGAGAATCATCATTGTTCATCTTCCCACCAGTAGTCTTTTTTGGGTTCGACATTCCAATATCAATTTTCTGTGATTGATTGTACGATTCTGAAGAATCATCGAGGCTTCGCTGATAAAATAATGGCTTTAGCTGCAGATTCTTTTTTGGAAAAGCATAAGGTGAAGCATTACACGTGAAAAAATTTAGCTGCCATGAATTTATTTTAGTTGATATCTGCAATATTTGAACTAAAGTAACAGTAAAGTAATAGATTCTTTGATGAAAAACAAAAAAGTGGAAAAAAATGCAGAAATAAATATTACTTACGAGAATACGAGAACCAGGATATCCTGCTCTTAACTGATATTCATCAGGTAGAAGTGAGGGAATAAGTAAGGAACGAGATTGCCATGTTAAAGCTACTTCGAATTTGTGCAACAAAGATATAATATGGGCTCTAAATTATAAAATTATTAAGAAATTCGTAAGAATTTACTAATATTTACTAAATTTTATATCTATAAAAATAACCTAACACTTCAGTGGAAAATAATGGAGTTTCATTAATAATATAAATATATAAATGATATATAAATAATAATCTATAAATAATAATATATAAGCGAAACCATCTGTTGGCGAAACCTAACGATTTAAATTCATTAATTTCCACGACTTATATATGAGAACTATAAATGAGAAAATATATGCTATTATAAAAATTTGACTATAATAAACAACAAGCACCTCAAATTTATGGTTGAGTCGATTGTTTTTAGAGATTTAAAGAGAATCTGCAGATCATCAATTTTCATTAAGCCATTTTTTGCGAAAGGATTGATTTCGCGAATGGTAATGACATGAGCCAAGAGATCACATAGCCACTGTGGATCAAGAAAAAAAAGTTCACGAAGTGTTACATCTTCATAATGCAGTATTACTCCTGATTTCGAAAAATATTGACGGTAAAATAAAATAAAATAAAAATAGCGGTAAAATATGTATTATTATTATATTATTATTATATATGAAATATTATTTTTTCATTAGCGGTAAAATAAAAACATCCGAAATTAAAATAATAATGACCAAAAAAAGCTTCAAAGACAAATAGTAAAAGCCTAAAACTTTGCAGAAAATAAGGCGGTATAATGGTACAAATAAGAAGGTCAATAGCTGAAAATTAACCATTTTCGTGAAGGAATGAACAAGCATGATTGAATTCAATATCATCTCGAAAACGTCGACCATAATTTTTCAACATTTTCTTTTGAACAGCTGAATAAAAATCATGGCTTTTCATCACCGGTTCAAGTCCACTAGATCGCCGTTCATCTCCAAGTTCGACAGCTATCTACAATAATATCTAAACTAATTCGAAGTTAAACCAAAAATCTGAACGATCTTTCTGCTAAAATAATTTACTTTTTCAAATGCCAAATAAGACGCTGGAACCTTTTGATCAAGCAACCGCTCTTTACCTCCAGTTGTACGGATATCGAATGCAGTTCTATACATTAAATTACACAAAGCACGAATATTATATTTTGTTTTAGAGGAAACAAAGATAGTATCAACTACGCGAGGAATTCCTTTTTTATCAGCATCAGCAACCAACACGAATCGATCTAAAAACCAATTTTAACTTTTCTTTAACCACAATTTCAAAAAGAACTTCAACCCCCTCTGACAAGTAATGAACCAAAACCCCGTATTTGTGCATCCAAATTTTGCAAATATTTCGTTGGAAAGCGATCGATATTGGATAACACTTGGTCGACATGAGTACCAACTACAATCACAGGTGAATTCGGAGCTCTTGCCTGAACAATATATTTTACTCGATTTTTTAACGCAGATTCGAATTGGTTTTCAAAAGAATTGAAATGACCTGTATATTTACAAGCCATTGATGTATGTCAGGAACAGCTGCTTCGCCATCAGTTATTTTCCAAACTACTAAGTAAATTGATCGCCGCGAAAGAAAATACTGATGAGTTGCATAATATTCACGTTGACCACCGAAATCCCAAGTACGAAATGTCACCGGACCAAGTGATTGTTCACCTATAAATGGTATTTGTAACAAGCAGCGTATCAATAAATAAAAAATACTGTCTTTAAATCCTATTAGCACAATACTAAACAATTTCTACCAAAAAAATATAGCCTTTGAATAAAAATAAATGTATTAAAGAAAAAAGTGTCATGATTTAAACTCATCTGTTTAAATCGAAAAAAATAAATCTGATTAGGTATATAATAATTTAGCAATAATGCAAATTGACAATACCCTTTGATTTTTTTGGTTCAAAAGTCCATTCTGCAATATCAACACCAACTGTAGAAATATTCACACCTTTTGAAGTACGATCATTGTTACTTGAATTATTTCCCATACGCTTTGACCAGTTCTAAAGGAATGAATGTAAAAATGTAAAATATAAAATATAAAAGTAAATGTAAAAATATAAAAGACAATTTCGAATAAGCAGATATGAGAGACTCAATTTTTGAACGCAATATATTTTGATATTTAAGAAAGTAGTAAGATTATTAAGAAAAAAATGCATATGAAAACCAAGACACATATGTGCGTGCAAAATATTTTGTGGATATTCTACTCAGAAAATCAATAATTTAGTAATAAAACATAAAATGCGAGAAAACTAACATCATTAGATGGACCACGTTTATTTACTGTACCCTCCAAGCGAATCTGTTGCAGCAATGATGTTTTACCAATGCCCTGGACACCGACAATCATCAACTTCAAGCGGTTATACCGTCGAGAACTAAAAATTGCAATAAATAATAATATATTCACTTCTCGAAAAATGCAAAACAATGAGAAAAAAAAAACCAGACCGGAATTAAATAACCAGAGAAAAATTGCGAAAAATTCTAAAATTAAATTGAATATTATTATTAAGTTAATGTCAAAACATTCGAAGAATAGACGAACTCTTCAAGGATTGATTTTAAATAAGCAATTAAATCGACGGTTTTATAATTTTCTGCTTGAACGAGACTTTTAATTGGGTCTCGCAATGCACAACCTTTCAAATTAAGATGCCAAAGTTTACCTGAAAATAAAATAGTAAAAAATGAATTGAATTTTTCAGCTTGATGAAAGAAAAATCTAAAAATCTATTCAACGAGATAACAAAAATGATAAATAAAAGTACCAAGAAGACCGAGTTCAGAAGGCAGAACCTCAATTCCGACATTTCCGCTCAAATTTAAAGTTGAAAGGGCTGATAAACAACATATAGCTGCAGGTACAATTTTTATGCAATTATCAGAGATATCAAATGACGTTAGAGATGGAAATAAAAGATTTTGTCTTAACTGAATCTGAAATTATTTCCAATTCAATGCTCATCTGAAATTGTAATAATTTGAAACAATAAAATAAGATTAAAAAATACAGGGTCTCGTCGATTTTCTCGAGCTTTCTTCTTTGCAGCATTTATCCTCGCCTGCGATATGAATAAGGGAACTTCTGATAACTGATTTTTGCTCAGTTGCAATGTTCGCAGCGATTCTAATCGAGTGTGTTGCTTATGTCCACATGCATTAATATGGACATCATTCATTACTTCGGTTCGAGCAACGCTGAGGGATCGTTGACTCCGAACGACTGATTTTGAACGACTTCCTAAAATAGTGGCAAGGTAAATAATCTTAATTTGGAAACCACGTCGAATCCTAAAATTCTTATGAAAAACTTAAAATTTTCAATTAAAAATTTTATGAAAAGAAATATTAATATGAAAATAGATAAGAAAAATGAAAAGCTAAGCTAAAATTTTACTTGGGTTTCTGTTGGGACTATAATGGCGTATTTGTTGTAATGTATTGAAAGCAGAACCAGAATTTGTATGACAAACAAGATTCAGCGGGTGAGCGGCTTCAAAAGCTATTAGAAGATTATTGGATGAAGCATCAAGATGGCGCAATTGTGCAGGGAAACATTCAACAGGGCCAAGTGATGTAAGCTTATTATTCGAAATATTAAGTCGAGCAAGACGTGGACAACAGCACGCAAGAGAAGACGGTAATATTTTCAACTGAAACACATTGTTTGCATAACTTTAATTTATGCTGATTTGCTAATTGAGATTCTAATATCCATTACTAACTAATCTACATCAAATATCAAATATAAACGAGAATAAAAAGAAATTCTCATAAATTTAAATCAAATTCAAATTTAAATCAAATAAATTTAAATCAAATTTTTATGTACTCTTTAATTAAATAATATTTCGAAAACGACTTTGGCAAATATTAGTCAAATTAGGAAAGAAAAAGTAAAAAAAAAATGCTTAATCGACTTGCATTATTATTAGCGATGTTGAGTGAAGCAAGAGTTGATGATGATTTTGTTGAGTTTGCTTCTATATCTGAATCATCTGAACGGGCAAGAGAAATATTTGCCTGCCAAACATTGTGCCTGAATACTAAAATGAATGAAATATGAAATATGACTGAATATTAATATGAAATAAATGAAATAAAAGATTTCATAATTTTTAAAATTTCAGAATAAAATACCATCAACTTTTTTGTAAAAGTAATAAAACCTTTTTAGCTCGTGAAATGTAATATTCGAATCGTCTATGCGTCCTCCAATACTTATAGAATCATCAGTACTAGCGTTATTATCTGGTTGCTGATTGTCCAAAATTCCACTTGCAGATAAGTGGCTAACTGGGCGCGAAAGAGGTGCAGTAACAACAGGTAAGTTTATCAGCAAATTATTAGACACATTCAATTCATGTAATTTTGGGGCCATCCAAAGTGTTTCCGGAAGAAATGAAAGCTTATTGAAAGAGACATCCAGGCTACTCAAATTAGGCAGATGCGATGAAAAAATCTAAATTTTTGGGTAATTTAAGCTGGTAAAAAAGATAAAAGTAATGAAAGTAATGATTGTGTAGAAACTACAAACAAAAACTTACAGCATCCGGAACACAAGAAATCTGATTACGTTCAAGAGAAAGATTTTCAAGTAATGGCGCTATCCAGTTATCATTTGGTGTAATAATTTCAGAAATAATATTATTGGATGCATTAAGACTTCGCAACGAAGGCAACTGGAACAATGATGCAGAAAGTTTTTCTAATTTATTAGATGAAATATCGATCCGAGTTAATGCGGCTGTAGCCAAACTAAAACAGTCAAATTATAAAATGGTTATGTAATCTAATCATTCATTTCAAAACAAAACTTGAAAACTGCTATGCTTACCGCGATGTTTTAAGTCGCTGATTAAGTTGAAGGCATGCTGCAATTAACCAATCGGTGATTACTGTCGACAAACTAGCATTGTGCCAATTTAACATACAAGAAGTTGTGGGAAATACGGTTGAAGGAAACAAATTTCGATTCAGTGAAACTTGTCCAAAATCTATTCCTTTGTTGACCCGATAGTCCGGATCAGGGAACGCAAGACGCACAAGGAAAAGGCGAATTAGAGCATCTTGCTGGTACTAAAATATAAATATTTTGGGATTTTAATTTACTAAGGATTTATAATAAAATTTTTTAAAATATTTAAAACATTTTTCACCTTTACTGCAGTTGAAAGAGCGATATTATCATGGTCAATAGCACCACGTTGTAGCAAAAGCTGCACAAGAGGTAATGAACCAATCCGACATGCTTCATTCAGCGCACCTGATCCAATACATCGTGCTCCATCTAAACTACTTATATCGGCATCTGTGAGACCACAAGGCAAATTTACGTCTGCACCATGATCCAATAATAATCTGTATACAGAACTATAAAACCATGGATATATATAACTATTTTTTGGCTAAACTGGTTACCGCATCTTCAGACCATCTATCTTTGGCAATAATTTCGCTGACTAGCATATAGTAAATCATAATAGTCGTAAAATTTTTTGCGTTCTTTCAATTTTCGTAAATTTATCACCTTAATTTAATATAAAATGGTTATGTATTATACATCGTTATTTATCAAATTAAATTTGATTAAATTAAATTTGGATGTGATTTCTACTTGACAATGGCTATATTGCCATTAGCAGCGGCAACCATCAAAGGCGTTCGACCACCACTGCAGTAGACATCAATTTGAAAAGGGCATTTAAGTTCGGAACTCATGGTAAAAAAATTTGTCTGAAATTATAGCAATCCTTATATTAGACTTTAAAAAATGGATAGTAAGTAAGCAAAAAAAAAAATCTGGTTAACCTTTGTTCCCTGAATTTTCTTTAATAATTATTGACTTATGGACATTGCAAGTCAAGCGATTACTGTCCACATCCTTTCTAAATATCGTGTGGATATAGCTTGCTTATCGGACGTGCCTCATTTCGGATCTCGAGTAATTACTAATCCTGGCTCGGAGCAGAGGTACTGGCTATATATCATTGCTTCGGATAATTTGGGGTAGTGGCATAGTTATGTCTGACAAGGCCCATTCTGCTTTGATTGAGTAGAAACCGGTAAGTGACCGTATGGCCTATACCCATTTTAAAGGTAAGTTCTGCAATATCTCGTTCATCAGTGTCTAGGCTCCAACTCTGTTGGCAGATGACCATGTTAAAGATAAGTTTTATGCAGAACTTCAACTGCTAACAAAGTCTATACCGAAACATGATATGTCATAATCGTGCGTACGAGACAATGCACGCGTAGGCCATAATGCCACTGCGATGACCTCGATAATTGGGAACTCCTTCTTCGTTATGCCGAAGAGCATGAACTTTTTGTTACTAATACTTCCTTCCGGCATCATAAAAAACATCGTGTGAAACTCCTCGGATAACCAACACTACAACCAGATTGATTATCTCTTAATCAGACACCGTTGGAAGAGTTCCGTGTTAAATAATAGTTCCTATCACAGCGCTTCAAACGGGTAATCTTCATGGATCTGACTTTGTTGTGGTCCGAGCCAAGATCCGCATAAAAGTGACTGCTAAAATCTCCAAGATCTTTCAATTATCTCAAACTGAAAAATTCAGGAAGCATTTCAAACCAAATGAAGCATCTCAATGATACAAATAACTTTGACTTCAATGATTTTTCTGGATCGGAAAATGAATACTGGTCTAAATTAAAAGAATGTCAGAAAATCAATCACTTCCACGCTAAGGCATAGTAGTAGGAAGTGCGGTTAGTTGGGTATCGGAAACAATTGTCCAACTGTGAAAGAACTGCCAAAGCATGAATATCCGAATGTCAGGTGATCCTGACTACAGGACGCACGACGGGATAGAAATCACTACTGGATTGACATGGCCTTGAGAATGGAGGCGGCGGCTCGATTAGGCGGTAATAGGAGACTACGCCTTCTTCATAAAGCATCTGTAATTCAGGGAATGATCGGTGAAATGGTAAGGGACAGCAATGGCGTGCCAGTCAAGAATATTAAGGATTCCTCATAAGATGGAAGAAATTCTTTGAGGCCAAACTTAACCATAAAGCCCCATCTGTTGCCCCTCATATAGCTGATACATTCGCCAAACTCGCAATTGCGGACCTCCAACAGAAGAAGAAGTATTCTCCGTTATCCATAAGCTTAAAGCCAATAAGATTCCGAGAGATGGTCTTCGGGCTGAACTCTCTTCAATATTGTACATCATTCTTCATAACGCACAAATGTACTCTTCAGTAGGGGGAAAAAAAAATGATTGTAGCAAAGTAATTCTGCTCTTAATTCTCAAGAAAGGTGATAGGAAACATTGCGACAACTATCGAGGAAGCAGCCTAATATACGCCTCAGCGAAAATCTTTGCCCTGCTACTCAACAGACTTATGGAAGTACGGGACAGCAGGATAAGCCTTAATCAAGCTGGATTTAGATCAAGGTGCGGTTGTGCTAACCAGATATTCACGTTAAGAAGAGTGTTAGAATATCACTTTAGATTTGCAACCTACTGTCTCGTGTTTCATCGACTTTGCTACTGCCTTTGATTCAATTGATAGAGCAGCTGGAGGGTGATGCATTGCGACGGTGTTCCAGAGAAGATTCGACTCATAAAGGCATTTTATGAGCGCACGTCGGCGCAGATCCGTGTATATGGGGAGCTGACAGAGTCCTTCGAAATAAGAACTGGTGTCCTTTCCCCTACAGTATTCAACTATGCGATAGACTGGATAATGGACATTGCCTGTCGGCATTCAAAAGATACCCAAATCAGTCCAGAGCATCGTATCACAAATGTTGAATACGCTGATGATGTGCTCCTTTTTGCTGACAAATAATGCTAAATAACGTGTCAGCAACTGCAGCGAGAATCGGAATCAGAATCAATGTAAATAAAACTAAATAAATAAATAAACTTAAATGAATAAACTGAACAAACAAATATTCTCTTCTTAAACTTAAATAAATAAACTTCTCGTCTTATGTGCTCCTTGCCCTCAAATGCCCCTTTTATAAATTCGTTGCCCATTGAGGAAGTGCCCGATTTTAAATCCTGGGTCTATTCTATTAGCAAATGGCCAGGAAAAAGACGATATTATAACTCGGATTACGGCAGCTATAAATACGTTCTTCCGGTTGATGAAACCTTTATGAAGCCGTCGCAAAATCACCATAAAAACGAAAATCCGCATCTATATAGCCGTAATTGATTTGATCTTGCTATATGGCTCTGAGACATGGCCAATGAGAGTAGAGGATATTAAGAAGTTATCTTGACCACTCTTTGACCACTCTTGTCTTAAAAGGGTCACCTTCGCTGGTTAGGGCACGTTCTCCGTTGTTCACCACAGCAGTTGATGCATATGTTACTTGCTAAACCCTATGATGTGTGGCATCAAAAGCGACGTGGACCAATCAAAACCTGGACTGATACGATCAGAAAAGATTTTGAACGTATAGATGCAGCAGCAACATATGGATTTGGAGGATGGGAAAAGGAATGGCTTCTATTACTGTCGACGATGGCATCAGACCACGCCGCTTGGAAAGGTCTTACCCTTGAAGCCAGCCTAACCAGTAATTGTGAGAGAAGATGTAAACGCAAAAAAAAATCCTGCTAATCTTTGTTTCCTGAATTTTGTTTAATAATTATTCAAATAATTGTTCAAAAATATAGTGATAAATAAAATAAAAGTGAATTAATGAAACACACTTCCAACAAATATTTAACGACATCAACATGTGAATTTGCGACAGCTAAATAAAGTGTTGTTCTACACTGTGCATCTAGCATATTAACATCGATAACAAAATTATACGAAAAACGACCCGAAACATCTTCAATGCGTGTTATTAAATCCTTATCATAAGGAAATTCCATTAATCTATAATGCAAAAGCCAATTTATTACGTCAAAAAAACAAAGATTTTATATATTTATATATTTCATATATATTTCAAATATATATATATATATATAATTGTATATTATATATTTTATATATTTATAAAATATATATATATATTATATATATTTTATATATAAATATATTTTATAAATTGATTTTATATATTTCAAATGATTTTATATATTTACGAAATTTCAAGATTCAAAAAATTCCAAGAACAATTCAGTAACGAGAAAAAAATGGAGCTAGAGAGTGAAAAGAAAAACGAACATTTTAATAACTTCAAGATTTCCGCACTGAGCTGCCCAATGTAGAACACTACTTCCCTCTGCATTTCTTGACGTTACCAAATGTGTAAACGCCTAAAATTTTAGCTATCCAAATTTTGAAAAAACATAATTGGCCTATAAAATCCATATTTTCTTTCTAGATATGCAATTACTTCAAGAAACCGAGTCAAAATAAAAGAAATAACAACAAACGAACTTTTAAAATCATCTCCACAATAACTGGTTCTTGCGATGATATCGCAGCATGTAATACAGTATCATGTGTTATCGCCTGTATGAGCATGTGACCTCGAACTTTAAGCAGTTCAGCAACTACTTCCTGCCTTCCATTCAAACATGCACTAAAATGAATTAAAATGAACAAAATTTTTGATGACGATACAATTCTATTCGATAAAAATTTTAGTTAAAAGGTGAATTTAATGTTTTTTTAAAGGTGATTTCAAGGAAATTTAGAAAAATTCAAGAAAAGTAAAAGCATAGTTTAACTTGTAAAAGAGAAGCAATCAAATAACTAAATATAAATCAATACTTCAAGAAAAAGAAAATGGTGTTATCAAGAGAGATAACCAATTTCTTTATTCAATACAAATAATTCAAGAAAAAACAAACATATAGAGGGCACATTTCCTATCAAGTGTTGTACCATTAAGAACAGCGTCAGAGTTGCCATTCGTCAAATTTGCTAAGATTTTCTTAACCACATCCAGCTCAGCGTTAATGCATGCCGTTATTAGTTGATCATGAAGTTCTTGCACTCGTTTTCGTTCAGTTTCTGCAGGAAAAAACCATTTTTTTAAAGGCTAAAAAGGCTACACTATCAATATAAGTGATATCAAAGAGACTATAAGAAATTTTAAGTAATGTAATAATAAAGACAAAAGACAAAAATTACAAAATCAAATCAATATATTTTAAGGTTAAAAAATTTATATTGAAGTGTTTTTCGTAATTTAATTATATACTTCGATGATTTTTTATAATAGAATTCTGTTATTTGTTTAAAATTTAAAACATTTAATACTATAGAAAGATTCTAAAAAATTTTGGAATTAGGTTGAAAATACTAAAAAAAATAAAAAATACTAAATACTAAAATATAAATACTAAAAAAAATAACCAATTGCATCGATAAGAAGGCAAGCGACTTCAAAATGATTTCCCATTTGTGCGAGTTCGAGTGCACAGTGATCACTCAAATCAACTGCAAGAAGTTCTGCTCCACAATTTATTAACCGTTGTACTACTGCATATTTTCCATTGACTGCTGCGACATGTAAGGGTGTTACGCAAGAAAGATTTGGACCCGTAATACTATTAACATTCGCTGCAAATGATTGAATATTTCTAAATATTACTTAAAATCTGAAAAAATAGAGCAGTGCTGCCGTACTTCTATCCCTCCAGTGACGATTTTGTTTTAATAGACAGTGGAGCCAGCCAAACCAAATACGCCATCAGAAAAAGAATGAAAGAAATAAAAAAGAAAACAGAAAAATTTGATTAATATTAAAAAATCAGTTATAATATTACAAATTACAAATATAATACAAAATTTTTAATAAATATAATAAACAATTTAATAAAAAAAATGAATCTCGTAGATGGAATTATTTATGATTTTATAGTTATAATTTAAAAAATTTATAGTTATAATTTATGATTTTATAGTTATAATTTACAATAAATAAAATCTTAAAGAAAATTTGTTTAAAATAATTTCAACTTATTTTTTACAGTAAATAACTTATAATAAAATGCAAAGTTGACCGAAAATATGACTGATATATTGAAAAAAGAAAACCTCCTGCGGCAAGAAGAAGATCGACGATTGTAAGATTTCCATGCTGTGCGGCTAAATGTAAAGCACTTCGACCGTACTTGTCTTTGTAATTTACTTTTTCCGGATAAGCTTGAACTAAATCACGTAACAATTCCTCATTATCGTAAAAAGCTGCCTAAAATTAAAAATAAAAATTTCTAGGAAAACTAAAGAGCCCTTAGAAAAATTTTTTCGCGTATCGAAATGTTTATCGCTTATTTATCGAAAAAATTTTTTTGCTAGAAATATATTGGGAATAAAGAAATTAAAGAAATATATTGGGATAAAAAAATTTTTTCATTTTTTTGCTTTAAATAAAATTTATAAACTTCTTTAAAATAAAATGGCTAAAAAATAGCTACTAATAGCTAAAAAAAAATATTTTAAAAATAGCTATTTTTTCTGTCATAGATATTTAAAAAATGGAAAATCTAACCTGAAAAATCAGTTGGTCCATATCTTCGGCACTTCCTTCATCGCCCATTTTTTTCTTTTCGTCACGTATTTAATTCACCACCAACCTTCCTTTCTAATTCGTGCGTCTCCTTCTTTCACCAACAATTCACCAAATAGAAGCTTCTTCGCTTCTTCCTATTGATTTTCCTCTGCTTGGCCTCCGCATTATTTAATTCATTCAAGACTGTATATAAAATCAAAATAACTCACGGAGGAGAAAGAAATTAACCGCCAGTCAGAAAAAAAGAAAGCAAATGATAGGAAGGGAAATGCGCCGCTTCCCAACTCAACTTCTTTTAATAACACTTATATGACCGAACTCGATGGCCGCAGATAATTCACAGCCCGAACTCTCTCCCTTACTGCTTTAGCCAACTTGATACTAGGCTTAAACATTAAAAGAACGAAAGGAAATCTTGGAGATTAATTACTTACCCGCTCGCCACGAAATAAATGGAAGAAACAGCACAAATTTTTTATATTTATGATGCAAACAAGTAAAACAAGTAAATAAATGTAAAAATGAATGTAAAAATACGAACCTAAATATGAAAAAGCGAAAAGCGGAAAAAGATTTTACTAGGAGTATAGAAATGAAAAAATATAATTGCAAAAATTTCCTATTACTGCAAAAACAAGTTTTCACGAATCAATAAGTAATAAAATTATATCGAAAGATTTTCTCGCGAAAATTTGCGACACTTCGATCCAAAGAAACTGACTCGATCTGAAAGCTCCTTAATGGAGTATATGGCACTTATTAAGCATAACGAGCACATTTCAAGAAAAGACGAAAAAGGCCAATGTTGAAGGCAAAGAATGTGTTGATCCAATATAAATTAGGACATCAACAGCTAATAATATTTCATATTATAATAAATTCTATTCATTTTACGACGGTTTAATTCAATTCTATATTTAATTAGCATTAATAAGAGTCCTCCTTCATTCAACCTAATTAATGAAAACATTCAGTAAAGCATTTTCAATTACCTGACACTTGTAACAAATAATGGCCGCAAAATGAATATCAATTCTGATTTAGGTCATCTATAGCCACAGCCACACTTTACTGATGGAATTTCAGTGGTATTCAATCTCTTAAGTTTATTTTGTTGCTAATATTTTAGATGCTAACATTAATACAAAGGATGAATTGCTATTTTTTTCAATATAGTAATCGATGAAATCGATCAAAAATTTTCTACGATGATGGAAATAACAGAAAAATGAAAATAACCAGCATTATACGAAATGGCTCACTGGCTATCTAAATGATATAAATTTCATTATAGTATAAAAATAATAATTTTTTTCGAACAGGTTAAATATTTTGTGAACGAGCTTTCAGTTTCTTTTCTTTAATCTTTATTATTGAAGAAATTATAAAAACTAATAAAAAATTTTAATCAACCATTTCAACGTCATTTAAATCAAGGTCTTCAAGCATTTCACCAACTGATGGACAAAATGGAATATCATAATCTTCATCGTCATCAGCAACGATATCTGTTTTTTTGTAAATATTAATCCTTTTGCGAAGCTGTTCATCCTCTTCCAAATCTTCCATGAAATTCTGTAACGACAAATTTGAAGGATAATTCTGAAATAAATTAATCAAAATTTTCGCCAAAAATACCTCAAATTCATTTTCTACTGAAGCAGTATCGGGGACAATATTGCCATCTCGAACAATACGTTTAAGTTTCCATTTCCTTCTCTTTTGCCTCATTGTTCGATCAAATACTTTACGAACGAGAATGACGTCTGGAACTCGATCAGAAGCAACAGAATCCAAAATTTTATTGTTGACATTACTATTTTGCAAATCGAAACCTGAAAATTTCCTAATTAACCACGAATATTTGTTGATATTCGCATAAGAAAATCACGATATTCCACGATATCAACATTATTTTGGAAATATAAATTCATATATGTGATCTACATAACGTTTTTTTTTTAATGTAATTTGTAATTTCTTTAAAATAATTCTTGACTTTAGCAAATTTACAATGCAAAAAAATGGATGAAATGATACCTAAGACAGTGTCACCAGGCTTAAGGACATTACCAAGATGGGAACGAGTAAAAATTATAGGTGCATCAGTTTTCCCCACCTGCAATAAAATCATATAAATCAAATCTTCAAATCATTTAAAAAATGATTGAAATTAAACAGCCCTATCGATCATTCTATCTAGAAATTGATGATGTTCATACTATTAGTAATTTAAATGCTAATGTATATGGAACAATTAATATGGAATAGCGCATGGACATTAAAGAAAAATTTAAGACAAAATAAACTATAAATGAAAGCTGTTCATTATTTGACTTCCAACAAAGAATTAAAAAGAATTAAAGGGAATTATACTAAGAAAAATTTAATTAATCTAATCAAAATTTTCATTTTAATATTAAAAAAATAGTGAAAATAAAGATCAAAAAAAATTTCTGTTCAGAAGTTCTGAAAAACTGAATTCATGAAAAAAATTCATATATCCAAATCGAACTTTTTTCAATGAATTGAAAAGTCAAGTTGATAGCCGATCGAAATAAGACAATTTCAACTTGAAATTCACCTGATCTGCTCGTGCAACCCAAACATCAACTAAACGATGCTTTGACGAGATTCGCCCATGACCTTTTTCCCTTTGCAAATCAACAACATCTTCTACGTCCAAAACATAAAATTCAGTAAATTGTTTTGGTTGACACAATGACTCAAAGGGATGCCGATAATAAGCTTGACTAAAATTTTCTTTTCTTTTTCATGAATTAAGAACTAAATCTGGAAATGAAACATACAGTTAAAAAACCCATAAATACGAAAGCCTATAAAACTGATTTAAGATTTTCCACAATTTTAATCAAGACCAAAGAATGTAAGGAAAATAAAATTATGGTAAGATGGAATATGAAAAACAAAAAGCACATACGCATTTATATCCGCAAGTTGTAGAGTTGATGGATCAATTATTGTTATTACATTATTTACTCGCAAGCAAACAACAAATTGATTCATATTTCCAAGCGATTGCGCGATTTTTCTTGGTAAACAAATCACATTATCTTTACAAACAGGAACTACTTCCACACAGAAAGTATGTTTATAATCATAAGTGGAATTTTTTGTATCATGGCTAATTAGCTCCTGAAAAAAGCAAATTTAATTTGAATTTACCCAAGCACTATAAAAAAAATTTTGAAGAACCGCATAAATCAAAATCGAATGATAAATCGAATGAATATTTCAAAACTCCAGAAAAAAACAAATAAACCTGAGCATACTGATATTTACACGGCAATACCGAAACAACAAAATCGACTAATTTTCTTGCATCTTGTAATTTTGCGTAATAGAAGTCAATTCCAGTTGAAACAGGTTTAATACCTGTCGTGTTTGTATGAGCTCCGTATTTCAATAAAAGTTGTTCCAGGTAAAAAAGCGTCTTTTTAAAGTCACATTTCTGACGAATCTGAACACATGCACGCCAATAATCCTTTGCTTCCACCTTACGACAATCTTCGCACATCTGAAAATGCATATTCGAAAAAAATTTGCTATAATTACGCATTATATTACTGCAAGATAAGGTGAGTGGTTGATAAAGTGATTATATGCGAGTCAGTGGAAAAGAAATGGCAAGTCATTTGCCAGAATACAAGGAAGGAAGAAAAATAAAGAGGAAAGATATAACGAAAATGGCCAAAAAATCCTTACAAAGGCTGTTTTGCTAATAAGATCCAGTGAAATTTTTTTTTATACATTAATCTGATTACCTGATTAAGGACAACATATTCAATTACAAAGGTTTGTTGAAGAATAGCTCCTGTCAGCACTTCTTTTTGAATTGTCAATTTTACTTTAATTCTTTTCGAATGCGGTTCCGTCCAAATAAAAGATGCATCGACTAATCTAACCTGAAATTGGCAGAAAATTAATTAAATTTAAAATTAATCAATCATAATTATTTGTGAAAATATAAGAGAATATAAAATATGAAAAATTAATGAATATATTATTACCGCAACATTAGCTCAAAAAGTCTGGGATAAACTCTTTAGTAGTTTCTCCTATAATTACAAAAAAGCCAAAAGCCAAAAAATAACGCAAAAAATACTTAAAAAAGAACCTTTTGAAGAGTAGATTTTATTTTTTTTAAAGCCAGTGAAAGCAATTCTTTCGATTCCAGTTCAGCACGAATCCACGCATTTGGTGGAAGTAAATATCGTTCGCAAAATCTGCATGAATATAATCGACCTAAGCAAAAAAAACGAGAACCAATATCAAATTTCTGGTCTTAAATTCGATAAAATAAATATATTAACAAGAGAAATTAATAAGACAATTTTAATGGATTACACATAATTCTGCAAAGTTAGTCGTCTTAATGCAAATAATTCTCAGTGTTTGCACTTAATTTTGAACACTTACGAAAACTCTTCCATGCGAAGAATGGAAAGCAATTTTTTAAATAATAAAGCAGCCACGAAATAATCATTATCGGACCACTTTCACATATAAGAAATAAATGTTCTTTGGCGTTCCATCTACTTCTTCTTAGTGAAGCAAACATTACCAAGTTATTATATAAAGCAATATAAAGCATACGAACCTGACAAGTCGAACGCTTAAAATAAATTCAAAACAAACTTTGCTTTGGTATATCTTCAGTGATATCAATACGCGACCGTATACAAGCAACACACATATTTGCAGCATTTGGCTGAATTGATAAACCACATTCACAACATAAAATTAAACCCGCGCCGCCTTCGTCACCCCTCACTACTAGTGGTTCCATAAAGTCCTCCCTACAAATTATATTCATAGATAGAACAATAAATTGGCAAATTTGTAAGTGTCCACTGTGCAGGGACGTTGCCGACGGCGCCTGCCTATAAAATGGCACTTATTTTTCTAAAACCAACATTCACTTTCCCAACTTCTGATATATTTAAATGACTCACGAGGCAATAATAAAGGCAATAATAAAAATGTAAGCAATAAAATTAATCAATTGAGAGAAGAAAAGCAGAAATTAAGAATATTAAGTTCGACGCGCAACCACTTTTAAATCCATGCTTATGACTAATCACCGTGTGTACCCCTTATCCCCACCCTCCCGAACCGAAGCCTCGCACCGACTTTAAGGATGCCATGTCTGCCGTTTTTCACTGATGGTTAGATGCAGCCTCGGCATCCCTATCCGATATTAAACAGCAGTTGCAGCCGGAAGTCTAGACTAGCCGCGTCACTAGGTCGTTCAGCCCACATTTCAACTGAGCCCGTGGCAGCTAGACGAATTGAAATCGCGGCACATCGACGTCCGACTTCGAGTTTTAGTTATCGTGGCTGAACTGGCGGATCCGTTGCGAACGCTTGGCTGTTCAGATTATTGCAGCTTCGACAAGTAATGCACTTTTGAGCAAACAGCTACGATTTTAGCGATAACTTATGTTCGTCTTATTTATAAAACTGATAAGTAAGTTGAAGTAATCGATACTGCGGTAATTACTGCGGTACTGTTCGGAATTGTGTAAAAAAACAACGAAATGAGTTTATTAACAAAAAAATTCATTCGAAGTTCATTTCATTTCATTTCATTTAATTTAATCCTTCATTTGTCGAGTGTGAATGTTCACTTAAATGTTGAAATAGAAAAACTGATTACAAACAAGAAAAATACCAATGCGTACACAAAGAGGTATTGCATTTTTGAAGATAATTTGGCAATTATTATAAGCGAAACATATCGATGAAAGTATTAGCGATGAGAAAATATGAGATCATTTCATATGCGCATTGAAAGGAAAATGGAAATAGATGAAACGTGGAATGTTTTATTAAAGTAATCATCAAAGAGTTTCATAAGTTAAAAGTGAACTATAGGAGAATTTAAATTTACTGCTTATTGTATGATATTATGTCGAGAAAGAATAGAGAAATCGTGCGTATAGGTAAAGGGTGTAGCCGGCAAGTGCGCTATGTTGAAACTTCCCTTGGTTGTGGCATTCCGGCTCGGTTTACATCAAAGTTGTGTCGAACATTCGTAAAATACCGATTTAGACAGTTACTATTAACGAACATATGATAAAAATCCTTAAACATACGTTTCAACAGCGACCAGTTCCCACCCATTATACAAAATGAACAGTAAACATTAAGTACAAAAATTATCCACTGCAGGCTTAATACGAATTTTTGATGACCACTTTGATTCCAAAAACTCTAAAAAATAAAAAAAAGGTATAAATATATATATATATATACAAATGAATGACAGCCAACTTTTTGATGGAAATTATTTATATACCTCATAAATCAATATAACCTCATAAATCAATATATAACGTTAATTAACGATTCCAAATGAATTTTAAAAATCGCCATATATACTTTTTATTTAATTTAATTTTTTACTAGCACTTACTATATGAACAAAATGCTCAAATGTTATGCTTCGACTGAGGTAAAGATTTGGTTTTCCAACGCCTCGATGAAGGTAGTGTGAAATCTAGGTGATTTTTCTTTTGAAGATACACCTATATTTCTATTTTTTTATACACTTATCAGTGAATTCCTGATAAGTATCTAATACTAACAGACGTTAACTAAACCAGAAATAAGGAGAAAAAAAATATAGATCGTAACTCAGTGATATTAAAAAATAGTTGAAAAAATAATTATTACTTACCAAACCAGAAACGACATAATGGGATGCAACGGCCAAAACTATTTCTATCCACCAATTGGATTTTAATCCCTTTTTATGGCAACCATCCCATAATATTATCGTCCATGTAACATGAAACATTGTTAATAAACATGCAGATACTGAAGAAGTTAGCTGAAAGAAATAAATAAATTCAACTTTGACCAAGTAATGATAGGCATATAACCATTAGATAAAACGATAAACCAAAATGATCATGAAAATCTTCTTAAACACTTTATTCAGAATATGCCTGTAGAACTTTTTTTTTTTTTTAAATCACTCATTGAATCAAAAACTGTAAAAGAATTATTACATATTCTATAACCAATTACATACCGGTAACGTTTGATCTTCAGCATAAAGTTTAACGGAGAATTGATACGACATCTGAGGAACTGTTGTAGGTAATCCAACAGTCCCTTTACCCCAGAAATCAGCGATAACATTCACAATTAGAAATAATGCTGCCATAAAACCCATTCCCAAACCACAAACAATAGCTAAAATGTGTCTGGCATGATGAAGTGTATGCACACCTGATATGTGCATTCCGCTAGCAGCGACTTGACTTAGACCTCTGAAAGAAGACGAAGGATTCTTTCCATATTATTGCTATTTTTAATGATTTGTTTTTATTATATAATTATATAATTTTTTTATTATATAATTTTTCAAAAAAAAGAATTTGAAATATTACCTTTGGGCTTTTTTAAGAAGTATAAAATGAATCAGCCTTGCAAGTTCTTGAAATGCAATCGAAACAAAAACTGAAAACGCCAGTACATTCCGTAATGGCACAATAATGTACCATATTAAGGCCGACAATAGAAGAGAAATTAACCAAAAAAATGCCCTTAAAATTTTTCTGCCAAAACTCATTCAATAAAATACATGGTTCATTTCTATATGAAAAATTAAAACAGAATTTTCCAAATTCCGCCAACTAAAAATGCGCATCAAAATATAGAACATTTCTATTATTCGAAAAAGTTTTTCATCCATTAAATAAATGCTATTTTTGCATAATTCTGTCCTAAAATCGTTTAAATTTAGCTATACATAGGAATTTCAGAATTACTATTTATATCGAATTTTATTTTCGTGAAATAATATCATGAAATAAAAATAAAAAAAGAAATACAGACCCTAGAACGAATAAAATAACTCGAAGTGGATCGCTAGCAATTACTCGAAAAAAAATAACCAATGTTGGAGAAAATGAAATGAGCAAACAACCAAATCCCAACCACGCCGTCATTTTCCTGCAAAATTATGAAAATTATAAAAACTGACAAATTTAATACATCTTTAACGAATTAATTCATCGCAACATTCATTCACCCTTCGCACTACTCTTTATTTATTTAGGTACATATATTACTATCAGTGATTGTTTCCAATATCAATAACAATTTAGCGGAAAAAAAAATTAGAACTAGAATTTCAATGAGAAAAATGCCAAGAACAAAGTCTTTGCCAGTCACCAAATCAGCTCCACTGCCTTAGATAAAATATTTATGTTCAAAAATAATAAAAACAATAAGGCTTCCATATAATCAAAAAATAATACCTGAAAGTGTCAATTAAAATTTTGCTGAAAAATAGAAAATTAAAAAACACCATAAACTATTCGAAATTTGATATTCTTTTTCTTATTAAAAACTGCTCCATTGGAAGCTCCCAAGGGATCGAAGTAAACCTTTTGTGAATTCTTACTAAGGAGAACAAATTTTCTTAAAAATTTTTTTGATTTGAAATTTACTGATAAAAATATCTATAATATCGTTTGTCATAGTAATATCAATTTAATACATTTTAGTATGTTTTTATAAAACATTTTGTCAAAAAAAAACGAGCAATGGCCAAGACTCAATTTTTTATTTTTCTTCAGTTGCCGACAATAGTTATTACGGAAATATTCAAAAGTGAAAATGGAAAGAAATACTTGAAAAAAATTTTCCATTTAAAAGTTTAAAAATTTAAAAATTAAAAGTTAATAAAACAAGCAAGCAATAAGTATCTTCGTTCTTACATACAAAAATAAAACAAAAAATTTGAAAAAAAAAAGCATTTCATCAAGAAGTGCAGACCACAAAGCAAAGCTAATACAGGCTAAAGTTGAACAAAAAAAAAAAACCCTCAAATTTATTAATTAACTTTCGCATAAGACGGCGGCGAGAATTTCCTTCTTAATGCTTTAATTATATATAAAGGAAAACACGATACTGCGGTGATTGCAGTTGTTTTGCCCAGAAATTCACCAGACATCACAAATTGTCGGTCGAAAAAATTGTCGAGCAATAATAGTGATCCAGCATAAAGAGATAATGACAATGCCTTAAGCAATAACGCAATAAATGACATTTTTTTCGTCATATAAAATTTATTTTTAAGCGCAATAATATTGCTTGAAATCGTCTTTATTTTTTGATTTTAAAATCGTGAAAAAAATATTTTATTTCAATGAGAACTTTTTTTATCACACATCGTTGCATTCGATAACTGGAGCGCAAAATAAAAAAAAATAAAAATGAAATTGCACGATTTTAACAATTCTTCGCACAGTTACAGAAATATAACAAATGTAACAAACAACTAACTTGAGCCAGAAGCATTGCCCAATGCCACGTATGCACAGTTAGTGCAACCATAATCAATTCTGTAACTATGAGTGCTGAAAAGGTGATCGATACAACATGAATGAAATTCGAATCGAATACAAGCAATGCACCATACATAATTACAGAACCTGAAGATCATTAGAAATATTTAGGATTAGAAAATTAAAAAAATTTCCATGTAGCAATAGGACTGATCAAACAACTAAAATAACTAAATTAAATAGTTGGGATCAAAAATTTAAAAAAAATCAAGTCATTACAAAATGTTTTTGTAGTTTTATTACTTAAAGAATTATGTAAAAATCTGATAAATACCTTGATAAATACTGATAAGAACCCATATGCAGAAAGTTTTATAAGACAACGAGCGACCTTTGCCTAATTCTTTGTAAAGCTCTGGATAAGTTAATGCATTAGTCTGTGTTACATCACGATCTACAACTAATGAAAACACTGGCAACATCGTATAAACTGTTGAATATCTAAAATTAAGCTATGATAAAATGAAATCAAAATAAGGACAAAGCAATTTTTTTTCCTATTATCGTTACTCATTAGGTTCGCACCGTTTTACCAAGGAAAACTTGGCGAACGAAGTGCAGATGAGTGGCATTAATCGGATTCTTGAATGAACACCGGTAGGTGAACTGATAACCCAACCAGCTAACGAAGCATAATGCGTCAGCTAGACCGGAATCCGATCCATTCTCGAAGGCAGTGCCATTTACCCAAACTCAACCATTGTGAGCCAATAATGAATTATGAAATATGCAAATTTAATTTGGCATAATTTAATTTAAAATTATTATAAATTATTACGAATAAATGATATCAGCATAAATTAAATATCGTCATAATTCTCATCTTTATAAGTTAATATTATTATTATTATTAGAATATTACCATTGTAAATCATTTTATAAATCATTTGATACATACTGGCTAATTGACTAAATTCGGACTTATAAACAAAAATTCCTCCATAAAAATGAAAATATCCCCACATAACCTTTAATATATCTTATAAAAATAACTAAAATAACTAAAAAATATATAAAAATACTTACGCAACCATGAGAACTCCTTGATATAAAGAAATGGAAGCAAAATAAAAAACGCACGAGAAAATCGCTTGCATGACAGAAATTATCAATCCTTCAAAAATTTTGCCTTTAAGCAATTTAATAATGCGCTTTTTTTATCAAATATTAATTAGAAAATATTAATTTTTTAAAAGAATTTAAATAAAAACCTCTATGCATAACAAATTGTGAAAGGGCGCATGATCGTTTATAGCAAAATCGACCATGAATAAGCAATAAACGTGTTATGTGTGCGAATTGCGTGATAGAAAAATCAGCCGCTAATGATGCCTGTTTACCTAGAAAAAATTTCATTTAATATTTTAAATTTCACATTTTTTTAGCTTGATTAACGACGATTTCCTTGAAATATGCAATAAAACAAAGTAGTAAATTACCTTCATGGGCGTCAATACCTATCCCTGCATGAGCAGCTTGTATCATCGAAACATCATTACCACCATCTCCTATAGCAGCAACTCGTTGAGAAGAACGATATTTCCTCAATATATTTACAAGTTGTGCTTTTTGCTCAGGTGAACAACGACAGCAAACTACCGCTGTACAACTGCAAACCTAAAAACAAAAAAAAATGCAAAAAATCCTATTTTATTCCTTAATCTATAGAAATTTACATTGCTTACTGACTTATAATATAAGATATTATCATAAAAAATGGTAAAAACATACGAGTTCAGCAATTTCCGCTTCGTAATACTGTAAACACACATTTAATGCAGCACCCGACAAAACTAAAGCCACGTTATTTTTCCTGAAATGGACTAATGGTATATTAATGATGCACTAATTACAATTTATATAGTTATAGAGTTAATTTATATGGAGAAAGCTCTAAACTCTAAAATTTCGAAAAAAAACTTCTGGATTTAAAAGAAATCAAATAAATCCAATGAAAATATTTTAAAACAATTGTTTACAGTCGAATTCTTTTCTCTAATGGAACAAATTCCGTTAAATTGCTGCATCAACCATTAATCGGAATCAGTCAATGAATTAAGGTTCCATAAATTAAGAGTAAAGGTATACTGGATTTTAAATTTTTTTTTAATTTTATGAGAACTGGTTAAAACCTTCGTCACAGAACATTTATAATACTAACTTTCGTAACGCATTTAATTCATTATGAGCTTCAATTCTAGTCTGCACATATCCAAAAACATGGACATTATCCGTTTTTGGAAAAAGGCCAGAGGATTTTGCAATACAAATAGCTGTTTCAAGCTTATCGCCAGTTAACATCCAAATTTTTATTCCTGCATTTCTTAATAATTCTAATGACGCAGGGACATTTTCCTAAAATAAAGTTATCCATTGGTGCACAAGTATTAGTCGAATGTTAATATCAATAAAACAAATAAAATATAACAATATATGTAATGCTTTTTCAAATACAGTAAATATAAACTTAACTACACACTGTTTGATAATAATAATAACCTGGAGACGATCTTCAACTCCTGTAAGACAAAGCAAATGCAAATCAGTTTCAAGACGCCTCAATACAGCAGCCATATGCTCACTTCGATTAACTACGGTCATTTTTGCTTGGTGATAATGTTTTTCGAATTCGATTAATTGTTCCGGAGAAAGTGTTTTCTTGGCCACAACCAATGTGCGTAATCCTTTAAATTTCTTGAAGTGAATTGAAAATATAAATTGCATAATAATGATTAGCTGAATTATTAATAAATCCATTCAGAATTTTATAATTTCTTCTTCTAACAGCCCTCAACATTACTGGTAAGGTTCCGCTGGTAAGAAGTCTCCAAGCTGTTCGGTTCGATGCCATCCATCATAGGGCATAGCAAGTAGCAAAACAGTCAACTTCTGTAGTAGAGGACGAAGAATGTCAACGAAAGCAACGTTCTGTGATGGCACTGTAATGCAAGTGGTATTTGAGCGGAAGTGGATGTAATCATATGAGATTTTACTCGCTCGGCAAACCCGTAAAATATATAAAATATATAATTTTATTTCTGGCCATGGCTTGGCCACTTGGGATTAGAGCAGGTCCAAGATATTTCAAATCTGGAACTTCTTCAACTGGCGATGAATTTATAAGTGTTCAAATCTGGAACTTCTTCAACTGGCGATGAATTTATATGAATAAGTGTTTTATTGGTTTTTGGTACTTAAGACGAAAATTGTTTGATCGTGAGCCTGATTCTCGCTACAGTTGTCGACACATTGTTTAGCACTATTTGCATTTCATCATAATTGTTAGCAAAAAGGACTATGTCATCAGCGTATTCAAAATCTATGACACAATACTCTGAAATGATTTGGACTGATTTATATACATCTTGAAGGCCGACAAGCGATGCCCATTATACAGTCCAGAGTTGAATATTTTTTTGGGATATTCCTATTTCGAATGGGTCTATCAGTTTTTCATATATACAAACCTGTGCCGACGTACAATGATACGCCTTTATGAGTCGAATGACCTTATCTGGAACATCGTCACATTTCATCAATGGCAGTGGGTTGTAGATATCTAACGCGTTGTTCTAATATCCTTTTTAAAATGAATATCTGGTCAGCAACCATGTTCCGGTCTGAACCAGGCTTGGTTAGGACAGATGTTGCTGTTTCGCACTGCCATAAGCCTATTTAGTAGTGGGGAAGAAACAAAAATTTACCCGGAAATCTGGAAGACTGATCCTCAGTCATAATATGCCTTGTCACCTTGGAAATTGGGAGCAAAATTACTTTGCTTCAGTCATCTGGTATTATTTCTTTCTTCCACACCGGAGACTACATTTATTGAAAGTGCATTAAGAAGAACGATGGACAACATTTGAAGAATTCAGCCCGAAGACTATCTTCTCTGGCAGCTTTATTGGCCTTGAGCTTCTGGATTATTAGATTATTTCCTCTTCTGCTAACAGTTCGCACTTGGAAACGACAAGTGGTTCAGCTATATTTGGGATAACAGATGGTGGTGCAATGTGGTTAAATTTGGCCTCAAAGAATTCCTTTCTTCTCATGAGGCGATCCTTAATGGTATTAACATGCATATCATTACTATCCCATGTAATTTTACTAATCGTTTCCTNATCACCTTGAAAATTGGGAACAAAATTACTTTGCTTCAGTCATCTGGTATTATTTCTTTCTTCCACACCGGAGACTACATTTATTGAAAGTCCATTATGAAGAACGATGGACAACATTTGAAGAATTCAGACCATCTTCTTTGACAGCTTCATTGGTCTTGAGCTTCTGGATTATTAGATTATTTCCTCTTCTGCTAACAGTTCGCACTTGGAAACGACAAGTGGTTCAGCTATATTTGGGATAACAGATGGTTAAATTTGGCCTCAAAGAATTCCTTTCTTCTCATGAGGCGATCCTTAATGGTATTAACATGCATATCATTACTATCCCATGTAATTTTACTAATCGTTTCCTGAATTATAGTCGCTTTATGAATAGTTTCTTATTATCGCCTAATCGAGCCACCATCTCCATTCTCAAGGTAATCTCACAATAGCGATTTCTGTCCCGACGGTTGTTGTCATTATAATTCTCACCTGACATTGGTGCTTTGGCAGTCTTTTCAGAGAGTTGGACAATCTTTCGATATTCAATAGGGCATTAAGGCATTTGCTACTAATATGGAAGTGAATGATTTTAATTGGGACCAGTATTCATCCGCTATTGCAGAGATGTCATTGATATTCATTTCGCTGAGGTGCTTCACTAATCCGGTTTAAAATGCTCCTACTATGCCTGAATCTTTTAGTTTGAAATGGTTGAAACACTTTTCTTGTAACTTGCCAATTTTATGCGAATCTTGGCTCAAACCATAATATAGTCTGATCCAATCTATGGTCACGAAAGCGACCATTTAATATGGAACTCTTCAAACAACGACTGACCAGGACACAATCAATCTGATCGGAATGTTAATTATTGGAGAAGTTCCAGAAGTTTATTGAAATTATTGGAGAAGTTCCAGAAGTAAAAATTGGAGAAGTTTATTGGAAAAGAAGTTGGAGAAGTAATTAGATATCATCTTCGTTGTCGGAATCATACATTAGTAAGAAAAATTTTATGGTGTTCGGCAATGGATTCTCCACTGCCGCACTGGATCCCATATTACCGAGTTCAATGTGGTGGTATCATGGCGAGTGCAATCTAAACTTCTCCGATTATAACCATTTCAGTAGAGATTGCATAGAAATCCTTATCCTTTTCATGATCATCTAAAGTTGGAGCATTGATGACGAAATATTGCAAAACTTTCCTTCGAAGCAAGGATAGGCCATACGGCCTTTTATCGGCTTTCGCTTAATCAGAATGGACCGAACTTTTATATACTGTGTAGTATCTCTAGTCAAAGCCAGCTTTAATAATAGCAAAGGAATCGAGTGAGAAAGATGGACCTCTGGACCTCCGATAAGTAGCAACACCCACATGATATTTAAAAAGTGTGGACAGTGGTTGCTTGGTTTGCAACCTCCATAAGCGTTCTCACATTCCAAATAGCTATAGCCAACACCTCGCCGCGTTAGCAGAGTGCCAGAGGACAGTTCATCATTTCTTTTGACAGATTTCGAGCAATTACGCTGGTTCACGACTACTCCTATTCTCAAACCTTAGGGTCGTTTTATTACGCGCGGATTATATATAAGTGGATTATCGAGCATGGAGTACCATGCGCGTCAGACGATGCAGACGCCGTGTGAATAGACTGGACCCTTTCATCATAAGTGGTCCTCAGCAGCCACCGGGACTTTTGGTATCATGTCAGATCTACTCTTGTCAAAAAAGGAAAAAAAAACTAGGAAAGGATGGAAGAAAACCTTGAAAAAGTCTTATTTTATTGTAGGATTAAGATTACTCAAAACCGAGGAAAAAATATAGGAACAAGAAATAATAATTATTATTATATTAATTTTGCAGCTGTAAAATATTTTCTAAACCTAATATTTACCATCTGACTTAGGCAAAAACATTAAAATAAAATTTACCTTCTCTGGCCATATTACTTGATTCTTCCTCCAGCCAGTCATTGTACTGAACCATTGTCGCCATGACAGTATCAGCACCTTTCATAATAAAACTAACCTCATCTGTTGTTTCATCCTATAAGCATAACTGGTTAAATCAAAAAACATGAAAAGTTGAACTAGAAATAAAAAAAAAAAACATCGCTTTGACAAACCTTAACGATGATACCCATTCTTTTAGTTTCTGAAGTAAAAGGGAATAAATGGAGAATCTGGAAACTTTTTGCCTGACCATTTGAAAGTTGAAGTTGTATTGATGTTTGATCTCTTTGAGCCAATCGTACTCCCACCGATTCCGTCCACTGCACTAATGCCACCTAAACGATGCCTTAATAAATTTAAAACAAAATTCGAGCAACATTCGAACAGAAAAGAGCAACTTTTTTAGAAATTGGCCTTTTTGCAATGAATGGTGAACAGTACATTGCAGACCACGAAACTTAGAAAAAGCGAAATGCATCCTATCTTAACAATAAAAAAGTTAAGACAAAATTAAAGAACTTCATCAGGACTAGCAGCTTGGTAACTGACTGCACCATTTTCTTCAATCGGTGTTACATTGTGGCATAAAGCTATAGCCTCCACAGCAGTTTGCAATTTGCTGGAATAGGAATTTCGACCCAATTTTCCAGAATAGGCCGATATTACATGACGTGAAACATCCTAAACAAAAATGGTAGATTGATGCAATAATCTGAAAAAAAAATTGCCCAAAAATAAAAATTTGAATATCCAGTAGATTATCTAAAAAATAAAAGTGCAACATAAAACCTCGAATGCATCTGTACTGAAGTGCACTGTGCCCAAATGGATTTTCTTGAAACGCATTTCATTTTTCGTTAATGTACCAGTTTTATCTGATAGAAGAAATGAAATTCGACCAAGCTCTTCTGGAATTGTGCTACTACGAACAACTGTCCCTAAAATCAATGAATGAATTTAAAAAAAGGGTTAAAGGAAAAATAATTTAGCTCTTTATAAGAAATCTTACCTCGAATGTGCCGATCTCTTCCTATCTGCCATGCATAAAATAATTTGGCCATATCCAAATTCACTCGTAAAGAAATGGGAATAATATATGAAAACAGCAATATAAATCGCATCAAATACCGATACCTAAAACAAGAGATTTGATATGGTAGATATAATATATTATGTGAATATAAATATCACATGTGAATATAAAAAATGAATATTAAAATCTTGGAAACATATAAAAATATAAAAAAATATATAAAATATAAAAAAAAAGAAAAAAACTAACCAGTTCTGATCAATACCCTTCATAACAACCATAACAGAGGCAAGAACAATTACAAACAAAAAGAGAATTTTCGTTAAATTATTGACCTAAATTGATTTATCATTTTATGGAGCAAAAATTCCCGTATGAAATAAATACTTAAGGAAAAAAGCTCACTTCAATATCAAGCAGGCCAACTTTACTTTCAGGTAAGGTCGTATTCATAACCGAACGTGTTTCACGACCTGTATAAACAACAACACCGACAACACGACCACTTGCCAAAACTGTATTAGCCCAAAGTACATTTTCCACATTCAGTGAGCCATCTTGAATTGTATCTTCATTACTGACCTATAAAATTAAAATTAACCTTATTTAATTTTAATTTTCACAAAATAAAACATCGCATAAAATAAGAGATGAATTTTAACTATTAAGCAAAATTATTTTAAAAATTAAACCAAAAAACAAACCTTAAAAGTACCCACAAAATCATGGATGTCTTTTTGCGGCTTTTCTGCATAAACTTCGATGTTTAAATCAAGAATATCCTTAAAAAAAAATTCTTCAAACTTTCTTTAAAAAAGAAAAGGAAAAGAAAAAAATTTTCCTGCCTTCAAACAGTAACATATTTCTGAACCTGATTCATAACAATTATAACTGTAACTATAACTAAAACTAATGAAAGATCATAAAAATGATGATGAAGTGTGAAAAAGTCAAAAAATAAGATAATACCTGATCATGTTGAAGATTCTGTGTTATAGGCACTGCTGTTCTCAATTTCCAGTCAGTTTCACCATCCAGCTGGTCCGTTCTTATAAATGAAGCACCAGATTTTTCAGTGGTACGAAGAAGAATAATGTCAGCAGGTACACGCTTATCTTTTTGTATCACAATTAAGTCGCCAACTTTTATATCACTAAAATTCAATATTAATATTATATATCACTGACCAAAAAAAAATATTTTATTATTTTCGAGATTATATAAGCCAGATACAAAAGAATATGAAAATCCTACGAGCTTGATATACGTTCCAATCCATAAGCTGTTAATTTTTCATATTTTTCAGCATTTAGTTCCCGATCTCGCAAAAAACGAACAAAATCATCCAATGCTTCTCGTATTAAGGTTATTGTTAAGACAAAACCCTGTAAACGAATAGTCACTCAATTTAAAATGTTAACATGATAAATTTTGCTTAAATATGCCTAATCATGACGCTGAGGATCTCTATCTCTATTTGTTTCTCATTAAAGATTATTAAATATTGTAGAGTCAGATATTTTATAACACAGAGATAAACGATATCTTTTCTGCTCTTGTTCTTTCTCAGTTAAGAACGGCTCAATATTTTTATAAAGATCTAGGTAAATGTAGATATCTATTGATTCTTATGGTCCGTGCTCTTTAATATCTTCTAGCTGTGCTACTGGAGGTGCACGGGAACTGTGGGTTGTTTACAAGATTTTTATTATTTTATTGTTATTATATTATTGTATTGTTATTATTATATTTTATTTTATTATTATATTGTTGTGTCCTCGTTGTATTTTACCTATTTATCGTGCATCGCATAAACGAACATGTTACAGTTTCGTCTACAACGATCGTGCATTCGACATAACGTTAAATAACTTTGTTTTTAACCTGGTTTTTCTTCGGTAAAGTTTCACTCAAGCAGCAAGTGCCAGCTAAATTGATAGAAAACTGGTAAAAGAAATAAATTCTCAGTTTTATCCTCAATAAATAAAAATAATAAATCCATAACAAAGAAACTCACGAGGGGACCCCAATAAGTGATTGGTGCACCAATCTGAATTGCTGGAATGAACTGACTACAAGCCATCAAAAGAAAATACAAATTCAAAAAAAATTTAAACTGTTGAAATAAAACCTGGAAAAATGAAAAGCATTAAGAATTATTCTAATTATCATAATTTGTATAATAATTCACTCAAAATGAAATGATGGAAGCTTTAAAAAAAATTCTTACTATAGGTATAAACGTAAAGATATTATATTTCTGATTGCAGACTACATTTGGAGGAAAAGACTGTGGCGAGCCAAGAACTGGACCATATCCAATTCGAATAGTGCGAGAATGCAACGCACGTCGACGGCGAAAAAAATTCCAGCAACACCTAAAACCTTTTAGTAAAGCCAAAAAATAATAATGGTAACCTATAATTTTTTAAATTATTTATACAACCAAAAAAAACCATAAGAATATTATTTAAATATTTATATATTTTTTCCCATTATCATCCAAATATTATGAATTGAAAATAAAAATTTTCAATTCATCACGACAAATATTTATTTATTAGCAGTGAATCGAATGAATCTTAAAGAGGCATTTTTCAGTAATGGTCCAAGTATTATAGGCTAAGAGAAAAAATAAAATTATGAATAAATAAAAATAAAATGGAATTTAACAACAAAAAAATGCATAAAAATTTAAAACGACGAGTAATAATGGCATAAAAGTATACAAAATAATCATTAAAAAACATTACTCACCTTCGACTCAATCTAAAACGAAATAAAATCCAACGATAGAATTTATAGAAGAACATTGCAATAAATTCTCAATAAATAAAAGTAATAAATCCATAATAAAGAAACTTACGAATTGCAAAATGAATCGTGGAAATATTTTCGAACAAAATTAATTTTATTTTGATTAACGTAAACCAAAAAAAAGATCTATTAATTAAAAGGTATTCCAAATGTATATCGCTAGAATTGAGCTATTTTAGAACTTATTGTTATTCCTATAGGGGAGCTCTCTGACAAAGACGGCCTAATACCAAATACCATGAATGCTGCTAGAAGAATAAGCCTGAAAGCCTGAAAAATTTGAAAAGAAAATTTCGAAAAGTTCCAGATATGAGAAAAAATCTGATTAAAAGCAACAGCTTGATAAGAATTACCGTATAATTATAATTATAATGTAATAATATCACACAATAATTATTGGAAAAAAAAATTTGTCAGGACGTATTTATTTAAGACAATATTGATCATAATTTTTGTTTGTTATAAATATTAAATAATATCGATGGTTGTCGTTGAGAATGATCAATGTAAAATTATAAAATAATAATTCTTTGTACATGTAAATCCTATTAATGCCGAATAAAAACCTATTTCGCGCGCTCTCCCTTTTTGTTCCAATTTTTCCACGTTCGTTAAATTAAATAATCCTTTATAATGATGGGCTTAAAAATAAAAATAATTAATCCGATAAAATAACAGAAAGAGTAAAAACGATGGATCTTTACTTCAAAAAAAACTCATTATACTAAAAATGGTTCAAATTTTAGAAAATTCTTATTCAACGAAATTATCGAATTCTATTCCTTGATTTATTTAAAGATTCAGTGGAACGAACAAAAAACTGGAAAAAAAATGGCAAAAAAATAAATAAACATTCATTCTTAATATATCTCGTCAAAACTGTCAAAAAATGGTATAAAAAACACATAAATCGATGGTTCAATCAACTAGAAATCGAAACAATTTTAAAAAATCAATTGTGAAGAAATTTTAATTTTCTTAACATGAATTAGTGAATTATTTAGAAAAAAATATAAAATTCGCATAGTTCTAAAACTTCTAGATAACATCCAACTATGCGATCGGAATTTTAAAAAAATCTAAATCTTAAAGGAAAGAAATTTTAATTCAATAGCTTAAAACCGATAAAAAATAATCATGATAAGCATAAATAATCATAAATTAAAAATAATCATAAATTTACCAAAAATAATTCAATTTGTTCAATTTTATGGCTTATCATCTTTATAAACTTTTATCAATCGACATTTAACTCGGTTTAAATAAACATCTAACATTTTAAAACCAACAAATTATTATCTTTTAGGCTTAATTTTAAGGCGTAAGATTAATATGATATTCGAAATTATAAATTTATATTTGGGATTATAAAAATTAGTATATAGTACATATTTACGAATAACTTCCATATTTTAACAAATATAATAAATAGTTTAATTATAGTTAATATAGATTTTAATAATACAACTTTATACGTAATAAACTAAATTTAATTTAAAAACTATTGAAAATAATTTAAGTAAAAAAAATTTTGCTTAAATACGTGGGTAAGCGAAATATCAGACTCGCACCATCATTTTCACTAAAAGTAAACCTTTTGAAAAATAAAAAAAAACCTGAACATGTTGGAATCGCTGGATGAATAATTATTGGATGGAGAACCAGCGAGAAGATATATGTCGTCTCTACTTGTATTAATATTAGATTCTCCCATGAGAAGCTCAAATTCAGCTATTTGATGATGACGCTGTTTCCGAGCCAATATACTATAGCGCATCCACCGTCAATATTTCTTTTGGGAAAAATTATTTTAGTTCCTTCCAAATATCTGAAAATCTAAAATTTTCCTTTCCAATTTCGATCAGTTTTTAGAAAAAATAAAATTGACGAGAAAAGTTTTGGCAAAAAATTAATCAAATAATTCATACATTTCAAATACATTTCAAATAAGAAAAAACAATGCTTTTTTGACAGTTAGGAAAAATCGTAAAATCTGATTTTATTTTTAGAATTCCAGAATTTTCAGAGTTTTCACTTCTTTTCTTCACTCTTCCTTTGCCCTTATTTATTTCTTGTTTATAAACCACCTATATGTACCAATTTATAATTAATTATAATTGGAATTAAAAAGGATTTTCGTCGATATCAAAAGATCGCCTTGACACCACGTCATCGATAAGATCTATTCTCTTCCCAACATCAAAAAACATCACCCAGAAATTGTACCATAAGCAAAATTTATTCTTTTTGACGAATATTTACACTGATATTATATTTATAAATATTTACAAATGATCTTTATTTATCTAAGCTATTCGCTCAGAGAACCCACTTCTAAAATTTGCTAAATCCACAAGCCTGAGAGAAGATTCTTCTGTGGCACAGCACATCCCGGATTTCGCCATATTCTTCTTCACTTTGGCCTTGTTTTTTCTTCTACTTCCTACTTTGAAAAAAGAAATTAATTTTGATATCGTTATGAATATGAATATATTGACATTAACAACTAGAACAGAAGCATTTTGATAGAAACAGAAGCATTCCTCTAACAGCTATCATTACTGGTTAGGGTGGCTCTAAGGTCTATAAGGGTAAGACGCTTCTAAGCGACGCGGTCTGATGCTATCGTCGACAGTAATAGAAGCCATTCCTTCTCCCATTATCTTCTGTGGCACAGCACATCCCGGATTTCGCCCTATTCTTCTTCACTTTGGCCTTGTTTTTTCTTCTACTTCCTTGTCCATATATTGATGGTTCACCTATAAGTTCAAAATTTTTTCTGATCGTATCAGTCCAGGTCTTGATTGGTCCACCTCGCTTTTGACACCAACCATCACACGGTTTAGCAAGTAATGAAACATGCGTCAACTCCTCTAGTGGACGACGGAGAACCAGCGAAGGTGACCCTTCCAAGCGACGCGATCTCATGTCTGATGCTGATTATTAATGCAAGCGATATTTGAACGAAAATGGATCATGTGATATTTTATACGCTCGAATCTACGAAAAAATATTTTTAAGAGTGGTCAAAGCCAGATAACTTAATATCCTCCACTTCTTATTGGTCATGTCTCAAAGCCATATAATAAATCGAACCAGTCACGGCTGTATAGATACGGACTTTCGTTTTTATGGTGATTTTACGACGACTCCATAAAGATTTCGTCAACCAGAAGAACACTGCCGTGATCCGGGTTGTAATATCGTCTTTTGCCTGGTCATTTGGTATTAGAGTGGACCTAAGGTATTCAAAATCGGGCACTTCTTCAACTGGCAGTAAATTTATAAACATTTGATTATCTCCTTGCACATAAGACGAAAAGATTTTTTACATTAACCCTGGTTCCGATTCTCGCTGCAGTTGCTGACACGTTATTTAGCATTATTTGTCAAAATTGTCCGCAAAAACGACTACATCATCAGCGTATTCAAGATCTGTGATACAATGTTCTGAACTGATTTGGACACTTTTTGAGTGCAGATAAAGGGTGTCCATTATCTAGTCTATCGCATTGTCGAATATTATAAGGAAAAGGACACAACCTTGACGGGCACCAATTCTTATTTCAAAGGAGTCTGTCAATTCCCCATATACACAAATCTGAGCCGGCGTATTCTCATAAAATATCTTTATGAGTTGAATGATCTTCTCTGGAACACCATCGCGTCCTATCACCAAACTAGCGTTTCATCAATTGAATCGAAGGTGGTTACAAAGTCAATGAAACACTTAATAATGAATTGTAGATATTTGAATTGTAGATATTGATATTTGTTGTTCCAACATTCTTTTTAACTTGAATATCTAGTCAGAACAACTGCGTTCCGATCTAAATTTAACTTGGTTAGGGCACATCCTTCTATTCCATTCTACAAGAAGCAATTTATTCAATAGGGAAGCAAAAACTTTCGCTATTAGGCTAATTCCTCGATAATTGTCGCAGTATGTCCTATCACCTTTCTCGAAAATTGGAAGCAGAATTGTTTAGGAATTGTTTAGCTTCAATCACCTGGTAATATTTCTTTTTTCCATACTAGAGAATACAATTGTTGAAAGTGCGTTATGAAGGACGATGTATTTGAAGAGCGTTCAGCCCCAAGACCATCTCCTGGATTCTTATTGGCTTTAGGCTTATGGATAACGGAGATTATTTCTTATTTCTTCAAATATTTATCCTTTTTATTAAAAAGAAATAGCATAATTATTAAAATAATTATTAAAATGATTAAAATCACAATTATATGATAGAGAAGTTCAAAAAAAATAATGGAAAAAAAGATTAAATAATATTTTGCAGAAAGCGAAAAACAGGTCGAATTACCCTATTGGAGCTTATCGCTGACCTTTCTAACCTTCCGAGGTACCAAAAAGGGAACGTAAGGGACCCAGGCAATAAAACGAAATCCCAACAATTTTAACTGTTCTCCTTTTTATAGCCGAAAAAATCACATTTTAAACGAATGAAAAGAAAATTATTTCAGAAGAATTGAAACCAAAAAATAAACAAAACAATCTGAAAACAACGAAAATTACTTGTGCGTTTGCCAGCGAAGATCCGCCAAAGTATTGAGAAAATAAACATAAAATAGAAAAACAATTTTACAGCGATCAAATAGTCCGACTTTTATAGGAGCATGATACTAATTGTCGGATCACCTTTTTCCGCTTCGTATTTGTGAGTTGTCTGATTTTGCGGATTGCGGATTTTATTTGTGGGTTATCTGATTTTGAGCTTTGGTTGTTGTCGAAATTCCGTGAATATAATGTGGTTTCGCAAACGGGAAGGTGGCATCGTTTTTCGGTAATTTTAATAAGTAGGTAATTTTAATTTGCGACGTCATCAAAAGATGCTAATTGTTGTGCAATTTTTTTGCAAAAATATTCGAATTTGTTGTGGCATTGTCGATAATATTTCCATTCTCTCGATAACGACGAGCTTTGATCGCCCATAGTTTATTCATTTTATTGAAATTGTCCCCCATTTCTTCTCCCATCGAGTGCGACAAAGTTGAGCTAACTCGAGCGATCGCGTATTATCGCGTGCGATTGTTACTTTTAATGAGCTCGAGCTCGCGTTGAAAACGAAAAGAGGTTCCGGGACTCCCCTGAAATTTCACCTCCAAGGGCGAGCGAAACGATCCCATTCTGGTTTGCACTGAAGCAAGCCAAACCCTAAATGGCGTTCATTATTGGAAGAAGAATTTAAAAATTTAAAGGAATAGAGTTACAATTCCTGCAATTCCTAAATTTTAAGAATTTCAGTCCATCGTTAATTATGCATTTATTTTCTTGCATTTTATCATTAGTTCTTTTATTTATGAATCAGATGATTTCAACTTTAGTGATTAAATTTTACAATGTTAATTTTACAATGATTTCGAAACGATGTTCCAGCACACTTCTTAGCTTAAATATCTGGTCAAAACAACCACATCCCGGTCTAAATCCAGCTTGATTAGGATGCATCCTGCTCCTCGTACTGCCACATTCAGTAGAAGGGAGATGAAAATCTTCCTCGAGGATTCTAGTAGGATTTCTGATCCCTTATTGTCGCAGCGTCCCATCTTTTTTAGGAATTGTGAACAGAATTGTTTTACTCCAGTCGTCTGATATTATTTCTTTTTTTCATACCAGAGAGTACAATTGTAAAAGGCGTGATATGAAAGGTGATAAGCAACATTTGAAAAATTCAACCCGAAGACCATCTCTGGGAGTTCTATAGGCCTTAAGCTTATGGATAACAGAGATTATTTCCTCTTTTGTTGGCATTTGGCAATTGCAAACTTATGGCTGGACAGATGAATCAGCTATATCCGAGATAATGGATGGTGCATTGTGGTTATGTTTGACTGTTCTATGACCAATTCTTAATAGTCATAATGGGTCGTCATTACTATTCTGACCGTTCTCCGAGTTATAGTTATTTTATGAAGAAGGCTGAATAGTTTCCTATTCGCCTAAGAGCCGCCATTTTCAGGGCCATCTCGCTTCAATAGCGATTTCTATTCCACCGTGTCGTTGTAATTCTTCCAAGCATCCGTTAGTCATGATTTCCTGATTCGATGCTTTGGCAATCTTTTTTGACGACTGGTTCCGACACCCAACTAACATGGAAGTGGCTGCTTTTCGGATACATATTTTTAGATACATTTTTATTTCGGATACATGATTGTTTGCTTTGCAATGACCATAAGTGTTCTAACCTTTCAAGCACATTTCCAACATTGCAGAGTACTGGCGACGGTTTCTCGACTCATCTATATTCTATTTTAGTCATTGCAGAGTACTGGCGACGGTTTCTCGACTCATCTATATTCTATTTTAGTATGTCAGCAGAAATGGATGGAGATGATAATTTGGATGCAAATATGGATGAATATTACGAAAATGATCAACACAATGTTTGTTTTTTATTTTTTTAAGTCAAAATGGATTTTTACGAATTTCATTAAATTTAAATTGTCATAAATTTTAGTTTATTATAGTTTTTCTCTAATAGTAAATTAAATAAAATTTTAAGCAACAGTCACGGTAATATTCTATCAAAAAGGAACATGTTATCGAATTGAATTGCAATTTTTTCTAAGATTACTAATCTAATTTCAAAGTAGCATATATGCTTAATAAACTTGAAAATTTTGATTATGGGTTTATCTTTGTATTTATATTTTATCATAATCACACTACTTATCACTATTTCTCACTATTTCTGATTAGACTGGCTTTGCTAACTTGAACCACACAACTTCTTGTTAGGAAGGCAATAAGCGATAGAAGTATAGGCGAACCGCTACATCACCGAGATTATTGGAAGACAGATTTGTTCATATCGGAATCAGCGCTCTAAAATGGAAAAAACAATCCGCTGTGCGCCATTTAATCCTTATCATAATTTTATTATTTGTCATAAGCTTCATCACTTTATAAACATTTTTTTTCATAGTAATAAATTATGTTTTTCAGGATTTAAGAATAAATGCTCAAATCTCTTTGAATTCTTCGAAAAGGCAGTTTTCACCTGGTAATTCTTTTATTGCCTTTTCAAATCGCCCTGAAATCGCTTCAGCGGCGTGTGGATCAGAATTCTCAAAAATATCGGCCGATGACGTATATGTACCACCCCATCACGGTTTCTTTTTCATCTTATCTAGTTTTTGGAATTAAATATAGTAATTAATAATTCGTCCAAACTACCTTTTCATAAATTTTCAGATTCCAAGACTGAAGGCTATATCAAACTGAATATATCAAATCTGGCTTCATTACGACAAAAAGTTTCCACTTCTTTTCATATTATTGCAAATTTACCATGGTTCTTTTTTAATATTCCTGGTTGAAAATATATATACATATATTTTTATTATCATTTTACTATGAACCTTCTTTAAATTCATATTTTTTAGTAGAAAAAGAATTATTGACAGCTTTTTTTTTAAAAATTATTGTTCGATTACCTATTTTTGTTTGATCATTATTTGGGTTTTCATAGTTCAATTATAATTTATAGGCGCTTAGCGGCCAAGACCGAATGCACAAAACGTACGAGCAATGTTAAATTCTTCAGTGTTTATATTGATTGTAATCCAGAAAGTGAGTCGACTTTATGGAGTTGTGATGCAGTTGTCGAATTTCGTCTGCTTTCTCATAATTCAATTATTTCGAACTTCAGTCGCCAAGTAATCTTTTTTGCATTTTTTTAAAATTTTCTTAATGGTGATTTTTCTTTTCATTTAATTTTTTATTTAAAATTTATCGCTTTTTTCAACTCATTTTAATTGTTTTAATTTTTCTTTAATTTTTCCAGTTTACCAACAAATTCAATTACAATTCAAATAACTGGGGATTCCCTTCATTTATGGAATGGAATGAGATTCTTAATCCTGAAAAAGGATATATTCGAGAAGATCGAGTTGTTGTTGAAGCGTATATCAAAGTACAAAAGGTTGTTGGTGTCAGGTAACAATACTTTAATGCACGTAAAGAAACATTGTAGTTCCATACTTAATTTAAAATATTTCAGAAAAAATCCAGTTTTTGATTTCACTCTTTCGCAACCACATATATCTGATGGAATTTTGGTAATTGATGGACTTCGTCTGCATGTGAGCAAATCGGTTTGCAAAGTTTTATTGTTTTATAATTTTATTGTTTCTTTTTTGTGCATTTCTTTTTTTCTTCTTTTGTATCTTTGGTTATGAAATTCTTTTCTTATGAATTTTTTTTCATTTTTAAAATTTTAAATGCAATATATTACTTATTTTTCATTTTTTGTTCCTTTGGTTTTCAGTATTTAGCTTTATATTCACCTGTATTCCATGCCTTGTTTTTTTCGAAATTCAGTGAAAGAGATAAAAAGGAAATAACGGTGGAAGATGTAATATTAGATGAATTTATTGAGCTGTTAAATGTGGTTTATCCATCACATAAGCCCGTGACAGGTGAAATCTTCTCTTAGTTGTCGCTTATTTCATATTAAGCATAGTTTTTTTTTTCTGTAGATTTTATGTAGATTTTAGCTCTCATTCTCTCATTTTCTCTCATTTCAAGTCGGATCGAGTAATATTTATAGCTGAAAATGTGGAATTTTTGCTCGAACTAGGTGACAAATTTGAGATTCAGTTCGTTATTGATGAATGTGAACGATTTCTCATGAGATCCGATGATATTGCTGTTGTGACAAAGTTAGTTTGGGCTGATCAATACTGCTTAGCCAAACTTCAGGTAAATTTTTTTTTAGACTTGTAATTTAGGAGTCATTGTTGTTTATCAATGATTAATTAATGTTGTTTAAATTAAATTATTGTTGATTATATATCATTAATATATATTAATATTAATGATTATTAATCATTAATTTTCATAGAAATGAAATAATTTTTGAAATACTCCCAGGACGTTTGTGTCCGTACGTTCAAAACCCCAAATGATATCAAAATATTGAAACAGTCGGAAGAATACAAGAATTTAAGCGACACAACAAAAGCAGCTCTACTGGAAAAAATATTCAAATTACTTTGAGTTCAAAAATTTCGTCATGAAATCTGAAGATACTTTAAATACCTTTTTTCGTCTTTCTGAATCTTTTCTTATATTTGCTGGAAATATTTCCTTATATTTCCTATGTCCTAATAAATTAGATGTTTTTAATTATATTTTTTTCATTCTTTTTATTTAGTAAATAATATATCATTCCTTTAGCTGCAAATTATATTTGATTTTTGCTGAAAAAACTGTTGATGATTTATGGTTTTTAGTTGTTTATATGTATCTGATTTTTCTCTTATAAAAGCTATGGATATTCTTGGCTTTTTGATTTTACATTTTTAATCGGAAATAATCTGAATGCAGAGGATGGCAGAGCATTGGAAAAAGATGAAGCATCGATTCTTTTAGCTTAAAAGTGAAGTGGACATAAAGAGAAGAAGTATCACCTAGACAGCCAACCATCCAAGCCAACAAGACAGGTAGGAGGAATCTGATTCGCGCAACTTTTTTCGCTCTTTTCAATTTAGCTGTTTCCTACAAATATGAGAGTACTCAGGTGACTTTTAGGTTATAATTTGGCGATATAGATGAGATATAGTCCACGGAAACCATTCGAATTTCGTTGAATGACCGAATTCTTTAGGCTGCTTGACCTTAACGGAAAGAATATACCACTTGATTAACACCAAATCTGAGTCAATTTATTCGTAATTTGTGTGCAAATTAATTTCTGCAATCTATCAATTTATAATTTATATCGTTCTCTTTTGTTTTCTTTTTCATTTCATCGGCTAAAATTTTTTTTTTATTTGGTGGTTTGAAAATGAGGAATTCTTTCGGTATGCAAATTTCCAAATTTTCTTCCTTCATATTTCTCTCTTACACTTTTAATTCCATTAATTTTCTTTATGCAGATTATTAGCAATTGTAAAAGTGTCGTTATGGCCATCAGTCGTATTTGATTGCAAGAATCATTACATAAATTTCCATTATTTTATTCTTTGAACCTTATACATTCGAATGCTATAATGAGATTCTAGTACAGTTCCATTCAGAGAACTGGATCGAGAACTGAAAATGTGGAAAAAAATGCGAATAAGGTCGTGTTAATTCTAAATGCAAATTATATAAGAGATTTGCCTTCAGTAGAATATCCAAAGTTTAAAGCAAACTAAAAACAAAATTTCTTTCTCGATCTTCGTCCCACTTTTGACGAGCCAAAAATTTGACACGTATTTCTTCCCATCTGAGACGTCTTCTGAAATCATTGATCTATATTTAATAATTTATAAGAACAGTTCATATTATTTGTAGACAGCAGATTTTTTATTTTTTTATAAGTCATGAATTTATAATTAAGCTTTACAAATAGATTCTTTTTAAATTTTATAGTTTCGAATTATACGTCTAAAAAAAGCGAACAGCATTTGTTTATGGGCTTCAATCTCTGGATCCGGTTCACTGTCGCTATCACTAAAATCTGATGGATAACGGTCAGCACGAAATGCCAATGGTGTTGTTGAACGATCGACGTCATATGTTTTTTCTTCTTCCCTGTCGGACCACGAAGATTCTTCGCTATAAAGAATTATTATAAGAATTGGAATTTTTCGATTAGACCCTTTCGCTAAAGTTGTTCAGAGATGGAAATAGAGATCTTCAATATTTTACCTTTCATGACAACTGATTTAAATTACCTGTCAGAATATTGGTATTTCTTTGGTAGGAAATCGTCTCTCTTGTTTTTTGGTTGTATCTTCTTGGTTACTAACAGTTTTCTCCTTTGCGATTTAATATCTCGTAAAATTTTCCTTCGCATTCCATTGCTTAACCGTTTTAGATGTAAAAAATTACAAAAACCACCTCTGTTGCACTCACTGAAATAGTTCTTACGGTAGTAAGAAGTTCGAAGTTCATACGGACTTATTAAGTAATTTAGGTAGAAAATAGAACGAGAAAATTTTTGACCAAATTTTGGTTTAATTTTATTTTATTTATATGGTTCTTTATGAGACTAACTGTTCACAATTCATTTGACAGAATTTATAGCTGCATGCTCAGATACTTACCCACTTCCATTTTGACGGCAACAAGCATCACGGAAATCAGTAACTGGCGATAACTCGCAGTGAATAGGTCGACCGTCAAACCAACGATTGTTAAGAGCATCGACAGCTCGCTGTGCACTTAATTCGCTGCGAAACTAAAAATTTATGAAAAATGGTTATGGCGAAAAACGCTATTTTTTAATCGTTCTATTCGTTCTATCAACTTCATAAGAAAATTGCGATGCTGGTGAGCAATATACTTCGCTTCATAAGTGGTTCTTTCTCGTTTCGATTTCGATGGCCAGCAGAACCAGCCTATCCGGAAATAGCGAGTGCTAACCACATAGCACATTTCTCGATTTAGTCAGTCATCCGATTAAAGTCCGTTATTTCCGAACCTTTTTTTGCGGATCGTTGCATTGTTGCATGTCTGCATGGTTTTTAAATTTGATTCAATTCGATAAATTAATTTTTTGAGCGAATAATTTAAAATTTATGAAAATAGTTAATATTGCAACGGGAATTGAACGATTAAATCGCGACAATTATTTGATTTAAAAAATTTTCAAGCGAAATTCATAAATAAATAAACAAGTTAATAAGCCGAATTCGCTATGAAAAGTTGGCTGAAAATTTGTGCTCGATTATTCGTTTCACTGTCAGCTGCGCTTCTCGTTTTATCGCTTCTCGTTTGACTCGCCCTATCGTCTATTAGGATGTCTTTTCCATCGGAAAGTCAACTAGGTTAGTACACCTGTTTGTTGAAATATGTATGCATCATATGTTGCAAAATATGCATCATTAATTACCTTAATATATACATTACCAAGCATATGTTCGCCAACATTGTCGCACACGTTCATCTCTTCGATTGTACCGTATTTTTCACTGATTTCCAAATAAACTTCTCGATAAAATTCATCAAATTCATATTGCTCTTCTTTTTTTACTTAAAAATTTTTGCTTCAAATTTATTTCATTCAAAAACTTAACAGAGTTCTGTTGCGCTCATCAATAAAGTTGGAGCGCCTTTGGTGCGTGTAGTTGGAACCTTAGAAGGAGTTGGAGCTTCACTACAGTTATCCACAAAAATCAAATTTATAATAAAAAATTAACCAATTCGTGTTTCGTTTGTTTTTCGATAAAAATTCTTTAATAAAATCGTCTGAAATTTTTTTCATGAAATTATGTTTATAAAAGGAATTTTCATGAATTTTATTAAATAATTAAATTTACATTTTATTAAATTTTATTAAACAAATCTCAGTAAGCGAATTTTAATTTTAAACGAAAAAATTATTGTAAATTTTTCAAATATAAAAATTTATTTGAAAAATTAAAAAAAAGAAATTTACGGCGAATTATGACCAAATCTTTATTTTTTCCTTGCATTTTGCATTTACATTTTTTCTACTTTTGGCATTTATTTATTTTGTCTATCCTATTTAATTTATGATTGTTTATATATTTACAGCTGATAAGTTATAATTGAAAATCGGAAATTATTGATAAAAAATATAAGTTGCGATAAAGATGGGAAAGATAATGGACGATTCACTATAATATTGTTTATGGAGAGTATGAGCAATTAAATGATAAAATGAATTCCTTCCATTTTTCGTTTATCTAGTTTATAAGATGGTCGAGTAGCAGCCGAGCAATAAATGGTTCGATTGCTGTCTTTCCCATTAAAAATGAAAATCTGGTGGCAACTGCGATTCATCTATATTTTTGTTTCCAAACAAATCTTTGGTTCTCATCCTGTTTGGCAATGGAATCAGCTAAACCACGAATTAAAGTCTTATTATTTTCCTTTTAAAGGAATTAACAAGGAAAAGAAACCGATTTAAAATTCAAACTAGAATCTAAAAAAAAGAACACTCCGATAACAAAGATAATATCTAGTTAGGTGCAATTCCCTCAATAATTAACATTCCGATCAGATTGATTGTGTCCTGGTCAGTCGTTGTTTGAAGAGTTCCATATTAAATGGTCGCTTTCGTGACCATAGATTGGATCAGACTATATTATGGTTTGAGCCAAGATTCGCATAAAATTGGCAAGTTACAAGAAAAGTGTTTCAACCATTTCAAACTAAAAGATTCAGGCATAGTAGGAGCATTTTAAACCGGATTAGTGAAGCACCTCAGCGAAATGAATATCAATGACATCTCTGCAATAGCGGATGAATACTGGTCCCAATTAAAATCATTCACTTCCATATTAGTAGGAAATGCCTTAATGCCCTATTGAATATCGAAAGATTGTCCAACTGTCTGAAAAGACTGCCAAAGCACCAATGTCAGGTGAGAATTATAATGACAACAACCGTCGGGACAGAAATCGCTATTGTGAGATTACCTTGAGAATGGAGATGGTGGCTCGATTAGGCGATAATAAGAAACTATTCATAAAGCGACTATAATTCAGGAAACGATTAGTAAAATTACATGGGATAGTAATGATATGCATGTTAATACCATTAAGGATCGCCTCATGAGAAGAAAGGAATTCTTTGAGGCCAAATTTAACCACATTGCACCACCATCTGTTATCCCAAATATAGCTGAACCACTTGTCGTTTCCAAGTGCGAACTGTTAGCAGAAGAGGAAATAATCTAATAATCCAGAAGCTCAAGACCAATGAAGCTGTCAAAGAAGATGGTCTGAATTCTTCAAATGTTGTCCATCGTTCTTCATAATGGACTTTCAATAAATGTAGTCTCCGGTGTGGAAGAAAGAAATAATACCAGATGACTGAAGCAAAGTAATTTTGTTCCCAATTTTCAAGGTGATTATGACTGAGGTCATATTATGATATTCATTTTAAAAAGGATATTGGAACATCCCGTTAGATATCTACAACCCACTGCCATTGATGAAATATGACTGTGTTTCAGATAACATCATTCGACTCATTTTATCAGCGTCACATCGGCACAAGTTTATATATATGGGGAACTGATAGACACTTTCGAAATAAGACTGTCCGTTCTTTCCCCAAAAATATTTAACTATTCGATAGACTGTATAATGGACATGGCTTGCCGGCGCTCAAGAGGTATAGAATTTAGAATCAGTCCAGAGTACTATATCATAGATTTTGAATACGCTGATGGCATAGTCCTTTTTGCTGACAGTTATGACGAAATGCAAATAGTGCTAAACAATGTGTCGACAACTGCAGCGAGAATCGAACTCATCGGGATCAGTAATAAAATGTGTGCCATAAAATGTAAGTCTTTTCGTCTTATAGGCAAAAAAACTAAAAAATTGCTATTTTTATCGATGCATTGTGGGTCGAAGAAGTGGCTCATTTTAAAATATCTTTGATTCATTCTAATGAAAGTCGGCGTCTATGTAGATATTCGCTCGATCTTGCTGTATGGCCGAACTAGAGGGGAGGATATTAAGAAATTATCTTTGACCACTCATATCTGCATTTTACTGGTTCATCAGTGGATAATACATCGCATAATCGCATCCACTCCTGCTTAAATACCATCTGGATTAACAACACCAGAGAGCATTATCTTCGCTGGTTAGGGCACATTCTTCGTCACCCTTCACAAGAATTGACACATTATTTCGTCAGTTGTGATGAGTGACGTGAAAACCGAGGTGGTCTAATCAAGGAGACCTGGATTAATATAGTTAGGAAAGATTTTAAACATAGGACCAGCAATATATGGACTTAGACGGTGGAAATAATTGCTTCTATTACGGTTACCCATGACTTTAGGCCGAACAGCTTGAAAACATCTTGCTTTTAACCAGTTAGCGAATCCAGCTTAACCGGCAATATTGAAAAAAAAAAGAAGAATCAAAAATATGGTTTCCAGAAATGTTGAAGACATTTGTCAACTTTTCTAAATTTATTTTATCTTTTAAGTTACTTTGAAATTATTGAATCATCCAGTTCAGTTGATTTGAATAATTCTTTGGAAATATATAATAAAGTTTTTAATTTTTTTGTTTCGTTAAATAGCGAAATCAGTAGAACTACTGATTTCTAAAACTAATTTATTATCTAATTTTATTATCTCCTAAAACTAATTTTATTATCTCTATCTTCGAATGATGTTCACCATAGTTTATCATCACATAATCAATAACATATTTTTTATTTAGCCGATAAAATTAGCAGTCATAAATTAACTGAAACACATAATCATTAATAAAATTTCCATTTTCGCCGTTGTAGCAGGAATTTGAGAAAACGATGGATTCAGCACTTAAAAGTAGGCTAAATCGATGCGTTAAAACAAAAATCGAAAAAGCAATTAGCCAAAGATTCCATTCCTTAATGGTTATTATGAGCAGTGGAGAGTAGATTGTAATTTCCCGTAAACATTTTTCGATATTTAAATCAATTTTCCCATTCCTGTATTTATTTCGCCTAATAATAATGAATCAAAGAATATTGCTGGTATAAAAAGAAGAAATAAGTGAATTTTTGAAAGATGAAAGAATTTTAACTTTAACTTTGTAAATGAAAAGCACTGGGCAAAGACACTTATTTTACATCTAATATTAATTTGCAATATCTGATACATCTATGAGACTTTATCCTATCCGGGGTGGTATTGGCGACCTGCTTCTGTTTTTAAGTCACATCCTGGCAAGAATTCCCAATACTATGCATTAGCTATCAGCGGAGCGAACCTAACCATTACGGAATTTTGAGAATTGAACGAAATTTTTCGTTCATATTATAGAAATTTAGTAACGACTGATAAAAACACACAAGATATAGAAATATATTAAATGGACATCAGAAGAATAAGCAGTTCATGTTACATTAAATGCTAATCCATAGAGACAATTATTTTTTTCATTTCGCATTTCGTTTTAATAGTATACTTATTGGGGATAGGATGGCTCAGTGGGTTGTTGGGAAGATCCAATATTGAGGCTCTATTCTCCGCAGGAGTAGACTTATCCAAAAATCCGGCTGATGGCAGCGAGTCATCTGTATTTCTATCGCCAAGGGACTCCCATATTTGTCCAGTGCGACAAGCCAGCGGAGCGAGTTTAACCAGTAGTGGTGAGGACTCTTTAAAAAAAAAGTGTACTTATTCATGGTATCATTTATTTATTTATTAATGGTATCATTAAAATAATTGCCAATTTTATTGTTAGATGGTTGCACAAATACTAATTAAGGAATGTCTATTGAACGAATGTTTTGTTTGACCGAAATCTTGATTGCCCAAATCAATTATAGTTTAATGAGTTTTATTAATTCTTCGAAGAACCAAGAGAACCAATAAATAAAGCATTAAGAATATTTAGCCTATATTTAATATTTAAACACGAAATAATATTTTTCTCGGTTAATTTGTTACCGTTAATTAAAGTTGGCATGCTGATGAATCGGAAAAATGGGAACGCGTTGCTATTTAACGAATTAAGAAGTTAGAACTTGAAGCAAATGCATATATGAAAGTAAAAATAACCTGACTCGAACTTGGTCGAATGTGTTGTCTCGAACATTTATTTCCATGCCGGCAAGCACCAATTTTGAAATAAAATGAGCAAATTGTCCTAAAACAAGGTGAATTAATTCAGCCTGGAATAAATTATTTTTATTGCCTTTATTATCAAACATTATTTTCTATTTTGCATTATTTTCGTGGAAAAAGAAAAATTAAATTGTTCAAAAATTTGTAATTGCGCCATTTTTATAGGAAAAAATTTTGAGAAATAAATTTAAGGAATAATCGGCCGCAAATTTAAGGACAAAGTATGAGACTCTTTTAACTGCAATGTCCATGTTTCTGTGAGCAAAAGAATCGTAAAAGCCATAAAATAATAGCGCAAAGCAGTTGCCTTTCTTATTGTTCCGCTAATTAGGAAAACTCTGCCAGTTTTCACTTTTCCTACTCAATGATTTAGTGAGATGTTAAGTCGCAGAAAATTCTCTGGAACAAAGTCTGAAGGCATTTCACAAATTTTTTTTCATGTATTGAGGTAATTTTCTACAAAGTTCTATTGATATAGTTGATTTCAAAAATGTAAAAAAGTTTAAGGCTGAAGTATTTTACCGATCTTTCTCTGTCGGATTTGCGGATACTTCGGCTTGAATTTCGCTCATCGCCAAGTCTCCATTGATGGGACTGTAGATTTATCTGCAGCTATCTATTTAAAGACAAACTTCCTGGAATTCTGGGTATAAAAATCGTTCTCCACGTAATTTATCGGTTAAATTCTGCAAAATAAATACTTTGCAAATTTGCTAGTTTAAGCCAATGTCTCAATGGAATCAAATGGAGATCGAGGTTGGGCCTCAGCTCCGTCTAATGTAGCATTTGCTCTATTACATAACATAATACGTATAATTTCATAAAAAATTTTAGCAGCATTTCAATCAACCCAAATGCATTTTTTCTGATTTTATTACATTTATTAAATTCAGAAAAAATTGCATCTGAAAAAAATTCCAATAAACCTTTATTTTTCACTTTTTTATTTTATGCGAATTTCAAAAGGATGCAAAAATTTTCAATTCCGCACTTACTGAGAGAAACAAAATTAAAATCTCTTTAAGTACGAAATCCTTTCATTCAACTTTCCTACTCAATGATTTAGTGAGATATTAAGTCGCAGAAAATTCTCTGGAACAAAGTCTGAAGGTTTCTTTTTTTGCAGATCCATCAATTGTTAAGGAATTCGCATCGATGGCTTAATGCTATGTCGATAGCCAACGAGAATCGAGAACAACTCAATTTTGAACCGAGCAATGCTTCACTGGGCGATAGTGTCGCTGAACGGAGAAAGCGAAATGCGCTGAAATGGCTTAGTGCATTGTTTCTCGTTTTGCCTGAGGTTCTATATAGGACTGTTTTTCCGCTGGCAGTTCATCTATCGCCAAGTGGCTCCGCTTCGCAACATTGGTTCATTAAGCCAGCGGAACGAGCCTAATTAAATATTCGCTTCGCAATCTTTTCTTTTCCTTATTCACCAAATTTATCATTATCATTTCTAATCTTTCAGCAATTTAAAACATATAAACAGTTAATATTTTTAATTAATTATTAATATTTTAAAATTTTTCCAGGAAAAACGCTTGATGAGCAAATATATTCTATATTGTTGTATGTTTTTCCAGATTTAATGCAAAAAATTTCTATTCGATCATATTAAAACTAAATAAAACTGAATTGCTGCATCGTATGAATGAATGGTCGATTCGTTGGTGTTCATTAAAAACAGAATTTGCCGTTGCGTTGCATCTCCCTCTTTTTTCTCCCTCTCCTATCCCCCGTAAAATTCTCTGATAGAAAATATCGACCTTAGCAAACGGGGATTTGCGAGCTAAAAAAGCCAGAAGTGCTTTCAAAATAAGAAAGTTTAAAGCTAATTTTACTAAAATTCGTAAAATCGACAAAGCAACTAAAATTATTAAAAAGCTTCATACAGTTTCCTAGTTACATTCGTGTATATACTTTTTTTGATGAATTTATTACTGCGACAATAAAAAAAGTGCTTCTGTTTTTTATTGCCATCCTAAGAAATCTATAAAAAAAGCTGAAAGTATACGGAAAGACCTTGAAAATGGAACAAAAACGAAAGATTGCGCAGGCCAAATATGAAAAAATAGCAAATATGATAGGAAGAAGACTACACGAATCGAGAGTCGAAGCGTCGCGCTCTCAATCCCGGCACCATCATCGATCCTTGTTTGCTTCTCTTCCATCCAGAGAAAACACATTCAATTATTTTTAAAATCCCGAATATTTATATTTATACTGTGCCTTTCATCTTTAATTAAAACTTCAATAGCTGTGGTAGTTCAGATTTTCGTTACCACCATTTAAAAGTACAAGCAAGTAAGGCAATTATAGTGCTCAATACTTCCGATTAGGTTAGCTCTTCTGATATCTGCAAATCAATTTTTTTAAAAGGGCCCTCACCATTACTGGTTGGACTCGCTCCGCTGGCTTGTCACAAATGTGCCAGAGAGTCCTTTGACGATAGAAGTACGGATAAATCGCCAACATCCAGCATCATTCAGTCATTAAGCGATAGAAACCCAAATTTTTTAAACCTTTTGACAGGTTTAATCGTGACGGAAGCAGAAGCTGAACTCTTATCTTTCACCACGATAATCTAAACCACTGGCTTACCTATTTAAAAATATATTATCGAGTTATTCTTGCTTTAGACACTTCAAATCTTTATTACAAGCATTTTATCAGATTTAACATTTCGCAGTGAATTTTTTTTGTTAAAACTCGAATTTAAAAACCCTTTAATTTATTTTCACTTAGATGGTATCATTTATAAATATCAATTCTTTGATTATCGGAAACTTTTGATAAGCAATGTAAAACTACGCAAAGCTTTGCATTTATCATAAGACATCGAGGCAATTGCCAAAAGCAATATGAAATCTAATGTTGCAGTCTGATCGAGCATTATGCATTATGCGTTCGATTTCTGCATTTCATGATAAGAATAAAAGTAATCAGTTAAAATGAAATTTGTACGGTGCCACGATCCAATCTTTTCTCTATGATCCCTCACCATCACTAGTTAAACTCGCTCCGCTGGCTCTTCGCATTAGACAAATATGAGTCCCCTGGCGAGTCGCCAGCGTCACCCACATTTTCGGACAGGTTTACTTCTACCGAACCCAGCATTAGTGCTCTGAATTGAGCAACAACCCATTCTATTCCACAATGGTTCGATTATGAGATTAGTAATAATGAGAAGTACAATAATTATATGAAATTTATTTCTTATAGTAAAGTTAAAGAAATGTATTGCAGTAATTAATAACAATCACAAGTTACGACATCTCAACTTAATTGTTAGGTTTTAGCAATTTTCTTTAGCCATTATCCACTAAGAATGAATGATTGGTCTGATGCAATTTTGTATTATTACACAAACAATGAAAAGAAATTTTTTTTACAGGAATCCATTTTATTAAAAGAATATTTCTCATAAAGTCAATAAATATCTTGATAAATAGCAAAAGAATGATTGAAAAAAAACTTATCAGTGATAAATAAAAGAAAATATGAAATTTTAATAGTGAGTGATAATGATTTATGGAAATATAATTATTTAATAGCCACGGAGAGGAGATTGCTCGGATTCCATTTTTAACGATAAGCTTTCAAATATGCCAAATCCAAGATTCTTGATTGAATTCATGATCGTTGATAAGATATATATATATATATATATATTCATAATAATATGGAAATTGAAATGCAGAAATTGGATTCAAAGCCAAGATTCATTTATTTAAACTTCAACGAGCCTTTGACTTTTACACCATTAAATTCGAATCAATTGAAAATTACGCAGTTAATAGTGAAAAATTAATCATCATATTGGTCAGTGGTGAAAAATTATTCAATGCATTGGTGAACGATTTAAAAAATTACGGAAAATTTAAAATACGGAAACAAATTTAATATACTAAGATATAAAAGGATTTAAAGATTTTAGATATATAAGTGATGATTTCAACGATCTACTGAAATAGTGTCATGAGGGAATGAGATGGCACCTGAAACAGTTTCAGTTTAAGCCATCACAGATCGATTCGCTCCCTGCGATAGAAATCAAGATACCACTGAAAACGAAATACGAGTGACGCTCCAAATAATTAGCCTGCAGCTCTTTGATGAAAGAATTTCTTTATCAGTGGAGTTGGCCAAACCAGAAATTTTGAAAACTTTTGAAATATAAGATTTATTCTTATAATCAGTTAAATGATAATAAGAATTATGAACTAAACCCATTGTAAAATTTTTCATTATGCGTAAACATTTTGCAATTTTCTTTATTTCTTAAAAAATTTCCAATTTTGCAAATCGCTGAGCAATTCCTTCGTTGCTTGCATATAACTTCAAAATGCTCGCAAACCCGCATGATTCTGAATGGGCGAATAAATCATTTGTTACTTTAATTTTTATCTGTGTAATTTGACCGGTATATATGAGAAAAGTGCGACAAGAAGAAGTCAAAACCTGGCTAGCGATCCAGTCGACCAGTGAAACCTTCGCTCGTGCAGCAACACGTGATCGCTAACTTCTCACTTATTTATACGTGAGAATCGAACATATAATTTCTGCCAATGTATGCCCGAAAAAAAAATTTCATTCACATCCTCTAAAACCCGCTATGTTCAGTGAAATTATCTTCTTATCATCACCAAACCTCTCGTCTCCCTCTCGCATATTTTTATATCACCTTGACTCACCAGTAGTCACCCTCGTTGTCACTGATCCTGTAAGGCCCCATATAATATCCTTCACGCTTCGCAACACTCTCAACACGACCTCTTATACTTTCTTAAACCCCGTAGAGACCTCATCGAGCTCAAACTTCAACAAGTTTCGCCTGAGAACCCCCAAATCCCCGCTCCTCTGGGCAATTCCCTATCATCCACAAACTCTGTTCAACTACTGCGATGATCCACTAGTGATAGCAATCGATTAGGACAAAACAACAGAATTGGCAGCAGAGTGGAGTGCACGGCGCGGGCCATATTTTGTTCACAGGTCGGCCGTACATTTCCTCGATTGGATTTGTCAATATGAATTGAAACATTTTTCACACTTTCTCACATCGTATTTTGGTGGCGATAACGCATTTTGGGTGTCTTTTACGTTTCGATATGTTTTAAGCAGATTTGTCATTGTGTGGAAGGCAAAACGCAGATTTGCGCAAAGACGCTTCCATGCTCCACCTTATCGCAGGAAATAGCACTCATTTGCTAGGAAATAGTTTGAAAATCGATAATATCGCAGTAGAAAGTGGAGGAATGGGGAAGAGGAATGGGGGAAGGAGAGGGAAAGGAAGGAGGATGGGGAGAGGAGAAGAATAGCGGAAGGCAAATTTACGCCATTTTGTTGCTATCGTGTGAGATTTCTCATCAGATAAGTCGTTTAATTGTTATGTTTAATTGTTTCAGTATTGGTACTTAATTAAATTGTGCGGCGATGCTTTTTTCACCATTTACGCGTTCATTTATTAAAACATTTCGGCCATTTCTCGCAGTGTTGTCGGAAACTTATTTTTGTTTTATCGAGTTTATTTTCGCATTTATAAATTTTTTTATTCCAAGAAAAAGTGTTTATAAACCAATCGACGGACATTTATTAATTAGCGCTACAAATGCAGCTGAAATGATACGAAAACGACAGGTTTGGGGCGCTTTTTTCTGACTGCTTTTTCTCGTTTGTTATTTTGTGAAAACTTTAATAGTTTCCATTTAAGTTTTAAAATGTTTTGATGATATTGCAATTTTTAATATTCTTGCGAAACCGTTTTCAAATTTTTTCAAATTTGGTCCATTTTTTTCTTTTTGAATTTTTTCTATTGTCTAATTTGTCTAAAATAATGGGAAAATGCGCGATATAGCAAAATTATTGCTGGAATATCGCAGAAATTTCAGATATTTCGAGAATTTTTTCAGCTGACAAGCGTTAAACTAGTGGAAGCATATATAAAACGTATCGCAGAAATTAATGAACTTATCAATGCCGTAGTGGAAAATGATTTCGAAAATGCTCGAATAGCTGCTCGTCAAGTCGATAAATTATTTGAACATTTACAAGAAGGAAGCGATGAATATAATAAGGTTTTTCATAAATATTTCATTTATCATTTTTCTTCAAAAAATACTCATCATTTCTGGTTTGACTGGCTGAATTTAGCATTTGGATGAGACTGTGCCAAAGTCGCTTGGTACGTTATCATCATCGCTGATCAGATTTCTGTTTGAGTGGCAGATTATTCTTATTATTCTTATTCTTATTTTACAGTTCTCCTTTTTAGTTAGGCTGGCTGATTGGCTATAAATGTAAGGCGCTTCTAAGCGACGCGGTCTGATGCTATCGTCGACAGTAATAGAAGCCATTCCTTCTCCCATTATCTTCTGTGGCACAGCACATCCCGGATTTCGCCCTATTCTTCTTCACTTTGGCCTTGTTTTTTCTTCTACTTCCTTGTCCATATATTGATGGTTCACCTATAAGTTCAAAATTTTTTCTGATCGTATCAGTCCAGGTCTTGATTGGTCCACCTCGCTTTTGACACCAACCATCACACGGTTTAGCAAGTAATGAAACATGCGTCAACTCCTCTAGTGGACGACGGAGAACCAGCGAAGGTGACCCTTCCAAGCGACGCGATCTCATATCTGATGCTGATTATTAATGCAAGCGATATTTGAACGAAAATGGATCATGTGATATTTTATACGCTCGAATCTACGAAAAAATATTTTTAAGAGTGGTCAAAGCCAGATAACTTAATATCCTCCACTTCTTATTGGTCATGTCTCAAAGCCATATAGTAAATCGAACCAGTCACGGCTGTATAGATACGGACTTTCGTTTTTATGGTGATTTTACGATGACTCCATAAAGATTTCGTCAACCAGAAGAACACTGCCGTGATCCGGGTTGTAATATCGTCTTTTGCCTGGTCATTTGGTATTAGAGTGGACCTAAGGTATTTAAAATCGGGCACTTCTTCAACTGGCAGTAAATTTATAAACATTTGATTATCTCCTTGCACATAAGACGAAAAGATTTTTTACATTAACCCTGGTTCCGATTCTCGCTGCAGTTGCTGACACGTTATTTAGCATTATTTGTCATAATTGTCCGCAAAAACGACTACATCATCAGCGTATTCAAGATCTGTGATACAATGTTCTGAACTGATTTGGACACTTTTTGAGTGCAGATAAAGGGTGTCCATTATCTAGTCTATCGCATTGTCGAATATTATAAGGAAAAGGACACAACCTTGACGGGCACCAATTCTTATTTCAAAGGAGTCTGTCAATTCCCCATATACACAAATCTGCGCCGGCGTATTCTCATAAAATATCTTTATGAGTTGAATGATCTTCTCTGGAACACCATCGCGTCCTATCACCAAACTAGCGTTTCATCAATTGAATCGAAATGGTTGCAAAGTCAATGAAACACTTAACAGTGAATTGTAGATATTTGAAGTGTTGTTCCAACATTATTTTTAACTTGAATATCTGGTCAGCACAACTGCGTTCCGATCTAAATTTAACTTGGTTAGGGCACATCCTTCTGTTCCATACTAGAAGAAACAATTTATTCAATGCGCAAGCAAAAATTTTCGCTGAGATGTCTAATAGGCTGATTCCTCGATAATTGTCGCAGTATGTTCTATCATCTTTCTTGAGAATTGGAGCAGAATTGCTTTGCCTTGATCATCTGGTAATATTTATTTTTTTTCCATACCAAAGAGTATATTAGTAAGAGTATATCTTATTATTTTCTTGTTATTAAAATTATTTATTATTGTTAAAAATAATCTTCATTATTTCTAATTATTTTATTAAAATAATAATTGTTCCTATCTACAGTATTTATTTCATCATATTCATTGTAATATTTATTCAGTAATATTTATTTGTGTTTATTATATTCATAATAAATGCTTTTAATCTTCGATAATAAAAATAAATATTTTTTATGAGGAGTATTTTTCTCAAAATTTCTTCTTAACAGTTGCAGTTTATGAGAAATTTATTAAAAGAACTTTGTAGACCAAAAATTTCGCATATGATGATTATAGTTAATTTCTTCAAAACCTCTGCTCGGTGTTCCATTCACATTAAAAGATTGTATTGAAATTGATGGATTGGTTTGCACTGTTGGCATCATTTATCGAAAAGATGTTAAAGCGATTAGAGATGCAGTTGTTGTACAAAGGTAAATAAAATATATATATATTTATATACGGTTAAACTAGTTCCAGTGATGGTAGGAGCTATGAAATTAAAAAAGTGGGTTCAACATAGGTCTCAGAACATTAGAAATTTGTGCCCAGAAAAGGGTAGCTAAGATAGTGCACAGAATCGTCAAGTTCCCAGGATTATAGAGTACTCGAGGTTGAGGATGATTCGCCCACAGAGGGTGAAAGTATCCAAAGATATATAAGAAATGATCTTGTTAAACCATTAACGAGAATAATTTATCATTTTTCTTAATCTTAATTTTAAATTTATTTTTGATTCAGATTTTTAAACCCTCTATTTCAATTAATATTAATCGTTGAATTAATATTTTTTTCGCAATTTATGAATATTAAAAAGTAGAATGAAAGAAGCTGGTGCGATACCGTTAGCAGTGACCAATGTGCCTGAAGTATGCTTATGGTGGGAGTCAGTAAATTCGATTTACGGAAGATCAAATAACCCCTATGATAATCGTCGAATTCCTGGTGGTAGCAGCGGTGGTGAAGCTGCTTTAATATCTGCAGCTGGATCTGTGATTGGTATTGGAAGCGATATTGGTGGTTCTATTCGGATGCCAGCATATTTCAATGGCATCTTTGGTTTAAAGCCTTCTCCAGGTTTATTTATTTGTTTTATTTATTTGGATATTTTAATTTCAGAGTTTTTTATTATTTATTTATTTTAAGAAAATTACAAAATTACAAAACGTATACTTACATTTTTGTATTTATTTTTAATATTTTTATATATTTATATTTTTAGCTTTTTATACTTTAAGGCATTATTCCGCTCACTGGCCATTTGCCTCAAGTAGAAGGTTACCGTTCGTTAATGCTCAGAATTGGTCCCATTTGTCGATATGCCGAAGATCTCAACATTATGTTACAGGTAAAGCTTCTTTTCTTTTTCTTCTAACAGCTTTCACCATTACCGGTTGGCTAATTTCACTGGCTACAATGATAAGACGTTTTCAAGCTTCGCGATCTGCCATCGTCGCCAGTAATAAAATCCACTATTTTTTCCATCGTCTAAATCCATATATTGATGGTCCACCTATAAGTTCAAAATCTTTTCTGACCGTATCAGTCCAAGTCTTGATTGGTCCACCTCTTTTTTGACGCCACTCATCACATCGTTTAGCAAGTAACGAAATATGCGTCAACTCCTGTGGTCCATTACGGAGAACGTGCTAACAAGCGAAGCGACGCTCTGTAATAACATTAAGTGGTATTTGAACGAAGGTGGATCATGTGATATTTTATCCGCTCATCTAAAATATGCAGAAGAGTGGTCAAAGCCAGATAACTTCTTTATATCCTCCACTATCATTAGCCATATCTCAGAGCCATATAGCAAGATCGAACCAGTTACGGCTATATAGATTCGAACTTTCGCTTTTATGGTAATTTTACGACGACTTCATAAAAATTTCGTCAGATGGAAGAATGCATTTCTAACTTCCGTTCCTGGTTGTGATTTCGTCTTTTGCTTGGCCATTCGATAATAGAGTGGATCCAAAGTATTTAAAACCAGAGACTTCCTCAACCAGCAGTGAATTTATAGGTGAAGCTAGTATTTTTATTTGCAAGATGAATAGACTGGGGATAGGGGTTAGTTTAGTGGCAAGGTAATTGTCACCGAGACTTGGGAATGGCTAAGGTCGGCACATGCTTTGTCGGGCTGGCTGTAGTACCAGCGAAAAGCTAAAACGACGGAAATGGTAGAATGGTTCAATGGGTTATTGTTTAGTTTGCAGCTGAGGTTTAAAGGTAAATATCAGGAGGCTTAGAACCACTATTTCTATCGTCAAATGACTCCTTGGCAAAATTTATCTGATCCGACAAGCCAGCGGAACGAGCCTAGCCAGCAGTAGTGGCACTTAGAAAGGAAAATTCTAGACTGCTATAGCTGTCTTTAATTTCAGCATCATCAATCTTCGTGAAGTAAAATTTCCGTTCTTGATTTTTGATTAGTATAAAAATTCTTTAACACCAAATTTTTTTTTCACTGTTTATTGATGTTTTTTTGAATTTATCAAGATTATGGCGGGCGAGGAGGGAAGTAAGAAAATAAAGTTGAATTCTGAAGTTTCATTGAAGAATATCCGAGTATTTTACATGGAAGGATTGAAAACATTATTCGCAAGAAGTCTCAGCAATGATTGTTACGATGCATTAAAGAAAGTAGGCTGTTATAAAGATTTAATTAAAAATAATACTAAATTAAATATTATTTATATTATTATTATATTTATTATTTAGAAAATGTTATTAAAATAATTCGAAAATGTTTCCTTATAAATATATCAAATAGGCTATTCGTTATTTTGAAACAAAATATGATCTTTATGCCATTCGCCTGGATTTGCCTTTTGCACATAACGCTATCGAATTTTTCGTGACTAGTATGGAAGTGCCGGAAGCGCCTAATTTTGCATGGCATATGACTGATCTAAAGGTAATTTGTAGTTAAGGTAGTTTTTTAAATGTTATTTTAATCAGATAAGTACATGAAGGGAACATCAATAAAAAAAATTTTTATTAGGTCATATCATTATCTCAGTTCACTAAATATTCCGTATTTTTTAATTTCATTTTTAGTTTGAAGTTAATTGTACTGTGGAATTGTTCAAATGGTTTTTTGGTTATTCGCAACATACTCTTCCTGCAATCGTAACTGGCTTGGCTGATAATCAACAGATTTTTAGTTCGCAGCAAAAACAAAAAGTATTTCATTATATATTATTTATTATTATATTATTGTTTTATTTTATATTATTATTGTTTTTTTAATTTTTAATTTTTAATTTTTTTAATTTTGTTAGTTGGAAATTAAAAATTTAATTGTTAAAAATTATTGAATCATTCATGGGTTTCTAAGAATAATCTGATTTTTTATAGATATTTTATCAACGTGATCGTCTTGAGAAAGAGTTGTCAGAGCTGCTAAAAGATAATGCTATATTAATATTTCCATCGTTTCCAACTGTAGCGCCATTCCATCATGAACCACTCTTTACTTCTCTTAACTTCGCGTATACAGCTTTGTGGAATACGCTTCCGTTTCCGGTAGTACAGTGTCCAATGGGGCTAAACAAAGATGGTATTCCTGTTGGCATTCAAGTTGTCGGTGGAAAAAATGCTGATCGTTTATTGATAGCTGTCGCCGAAGAAATAGAAAAAGGATTTGGTGGTTGGAAACCTCCAAGCTAATTTTTGTCTTAATTTTGCTTAAAGAAATAGCGTAATCTATGTTAAACAGATTGCGTAGATAAGTGAAACATGCTTAAAAATATTTATGCCTACTGGTTTGTATTTTTCAATTATATCATCATTTGTGGCATTTCTAATTGTCATTTGGGAATATATATAAATTAAATTATTTTTGCGATAAATTTAACTAATTACCTAATCTGTGATAATGACGGGTATATAGAAAAAAACTTGTTTCTCAAATCAGAAATTTTTTGGTAGATTTTTCTATTTTTGTTTATAATTTATTTATAATTTATAGTTTTCTGTTTAATGTTATAGGCCCTCAAAAAAGTCAATTTGTTTTTTTGTTTTAAATTTTTTTTTATGTGTGGTAGTGAAAAAATGTTTAACTTTGATGAAAAATTATCAAAATTGCAATTAAATTTTAGTTATTTCTTATTTTTCAACTTCTCGGTATAGGTTGTAAAATTTTAGACAATTTTTGTAAATTGTAATTTTATTCATTGTTTATATTATTAGCTAATTTATATAAATAATCACATAATAGATCCTCAATTTATGCAATTTTTTTTAGAAATTTATGAGCATAATCTTTTTTTTTTTTAAATAAAGTATTTAATATTCAATAAACTGTTTATTACTTATTAGTTGTACCTTTTTTTGTTTTAATTAAATCAAATATTTCATTATGGAATATAAAAGAAATTGATATTAATTGGTATTATTGATATTTTGAAAAAATCAATGAATAGTTTACAATGACAGTTTGTGATTGCTATTTGTGATAAAGTTTGCTCCGCTGGTTGTTAATGCAATGAGAAATTTTAGTTCCTGAGAACAATTTTGGAAATGCATTAGTTGAATTTAGAGTTTATCATATAGAATTGAAACTGCATTTTGGAAATCAATTAAGAATGATAGTTTTATTATTTCATTTTAATTTTTTAATTTTATTTCAATTTAATTTCATTTTAAAGAATTGTATCGATTTTACATTTTTCAATTTGGTCATTCTTTTCAGAAAATTTAGATGAGCTCGAAGAGCGGTTACATTGAACTCTTAAAGGATGAACATATCCAAATGCATGCAAAACTTATTGAATTACAAAGAAGATACGATATTCTTGAAGCATCGATTTTGAAAGGTAATGAAGAACGAGAATTTTCGAAAGGATCATTTATTCATCGGGTTGTGTCAGCGATTGCAAATTTGTATAAAAATGGTTTATATAGGTATATTTTATTTGAAATCACTGTTTTTATTTTTCCCATAATTACTTTAATATTTTATTTAGAAAGCCAGTAGTTTCTTCTAAGAGTTGTCACCATTTCTGGTTAGGCTGGCTTCACTAGCTATAAGGTAAGACGCTTCCAAGGCGCGGTCTGATGCCATCGTTGATAGTATAGAAACCATTCCTTTTTAGTCCATATGTCAATCACCTATACCTTCATGTTCAAAATTTTTCTTGACTGTATTAGTCTTCATTAGCCTTAGTCTTCATATTAGTATATTAGTCTTCATTGGTCCACCTCGCTTTTGAGCCATCCATCACAGGGTTTAACAAGTAACAAAATGTATTAACTTCTGTGTTGGACGAAGAACCAGTGAAGGCAACGTTCTCTGTTGGTACTTTTAATTCAGATGGTATTTAAGCGGAGGTGGATGCGATCATGTGATATTTTATCCACTTGGCGAACCCATAAAATGTACCTTAGAAATGAGTGGTCAAATGCAGATAACTTCTTAATGTCTTCCACTCTCATTGGGCCATATAAAAAGATCGAGTGAATTATAGTTGATGGGGGTTCATGTCCCCGGGACCTCGGACGTTTCTTGTTCGATCTCTTCTTGACTACAATACTACATGTTACTCCCTGAAACATCGCAAAACAGGTAAAATAATTGAAGGACTCTAAAAATATTTTCTAGACGCCTTTCTCCTAATAAAAATTATAATTTTAATTATAAAAGTACATAACATACAACAACAACATAACATGGATTCTCTCTTTCGTAGAATTAAACAAGAACACATATAAGATTCTGTATGGTTATGTTAGATTAAACTGCTCGAAATATTTAACTTTAGACTAAATTTGAATTCAACAAGAACTAATGGCTTAAAATTACTAAAACTTATATGCAGAACTAAACTAAGGACTCATGACTTTTTTATTCGTACTATTAACTACTGGAACAAATTACCGAATGATGTAGCTTGTGCGTCATCCTTAGCTGTCTTTAAAAAAAGACTAGATAATATCATTTACGATATTATTAAAAAAAAAAAAAAAAAGAGAAGAATTTACACCAGGCAAGAACTGCAGGAAGTGAGAAATCTTGATTTTATCTTCAGGTTATATATGTTACTTCGAATTGTACTGTATTATATTGATCTGTAATTTCCTCTTTAAATTGTTAATTTTTATCATATTGTTATAATTAATTTGTTATAATTAATTTTGTTTAATTTAGTTGTTTTTTTTGTGTTTTCTTTTTCTGTTATTTTAACTGTTATTATTAATATAAGCACATGGCTTTGTCGCCTTGCTTGGCTGGTTATCAATAAATAAATAAATAAATAGTTATTTATTTATTGAAAAATCAACCAAGCAGGACGACAAACGCCATGTGCTTATATTAATAACAACAGGTAAAATAATAAATAATAATAATCAATGATAAAAAAAAGAAAAAGGAAATGTGACAAAAATTAATTTAAAGAGGAAAACACAAAATATAACATAATACAATTCGAAATAACTGTATGAAACATAATCGGATGGTAAAAAATCGAGATTTCGCACTTCCTTCATGATGTGAACTTTTTAAATAATATAACAATTTTATAAATGATATTATCTTTTTAAATAATATAACAAACAAAATTACAATTTTATAAATGATATTATCTAATCATTTTTTAAAGATAGCTAAGGATGACACACAAGCTGTATCGTTCGGTAATTTATTCCAGTAATTAATAGTACGAATAAAGAAGTCATGAGTCCTTAGTCCTTAGTTTAATTTTGCATATAGGTTTTAATAATTTTAGCCCATTAGAATTTTTTTGGGTTCAAATTTAGCCTAAAATTGTAATATTTTTAACAATCCGAATTAATATAACCATATAGAATTTTATAAATATAAATTAAATCTTATTTAATTCCACGAATTCCACGAATCGAGAGGGAAGCCAGGTTGTATCGTTAAAATTCTGTTTTACAATTAAAATTGCCATTAAGAAAGAAGCGAAATATAAAATATAAATATAAAGTATTTCTCGAATCCTTTAATTATTTTACTTTATTGTACTTGGTAGTATTATAGTCAAGAAGAGGCCAAACGAAAGCTTTGCAGAATTTCATAAGAAAACCTTCAGTTTTTTCCTTAAACGACCGAAAAATAAAGTATTTTTGAGGATTTCTTTACTATGGTAGTGAAAGTCGAAATCAACATTTTCATTCACGATTATGCCGAGACCGTGAGACTCGTCTGATTATGTTACCATTAATAAAAAGATTAGGAAGATCGAATCCTTTCGAATTTATATGCAAAACGCTACGCTTTTCAAAAAGAGAGGGTAATTTGCCTGTTTAGCCAGTTGATAATTTTATTGAAGTCATCCTTTAGTGGAGACAGGATATCTAATCTGCCAGGGAATAATGAATTTTACAATCATCAGCATAAAGATAACAATACAACTACCTTGAGGAATGCCGCCTGATTTAACAGGTTTCATGTCAGAAAGAATGTTGTTGACACATACATCATGGTGAGATCTTTAATGTAATCTGATACCCAGTTATACAGGTCCCTTGTAAATAGACGCGGACTTTCGTTTTTATGGTGATTTTGCGATGGTTTACTCAACTGGAAGAAATACATTTCTAACTATTCCCGGTTGTAATTTTATCTTTCGCTTAGCCATTTGGGATTAGAGTGGATCCAAGATATTTGAAATTACTCTGGAACTTTCTCAACCATCGATGGAATGATATAAATAGGTATTTTATCAACTTCTGGTATATAAGACGAAAACTTTTGTTTTGTTTATATTGACCATTGATCCCTGCAGTTGATGACACATTATTTAACATTATTTGCATTTCATCGCAAAAAAGGATCATCAGCATATTCAAGATCTATGATACTATGCTCTCGTGATTTGCTCACCTCTTGAGTGCCGACAAGCGGTGTCCATTATCCAGTCTATCGCATAGTTGAATACTGTAGGGGAAAGGTCGCAGCCCTAACGGACACCAGTTTTTAATTCAAAGGAGTCTGTCGATCCCCCATATACGCAGATCTGCGCTGACGTGCGCTCATAAAATGCCTTTATGAGTCGAATGATTTTCTCTGGAACACCGTCGCTTTCCATTATCCTCCAAAGCGCCGCTCTATGAATTGAATCAAAATCGATGAAACACGTGGCAGTGGGTGCAAATATCTGAAGCGATGTTCCAACACTCTTCTTAACGTGAATATCTGGTCAGCAGAACTCCGCCCTGGTCTGAAACCAGATTGATTAGGGTGCATTCTGTCCCATACTTCCATAAGTCCGTTGAGTAGCGGAAATAAAAATTTTTGCTGAGACGTCTAATAGGCTGATTCCTCGATAATTGTCGCAGTATGTCCTATCATCTTTCTTGAGAATTGGGAGAAATTGCAATCATCTGGTAATATTTCTTTTTTTCATACCAGAGAGTAGGTACGTTATGAAGAATGATGGACAACATTTGAAAAGCTTAGCCCAAAGACCATCTTCTCCTGGAGTCATATTGGCCTTAAGCTTATGGATAACGGAAATCATTTCTTCTTCTATTGGAGGCTCGCATATGATTTGGCGAATGTATTAGGTATTTCAGGGGCAACAGATGGCGCATATAGTTAAGTTTGATCTCAAGGAATTCTTTCCATCTTATGAGGCGGTCCTTAATACTCTTGATGGGCACACCATTGCTATCTCTTACCATTTCCTGATCTTTCCCGAATCAGTTACTTTATGAAGAAGGCGAAATAGTTTCCTATTATCGTCTCCATTCTTAAGGCCATGTCACTCCAATAGTAATTTTTACCCCATCGTGCTGCTTTCGTTGCAAATCTTCGAAACATCCGGTAGTCAGGATTATCTGACATTCGTGCTTTGGCAGTGTTTTCAGAAGTTAGACAGTTATTTCCGATATTTAACTAGCGCACTTTCTATAGTACGTCCAAGCGTGGAAGTAGCTGATAATTATGCCAATATGTTAATGACACTAAAAAAAATTAATAATTAAATAAGTATACTGTCGAAAATAATAAAAGAAAAAAATGAACTAAATGAATATACCACAATACTAATGAAAATGAATTGACGGATATGGTTTATTTATCGAAATAATGCATGGATGTGTCTGTTAAGTTCATTTTAAAAAATGAATACTTGTCGCGCAGAAATTACATCAATAGGCAGTTAACAGCGGTATCGATAATCATAAACATCATAAACAACATCACAGCCCATATGCAATTGCGTAATTTGCAATAGATATTCCACTGTTTCGTGCTACAACTGAAAAAATTATAAGGCATTGGCTTTATCTAGTTGAATAGGTTCTATATTTTCCAAATTCATTATATTTTTATTTATATTTTAACAAATTCATTATATTTTTATTTATATTTTAATAAAATCAAATAAATTGAAATCATAGGTCATAAATTAGTTAATTGAGCAAAAAATATTTTGCATAAATTTTTTAGAATTTTTAGCGATATTATGATTTACTGTGATGGTCATAAGTTACGCGCCCATCGATTTATGATTGCAGCACGAACAAATTATTGGAATGATTTGTCGGAGATTAATATGATTGAATTTACAGGTATTTCTTCGATTCAATAATAATTGATGGAAGATTTATAGAATTCTATGTGAGAATATCAATTTTCTTGTATCATCGAATTGTTGATGCAACTTTTGGATTTATGTAAAAGTGTAAATCATTAAGTTATTAAGTGATTAATTATTAGAATTATTAGAATTTTTTTTGATATCGAATTGTAAGATCTTTAAATTACTGACAATTATCAACAATCATTTTAATTATTAACCGAAAGAGTAAAAAATCCTAAATTAATGCAAACATTGATGCTTCAAATTGATCGTTTTTTCAGATTTAACCTACACTGCTGGAAGCGCTTTGCTTAAATGGATGTATACGGATGAACTGGATTTTAATTTAGAGGATTCTTATTTAATGGAAATTATTTCAGCTGCAAATAATTACCATATCGAGGAACTTCAAAAAAGGTTCATTGAAATCTTTTTTAGCGTCCAAATTATCTTTCATATTATTTAAGTTTTCGTGATTTCCATACATTTTGTTTGCTTGTTGATTATTGGATTAATATTTTAAAACGTGAAGAATTAGCTGAAAACCACTTGATTAGGATTATATTAAAAGTTATTTAATTCGTTAATTATTTTTAATTATAATAATTATAAGTTAATTATTTAATTCTTTATACTTTTTCTCTTAAATCAAAAAAAATAAGCTAAAGCGATGTCTAATTTAGATCTGAATTAATATTGGCTGGACGTACTAATATTGAAAACTGCATTACTTTTTATCAATTTGCTGAAAAACAAAATCTTCCATATTTGAAAGGAAATTGTTTAAAACTTATTGCGTTGAACTGGAATAATTTCAGTTCCGAACATTTTATTGAATTGTCTGCTCCTCTGTTTTACCGAATTTTGAAGAGGCATGGCATTTCATTATTTTGTGAATATATAATAAAAAGAGAGGCATTATATATTAGATTATTTGCTCTACTTTACGCTGTAAAAACTGCAGTGTCTCAAAAATATCGGATCTTGGAGAAGTTTATTATTATCCCATATCAACAACAACAAGCTTTTTGGAATTTTCTTGTTATATTCTTACAACAATTTTTTTTTTTTTTTTCAGTCAATCCGAAGGCATTTTGCATTCAATAATTCGTATGAATAGAGAAGATGTACTTTTCTTATACTTAATCGAAAACAGTTCGCAGGTTGTTTTCATCTATTTTATTATTTTATTTTCATCTATATTCTATTTTTATTAGTGTTGATCTTTAATTGTTAATTTCCGTGTCAGATAAATTTATCAAATGTTGCTTTTATAAGCTCTTAAAAAAAGTCGATTTCAGTTGATTTTTTAGAAAAATTTTTCTTTTTAAACATTTTTTCTTTTTATTTATTTTGGTGGAATTTGGTGGTGTTAGAAAAAAAACGAGAAAGTATGGGGAACTATAGAAGGATTTAAAGAAATTAAAGTACTACCAAACAGCTATTTTTTCCATCTTTCTTTTTGTTTCAAGATTCTGAATTTTTTTTAAGTTGGCAAGCGTAGTAAATGAATTCGATAGAAATGGAATTCTTCCTCTGCAATTGGCTTTGGATTTGAAACAGTATAGTATTGCTGACCAACTAATTAATCATCAGGCCGATGTTAATATTGTTAACAAGGAAGGAAAGCCTCTCATTATACTGGCTATAGAAAAAGGTTGGAAAATAATTGATGGGAAACAGCAATAATTTTTAAGATAATATAACATAACTGGGACTATCTTGGTCCACAGTTTAGTCCATTTTTGAGAACCCACTTGAAAATTTATGAATCAAGTTTTGATTTGTGGTTTACAATGGTACAAGAATTAAAGTCAGATAAATCTTAAATTTAAAAAAATTTTTCCTATTTTCTTGAAATTTTGAATATAAGAATTATAGATCAAGTAAAAGCTTGTGATTTCTTGATTAGTAATGGTGCTCTGCTGACTTATAAAGATAGGAATAACGGAGATATTCCGCTTCATATCATGGCTCGAAAATGTTCGAAAGAAATGTTAGGCTGGTTATCGACAAAGATTAATTTATTTAATATCAACGAAGTCAATAATAATTCTGAGTAACCTTTGAAATATCCATTTTATTTATTTTGAATTGAAATTTTTTCTAACTGAAAAATATTAAATTTTCTTGTATTTCTTGTATTACAGTTTTTTCTTTTTAGTTTGCAATTGTTTTCAGAACGCCACTTATGTGTTCAATTGTTTCACAGAATAAAGCTTTTACCGATTTCATTATTGGCTGTGGTGACATTAATGTAAATGTAATGGATTCGGCAGGGTGGTCTGCCCTTTCTCTGGCACTTTTTGTTGCAAAAGATATGGCTCTAGCTGACGCAATTTTAAAAGCTGGTGCAGATATTAATGCAAAATTTAATAATGGTAAGTTTATCACTTTTAGATGAAAAAGCTTTAAAAAATAGTTGTTGTTTTTTAGAAATGAAGTCTTGGACTTGATTCTGTAAATCATTTTATCTTTACTGTTAAATTCTTTTTTTTAGATGGATCTGATTATTTGCTTTTCTTTCATCTTTTTTTATCTTTATTTAAGTGGTTATAGGTGAAAATTTGGTCCATTATTCGGTGCGGTCCGGTAATTTGGTTGCTTTGCAGTTTTTATGTAAAAATTACGCTTATCTCGATGTAAAAAATAATAATGTGTGTTGCAATTTTTCTATAATTTTCGTTCGACTTTTTAGTTATCATTTTTTCATTGCTATGAAATTTATGTTCTCATATTTTCCTTCAATAATATTAATCGATATCTGGCAATGCACAAAAAAATGGGAATAAGTATTGAGTTAATTCAATTTTTCCTTTTTAATTTGCAAATTTAAGGGCTTAACTGCTTTACAACTCGTGATCGATATGAAGCCGTTTAATGGCAATATTTTAAGAGTTCTCCTAAAAGCCGGAGCGGACCCAACAGTTATCCGACCTAAAGATAATGCAACAATATTGCATATGGCTGTAGAATCCGATCATTGTCTGGAAATTTTTAATGCAATAGTGTGCGAAGCAAATGAATATTTGAAAGGTTCTGCATTTTGGTTAAAGATTTTGTTTGCAGATTATGGATTTTCTCTTTTGTTACTTTTAATTTTTTTATCATATCTTTTTTTCATAGTCCATAGATTGATTTTTTGGACAAAAAGGGGATAAATCCGAAAAATTTATTGAAATTAAGATTTTTTGGTGTCTTAATGAAGATAGAATTCATCTCACACCCTTGGCAGGAGTAAACCTATCATCACCTAAAAAAATTCGGATGGTGCTGGTGACCTTTACATTTATCACCAATTCTCTAGTAAAAATTTCAAACCGTATTAATATCCAGCGAAGCGAGTCTAAGCAATAGTGAGCACTGACCATTTATTTATTTATTTTATTTAATTAATAAAAAATTGGGCCTCACTAATATTCTATTTTGTAGATAATTTCTCGAAATCGAACAAAGAAGGTAATACGGCGCTTGCTATGGCTTTGTTTATGAACCGTTTGCCTTTGGCCAAATCACTTGTTAAAGCTGGTGCAGATGTGAATGAAAGAGATCGAAGTGGTAGCACACTCTTGTTGAAAATTATGAAAATGGGAAATGATCAAGGGGCGCTTTTCTTGTTAAACAGTGGAGCTAATATCAATTACAGGTTTTTATTTTATAATTAGTTAATGGTTATAAAATCATTCATTTCCGAAAATTTTTTAAGGAGCAATTATTTTCTTCCACAGCTTTCTTCCACAGAAAGAAAAGGGTTTAAAATCATATTACATCTTGTCTATAAAAAAATTTTTTTTAAGTGATGAAAAGGGTAAATCACTTTTGCAAATAGCAGTTGAATTCTCATTGTTTGAAACAGTTCGAGAGTTATGTAATAACTGTGTTGATTTGAATTCACTTGATCCAGAAACAGGATTGCCACCAATATGGACAGCAATTAAAAATGGTTGATTTCTGATTTTGAGTTAATTCAACCATTGATTGTTTTTTTAAGGCGATTTTCCTTATTTGAAATTAAAAATTAAATTGTTAGAAGTTTAAAAAAATGAAAAATTATTTGTACAAAATGAAATAGAATGTTTTTATCTTACAATTGATATTAGTGTTTTACGATCGGAGTATTCAATTTAAAAATTTTGTTAAAAATCATTTTAGATGATTTCAATATTGCTTCATTATTAGTAGCTTATGGATGTGATAAAAATAATTGCGATTATAAAGATAATTTTTTCTCACAAAATCTTTTGCAACGAGCGATTAATCAAAATATGTCGAATGCTGCCATATTTCTGATCGAAAGGTTTCAATCCATCACTAAGTTAATGTTATTGACATAATCCAGTGCTTTTAGTAGGAACTTCTTTCTTGCTATTCCCAGCATTTATTTTGTTATTTTTTTATCTTATAAAATTCACCATTCTTTTAGACAGTCCTATGAAAAATAAAAAGTAATAAGAAATGAAGAAGAATTTGACTAGTTTGTTATAGCGCTACTATTTTCTTTATGGTTAGGTTATTTAAGTAGGGGGGAAAGAATTGACCATAAGAATTATTTGGGACGGTTATTTAATAAATAACGTTAAATTCAAATTTAGTGGTTGCGACATAAATCCGGTGCACCATGGTGCTAAAGGGATGGGATTATCGACACCTCTACATTGTTGTATTCGTTTCGGGCTTGAAGATGTAGCATTATCGCTTATAAAACACGGTGCTTTAATAAATGCCCAAGTCATTAATTTTTTACCTTTTTCTACTTCAATTCTAAATTTTAAATTTAATTTTAATTTTTTAACCATTTTTTATTAGATCTGCACTTTACTTTTTTCCATTGTATTTTTTTTCTAGGATGCCGAAGGTCGTACTGCTATTCATTTAGCAATGCTTGAGGAAAACAAACTGATTTTGGACACTTTATTGGCAGTTTGTGATCCGTCAATATTGCTCATTTGTGATGAGCATGGTTTAAGCCCATTAGCTTTGGCACTTGAAAAAAATGATCTTATTTTGGCAAGATCGATTGTAGAAAAAATGCCGGAGGCCTTAAATCAGGTTAAGTTCCGCTTTTTTGAGATCCAAAAGAATTAAGAATTTAAAAAAACTCATTATAATCCATAAATTGTTTATCCACAATTTTTATTAAGTTTAACGAAAATGGCGAAAATTTATTACATTTGGCAGTGAAAAATGTGAATTTCGAATCTGTTTTACTTCTTCTTTCGCTTGGCATTGATGTCAACGCTCGCACACACTGTGATTTAAAATTAAACGCGTTACATATTAATGCTCAAGCTGGAGGGGAGATGATTATGCGTAATTTGGTTTGTTTTAAATTAATTATCCGGTTATTTAATTGTTTATTGCTTATATAAGACGTGAACTATATACTGTCATATATTTTCCATTTCAAAATAACTGAATAACAATATTAAAATTCAGCTTCTTGCTGGTGCAGATGTGAATGCTAAAACTTCAAAAGGTTTTACTGCGTTGCATATAGCTGCTTATAATGATTACGAGAATTTATGCATAATTTTGATAGAAAATGGCGCTAAAAGTAATGCGGTTGATTATGATGGAAATAATGGTACTTTCTTTAATATATTAATATATTATGGGATATCTTCACATTGATTCCACATTATTTTTATTGGTGTACTTTTGTTGTTTTCAGCTTTACATATCGCCGTATCGCATGGAAGTGTATCCTCAGTAAATGTGCTGCTTGGTGATCCTAATTTAGATCCAAGAGCTGCAAATCATAGGTGCATTCATCATTATTTTGTTGTTTTATTTTCAGCAATATGCTTAGTTTTTTGTTTGGTTTATTTTTTAATTGTGCCTATTTTTATATTTTCAGCTTACAAACACCATTGATTATGGTTGCAACCGATTTTTCTATCCCAAATTCGCTCGATATTCTTCATATATTTATGAATTTCGATCCAGATTATCCTATTGATTCACGCGATAAAGATGGCAATACGCGTAACTTCAATTATTCTTTTTTTTATTAACTTTTAATATCAAAAAAATTTTTTGGATATATCAAATCGTTAGTGGTTTAGTCGAAAAACAAATAATAATTTTACATTTACAAAAAGCAAAATAAATTTTGGCTAAGATATTGATTTTGATCCCGTTTTTAATTTTGTTAATTTCATTTAATTTTTTAATACTTATGACAAATGTGATAAAGCATATCTTTAAAGTGAATTTTAATGAAATGGATTGTTCTTTTTAATTTTATTAATATCTACAAGCTATGTATATTATAGTTTTTATTTTAAAAAAAAATTCTCATTTGCAAAATTTTTAGTTTTTCTTCTTGCTTATATGAATGGTAATGCTGAACTTTGCAAAGCTGCAATTGGATATGGTATTTGCCTAGCGGTTACTAATTATAACGGAGTTTCAATTTTTAACTTTGAAACACCCACGAAGCAACTTCTTTTCGCACTTCTCGGTTATTTATTATAAAAACTGTAAATATTTCATTAAAAAAATGCTTTCTGCAATTTAGTACTTATTTCAAGTTTTTTATTTCCTTGTCTGCAGCTTAAATGCTTTTTCACTCTGGGTCGTCTGATCTATCTATCTGATTAAAAAACTGAACTGTAAAAAATCTATGAGCAAAAAACCTTAAAGAACTATAAGCAAAAATATAGGAAATGAATTTTGCTTGTTTAGATAACCTAGATCGAGAGCCAAAGTGGGCTTATGGTGATTGTTGTTCTGAATGCTTTGCAAAATTTTCATTAACGACTCGCAAACATCATTGCAGGTCTAAAATTTTGATTTTAATCTCATTTTTAATTTAGAAATAGATATTTTTTAAAATTAGACAAATGTTTTTTTAAAATTTGTGGGACTATTCTAGACACTGTGGTCGTCTTATCTGCTCGCATTGTTCCGAATGCACTATGCCTATCCTCAAATACAATCTTCAAAAAGCAGTTCGCGTTTGTCAAATTTGTTGTGATATATTGACAGTAGGTTATGGAGCTCCATTATAATTTTTTATTTTTTCCAAATTAAGGAATATCATTTTTATCATAAATATTTAATAATTTACTTATGAATCAACTGCCAGCTGATTTTGAATTTGAGTTAATTTTTAAGTTGAATCCAACCTTTTATGCAAAATTTTCGAAAACTTTTGAAACATTGAGTAGTCTTGGTATGCAAATTAATAAGAAAAAGTTGGCTGTGTGAAAGAAATATTTTATTGATTCTCATATTATTGCCTTTATTTTCGGTGCTACTTGTAATGATATTATATTTTTTATTTAATTTTTTTACTTCCCATTTAATCTGAATATCTCAGAGAGTAAAAGACCTGGCAGATACTGTGGATACCTTGATCAAAACAATCTTTATTCCTCTCATCGTTTTTGATTAAAGATGTATCTATTTAATGAAACAAGCATTTGTTTTTATTCGAATGTTTTTTAGAAAAAATGAGTAAAAATAAATAAAAGTTCAAAAGTACAAATGAAAAATTATTTGATTATAAAAGTTACGAATAATTCAAAAATAAAATAAATTTTCAAGTCGACATTTCAAAACATTTTTATAAATATCATATATAATAATAATTAATGATAATGATAATGATAATAATAATAATCCACATTCCTATAATAATAATCCCCATTCCTATATTATTTTTAATAATAAAGATTTGTTATTAATATTTGAAATGGGTAAAACAATAAGTTAAATTTAGAAAATAAAAGTGCATTAAGTGCAAGTCAAAATTATGAAGTTAACAAACAATATTTCTAGCCGATTAAACTTATATAGTATAAATTAAAGGGAACCGAGTAGAAACTATAATATTATCTTGACATTATAATATTTTCACTTTACAATTAAATTAACAAATATTTCAAATCCTTTTAAAATCTAAAATCTTTACAACAATAAAAATAAGATGAATTGTTGTTTAAGGAATTTCATGGTTAATTGATTTATTAGCAAAAGAGACGAATATTTCATCAAGTGTCGTTTGTGCCAGCGAATAATCATTAATATCACCACAGATTTTGCTCAACTCAAAATAAATCAGCAGAAAAAATATGGACAAATTTAATTTTAAAAAAACTGTTCGTTATTTTCTATCATATTTAATATAATAAAATAAAAGAGAAGAAAAAAAACTTACTTCAGAAATGTGATCAAGGATACTGGCAACAGTGAAGATATCAGAAATATCATAGAAAAGATTCGAGCAATGAATCGCTTTCAACTAAAAATTAAATTCAGAAAAAATCAGAAAACTAAATGAAATATTGATAATGTTCGTTAAATATAAATATTGATAATGTTAAAATCCATAAGTCACCTTATATCCTTTGTACTTAGCTTCGATAAAATTTTTAATCGTTCTCGTTGCTACTTCATTTCGTAATTTCAAGGTCAATGTATACCCTTTTCCAAAACTGCAAAATAGTTTATAAAGAAACTGAAAGTAAGGGGATATAAATATAAAATAATATAAAATACTATTTAAAATAGAACAAATATATTTCAACAATATGCAAGAATTCATACTCTTTCTATGTCTACAATGAAAAATATAGAATTAAGAATTAGAAGCGAGATATCTGGAAATATCTGGAAATATGTTTTTGTTTATATTTTTATAGCTTTGAACGAATTCATCAGCAGAAATAATCGTACCGCTTCTTAAGATGTTGTAGGGCACCTATGCAAGCCAGCTGACCATTGACCATAATAGCTATTCTATTACAAAGCATTTCACATTCTTCCATACTGTGTGATGTAATTATAACGGTTCGCTGACTTCTTCTTAGATCTAATATAAGATTCCACATAAAATATTGAGATTGAGGATCCATCCCAGCAGAAGGCTCATCCTTCAAGAATTATCACGTAAAATTTTTCTCATAACTTGCTAATTTCTAAGAATGACCAAGTAAAAAACATACAAGGAAAATGATCTGAGGATCACCAATCAGTGCAATAGCAACACACAATTTGCGCTTATTGCCACTGGAAAAACGAGCAGAAATTGTCGAAGCATATGGTTCAAGTTGCATTAAACTGATGGCCCAATCAACTACCTAAAATAACCAAAACCAATATCTTTAACTGGAAAAGTGTGAATTTCCATTAAGAAATTCAAGACATGATCAATAATACTGAATAATGACAAAATTAAACCACAATCTTTTATATACAAGACTAAGAAAATCGGCCTCATTACCTCATTCACCCTCTCTTCAGGAATTGCCCGAATACGGCAGAAAAATGCTAGCTGTTCTCTGGCAGTAAGTTGTGGATTTAAGGCATCGAATTGCGGACAGTAAGCTATTCGCCACAAGTGTCCGCGTTTACATTTAACGCTAAAACAATCTAAAAATAGCACACAGAAATAGTCATGAATACTTAAAGCAACGAACAGACCAACCTCTTTCCTTGTATATATGCATTACCATATACAATATTAAGTTGACCAGTAAGCATATTGAATACCGTCGTCTTGCCAGCTCCATTAACTCCAAGAAAGCCGAAGCACTCTCCTGAATCGACGACGAACGAAATATTATTTACAGCCAGAAAATCCGAATTGAATGACTAAAATGCAAATGATCAAGTTGAAAAAAAAATTTTTTTTAAAATTTTGTCACAGTTTTTGCTTCACTTAAATTGCTCTATAAACTGATTCAAAAGGAGAAAACAGGTAAACTGCCAAATGGAAAACACTATAACGGAAATTATATTTGAAATTGTGGCTAATTTATAAATTAAATTATTAAATTTCTTTACCTTTGCTAAATTGTAAACAATAATTTCGTGCGATTCTTGTTCTTCGTTTTCGATAATACTCGAAACTCGTTGTTGTTCATGCAAAACATCCTCATCAATTGTTTCGCAGTTTTTCGCTAATAATTCTTTGATTTTGTGAAATTCACGTTTCCTGAAAGCTCGACTTACGTTGCTCTTGGACAATTTCCATTATTTCGGCATAAATTAAATAATGACCGTATAAATCATACATTCTATATTTAAATCTGTAGTAAGAATATAATTATAACTGGGAAAATTGAGAATAAAAAAAACAATCTAAAAAAGTAAAAAAATGCTGATTCTAAAACAAAAACTGCTACCATTAGCTGCTACATATGAAGATTTGAATAATACATTTAACCTTAAAAATCTGCAAAGAAGCGATCGATCTTCTAGCAAAACGAGTAACAAAATGAAAACAAGAGATTGAAGCAGAAGCACATAACAATGACAACCCAAATGATGCCATTCAAACACATGTGGCAATGGTAGGTTTTTGATTTGATCTCGACGCCCAATGTTATCTGAAAAAGAAAAATCGGAAAAAATGCCCGGGCAATTCAAAAAATTGAATCAATTGCTTTGTTTTTGATCAATTGCTTTTTTAGTATCCCCTACTCTTTGAGTTAACTGGTGCCTTTATAGTGATGCTGTCTTAGCTGCCTGTCTTGGTTCATCATTTTCAGTTTTAAAAAGGAATGCGATTATCAGTGACATTTGTCGCGCGCATATCCCACTCTGCTTATATTACTTGCATTTTTAGTGCCAGCACCATCATTTATTTTTATGTTCTTTTTCATATTTCCTGCTCTTTTTCTCATAATTCATTTCCTTTCCTTTGTTTGAGCCTGTATATGCTTTATGTCTTGTTTCTTATGAATTAAATCAATAAATGGTTTCAACTCCAAATAACTTCACTAAGTTTCATAAAAAGTAGCAACCATAAAAAATGCACCTAAATATTCAGCTGCCTTTTCTTTCAAATAGAATAGGCTATTCAAGTGATACAAAGCCATCCCTAAATTATATTGCGGTGATATCATAAAAATGGCGCTACATAATCGATGGGCCAAAACCAGTGTTTCGTCCTGCAAAATACAATCGTTTTCATCGGAACATCCTTTTTGGAAGAATCGCTCCATTAAAAAAAACGACAAACTTATATATTACTAATAGATTAGTTTAGATAAATTGTTTCTCATCCAGCAAAAACAAGCACCTAGTGTAAAGTACTTAAATTTTTGAATTTCTGTATAGAAGGACCACCAATGAGATTGCGTAATGAAATCGTGAAGAACTTAAAAACCAGCATAAAATAAGTACAAATTAAATACGTTAAACAACCTATAATTACAATTAAAATATTTAATTATTATTCATTATCCTTCAAAAAAAATAAAAAAATAAATATTGTCGAACTGAATGAAATAAAATTAATATTGTACAGGAAAAAAGAAATTATCGCTAACCTGCAAAATCAAATTTTCCAAGAGCACAACCACAAACATAAAGACACAACCAAGAAAATATAATCCAATTCCTATTATAACAAATGCCAATGATGGGATTGAAAACAATGTTTGACATAAATAAACCAAAGGGATCGATGCAAATCTAAAAATCTAAATCCCATAAAACGAGATTCTTTGAAAAACTTTGAAAGGAAATACACGAATTTGATTATAAATTGAGAGAAAAATATTTGAAATTTCAAATTTAAAATAGAAAAATATTTGAAATTTCAAAACAGTAAAAAATGGTGAAAAACAAAGAAATATCAAAAGTAATTTGTTTTGCTAATTTACCCATATAAAAGTAGGACAAAAATAAATAAAAATGCGTTATTAGTAAATAAATCAATACTCATTATACAATAGATCGCCACAATAAGCAGTAATGACAAGCCATACGCCAACTGCAAAAAATACTTTAGAAAAAATAAGGGACCAAAAACAAAAACCATATAAAATGCATCAATAGCCTACCATGTCGTATGAAAAATTAGAAAACCAGTAGACCCACGGTCGAATACCCGAAATCATTTGCAAATGTTTATTAAGAGATATTCTTTCTTCAACGAGCACTATCGAAAAACTTGCGACAATCATACAAACAATAAGGAGCAACAAAACAATTCTAAATATATCCAGTTTTGATCTGAAAAAATATCGCCTTTTCATTTTAAAACACCGCCTTATCTATTAATGAAACATTAAGACAAAAGTATGAAAACGATGAAATACTTAATCATTTGCAAATATCTTTCTTTTAGAAGTGGATTAAATAGATGTTTTTGCAAATATTTTATTGTTAAATACTAGAATATCCAATAGTTTATGCAAAATTTAATTGAATTTAATAGCCAAGTGATTGAGAAAATTTTCGATTAACAATGCATATAAAATTAAAATTATACTTTTCAAGAATATTTGTGATTGATTTGTTCATAGGATGTGAGTAAGCCAGAATTCCAACATCTTCTGGATTTATTCCTTTACCAAGCAATGAGCGATAAACCGAATTATAAAATGCATTTGTATAAGCTGGAAGGGATGCCCACAATTTATTATTGAACCAAATCTAAAAATATTTGAAAAATAATTAAAATAAAATAATTGGAAAATAAATAATTCCGAAAATAAAATAATTAAATCTATTAATTTGCATATTATTGCTGAAATTATTGACAAATTCAAAAAAAAACCTTATTATTTTCCTTTCTTTCCAGGTTATGCAAAATGATTCTTATTAGATCAAATAATGATTCATTCGTAGAAACCATAGAATTTTTCGGCCAATTAATATGCCATGTTGCAGACGCACTGAGAAAAAATTTTTCTGAAACTTTTATAGTCATATCTTCTCCTTGTTCTGACAGCTCTCACCATTACTGATTAGGCTAGCTCCGCTAGCTACAAGGGTAAGACGTCTCTAAGTTGCTCGGTTGGGCTGCCATCGCTAATAATAATAGAAGCCATTGCTTCTTCTATTATCTAATCAAAGTCTACATATTAATAGTCCCTCTACATGTTTAAAATTTTTTCAAATTTTCAAATTTCAAATTTTCTAACTGTATCAGCCCAGGTCTTGACTGGACCTCCTCGTTTTTGACACCAACCATCACAGGGTTTAGCAAGCAACGAAATATGCCTCAACTCCTGTGGTGGACGACAGAGAATTGCTTTGACCAACGAAGGCGACGATCTGCGATAATATTATTAATACATTTAAGCGAAGATGGAAACAATCATATGTTATTTTATCTGTTCGACAGATCCGTAAAATATATCTTAGACATAAGTGGTTAAAGGTTGATTAAGGTCTTAACTCTCATTGGCCATGTTTCGCAGCACTATAGCAAGATCGAGCGGATTGCAGAAATATGGACGCGGATTTTCGTCTTTATGGTGATTCTTTATGGTTCGCGACGGTTCCATAAAGCTTTAATCAACCAGAAAAAGAAAGCATAATTTTAGCTGACGTTATATGGGTTACGATTTTATCCTTTGCCTGGCCATTTGGGATTAGAGTGGATCCAAGGTATTCAAATTCCACCAATGAATTGATAAAAATAGGTATTATTTTAGCATCTAGGTATTATTATATAAGACAAAAATACTTTCGTTTTATTTACATTGATTTTGAATCCAATTCTCGCTGACACATTGTTTAACATTATTTGCGTTTCCTCATAACTATCACCAAAAAGGACTACATCATCAGCGTATTCTAGGTCTATGATGCTACGTTCTAATTTTCATACCTCGATGCCCATTATCCAGTCTATCGCATTGTTAAATATTGAGGTGGAAAGGACACCAGTCTTTATTTCAAAGAATTCTGTCAGTTCTTCATATACACAGATTTGCGCCAAGGTATGCAGATAAGGTATGCTGATAAAATGCATTTATGAGCCAAATGATCTTCTCTGGGACCCTCTCATATTCCCTCATTTTCCAGAGCGCTGCTCTATCGAATCGAAGACAGGTGCAAAATCAATAAAGCAACTGACTTTGTAGCTGATATTTGAAGAGATGTGTCAGCATCCTTCTTAGCGTAAATATCTGGTCCCGTATTCTGCTATCTCGTATTGCCATGAGTCTATTTAGCGGAAAAGAAGCGAAAATTTTCCCGGAGATGTTTAGTAGGCTGATTCCTCGGCAATTGTCGCAGTATGTCCTGTCATCTTCCTTAGAAATTGGAAACAAAATTGCTTTGCTCCAGTCTTCTGGCAGTATTTCATTTGCCATACCAGAGAATACATTTGTTGAAGGTGAGTTATGAACGATGATGGACAACATTTAAAGAGTTGGCCCGAAGATCATCTTCTCAGGGAGTTTTATTAATCTTATGTATTATGGAGAGAGTAATTTCTCTTCTGTTGGTAGTTCACAGTTACAAACGTATAGCTCGACTCAGGACGATTCAGTTATATCCGGGACAACAGATGGCGTATCGTGGTTTCCCCATCTTCTGAGGTGAACTTTAATAGCTTTAATAGGCACCCCATTAATATCCCGTATCATTTCACTTATTCCCTCTCGGGTTATAGCTTCTTTGTGAAACAGTTTCCTTTTATCCGAGCCATCGTCTCCATTCTCAAGGCCATATCGTTCCAATAGCGATTTCTGTTCCTGCTGCTGCCGTTTTAATTGCTCGAAACACTCGATAATCAGGACCTCCTAACATTCAGACAGTTGGCAACTTTTCCAGACAGTTGGACAGTTGCTTCCGACACCCAAATAGCGCAAAGACCATTTTCCTGTGTATCCTAGTGTAGAAGTGGTTTTTGTAGGCATTGTTTTTAGTTGGGACCAGTATTCATTCGCCTTTCCAGAGATGTCATTGACTTTCGTTCACTTTATCAAAGTGTTTCAATAATACGATTTTAAATGTGTTTATTGTTCCCGAATCTTTTCATTTGGGATAGTTGAAAGATCTCGGGATACGTTGTTTCTTATGGTTTCTTATGACTTATCAGTTTTATACGAATTTTGGCTCGAACCATAATATGATCTAATCCATGGTGATTACCAGTTTCAACGCCTTGATAAGAAAGACTATCAAGTACAGAACTCATCCAGCTGTGACCGACCAATAAATAGTCAATCTGGAATATTTGTTGTCCCAAGAGTTCCATTGACTAAATATTTTCTCCGATGCCGAAGGCATATATTAATAACAAAGAGTTCATCCTGTTCGGCGAAACGAAGAAAGCGCTCTCCATTGGCGCACTGGATCCCGATGCCATATTTGCCAATTATCGAATTCATCGTAACGTCATAATTACCTATGCGCACATTCCAGTCTCTTCCGATTATGACCATGATCATGACCACTTCTTGGTAAAAATATTGTGAATAGTTGAACTTCCGCATAAAACTTTTTCTTATCGCAGTCATCTGCGCATAAAGTTGGAGCGTATACGCTAATGACTGAAATATTGCAGAATTTTCCTTTGAAACGCGCATAGGCCATAGAGTATTTGCTGGCTTCCATTCAATCACTACACCATTTCGCCCTGAATTATCCGAAACACGTGGACCAGGTTTAATAATTACTCGAGAGCCACTATGAGGAAGATGGGCCTCCGAAAAACAAGCCATATCCCCGCGGTGTTTAGAAAGGGTATGATGATCGCTTGACTTGCAACATCCATAAGCGTTGTAACGTTCCAAGCAGCTATAGCCAGCACCTCACCGCGCTTACAAAGTGCTAATGAATAGGTTCTCGCTACCTTACCTCGATGGGTTTTGAGCATTTATCTTAGTTCATGAGCAAATTCTATGCTTGTGCCTTGGAATTTTATTATTGTCATTAATTATAATTATTACATTATTATTATAACATTATTTTATTATTATTTTATTATCTTATTATTACGCCCGAATCGTATATTTATCGCATGTACCACCCGATCGGAAATATCATTCGCGTCGAAATATATGCGGACATCGCTTCGAAGAGACCTGACTCTTTTACCATATAGTTACTTAGGGATAGAGATACTGGTGGTTCTCCAGCAGCCACCCGGACCTTTGACATCATGACACGTTTACTCTTCAAAGACAGAAAATAGGGATAATTAAATTTAAAAAAAAAGAGAAATTTAAAGATAATAAAAAAAAATTATCCGGTTCGTTGAATGTAATAGCAATGGTATATTACGTAATAGTAGTAGATAATAAATAATAAATTATAAGATAATAATATAGTCAAGTGATAAAAGTAGCTTCTGTTAACTTTGTTGATTAATAAGCAGAGCACCTTTTCACACAACTGTTCATAGAGCACATAAGATTTACTATATATATATATATAGTATATATGAAAAATTCTATTATTCCATTATTTTCATTATTTTTGACCACCCTAACTACAGTAATTTCTGCAATTTTTTTTTTCAAATCGTAGTTTTTTTCATTGATCCCCGCTTTGAATTAAAATTGTCACCAAAAATAGTTGATAAATAGTTGATAAATAAATAGTTAAGTATAATTCCTAAGTATAATATAGTATGAGTGATACTGGGAACTCATCTGCATCACCAAAGGCCTCCCTGGCCTTGTCCAGTGTGACAAGCCAGCTGAGTCTAACCAATAGTGGTGAGGGCTTTTTAAAAAAAATTTCTATACTAATATGCTCCATTGCAGTTAAAGACTGAAAAAAAAATCCACTGTTCAATGATGAATTTATATAATATAGTGCAAAAAATGAACTTAATATTTCCAGTCCAACTCCGGAGATGATGATTTCTTCATCACTTTGGGCCCATTCATTAATTTGATTGAACTGCCAGCCACCAACGCTGAAAATTTTTCAGCATTAAAAAAGTTAACCAATTTTAAAAAGGAAATATTGGTTTTAAATGTAAACTGAATTCATATTTGAAAAGCAAATTCATTCTCGACTTAAAAAAATGAATGAATAAATGAAGACAGCAAATCAAAATCAATGCGAACCAATAAAAATAACTCACATAAGAGGAAATCGAAAGGAATAATCGGCAGTAATGAGACGAAACTGAGATATATTCCGATAACTTAAATCAAGTACTACATTAGCGCTTGCTAGAGTAACATTCATAATATCAGAAACAAAGTCTAGATCAATATTATTCGTGCAATTCCATATACCATCACCGCAACCGCAGCTAGAACGCATGTATAAATTTGTAGCATTTAAAGTTAAGACAAAATGCGACAAAAATAACAAAAAGGAGAAAAAAGCAATTAAGAAACTATAAGCATTTAAATATTATTTGTATTTTGTATTTATAAAACTGAAAAGGCTATTTCTTGAAACTTACCTTACAGAAAAGTTCGATGAAGGAATTTTAGAAGGTAACATCAACTTTGTTAAAAAAGAAGCATTTTTAAAACATGGATAATAAGTGCCACCAAGTGTTGGACTAAAAGTAACTTGATTTTTTTGAAATAATCGAAAAAAACTTTGGAAACTCATGCATATAACTGTGAATGCCTTTCAAAGAAACTTACTATACAACATCGTAATTAGCACATCTTAAACCGATTCCAGGAGAATTCATCATCGATCGGAGATAATTCTCACTGGCAGAAATATTTGAGTTAAAAGTGGAATGTTGATTCTCCAAGCTAAAATTAGTTTATCATAGGTATCTAATGAATTACCAACAGGAAACAAGTGGACCTAAAATAAATTTAATAAAACACTATCAATTATTAAAGAAAACAGGATAATGTTAATTGCTAAATCCAAAAAATTTCGGAAGTTACCAGAATAAGAAAACTTGAAAATCTTAATATTCACATATTAAAATTTAAACGTAGTTGATTTATTGCTTACTATACAATAACGTAATTACATTGTTATAAATAAAAGAAAATAAATTTCTATTCTTTCAAAACATAAAATGACTTGAAAATCTTGAAAATCATTCTATCTGATGTTAAATAATGACAATAGACACCTAAAATAAGAAATCGACCAGTTGCCATAAATACCAGTTATCAACTCTAACGGTTGTTGAACGAAATTGGCAACATTCATGGAGGGATTAGACATTATTTTATTATATGTTTCAGCGACTAACAAGATAAATATTGGTAAAAGAATCTGCAAAAAAAACGAATAAAAAAGAAAATTATAATTAAATCATTAAACCATTATAAATCATGAAAAACTGAATCTAAAAGAAATTAAATGCAAATCCGAAAAGGAATTATTTCCGAAAAAGAAATCAAATTCAGTAATCTTTGAGACTAATCTAATTCTGTAAGATTAAAATTAAAAGACATTAATTAATATAAAAAATTAGAATCTAAAATTACTTCTGCTAGAATACAGAGTATGTTCCGCTTTGAAATATGGAAGCGTTTTAGACAGAGTGCTTTCACATGCTGCTTTAGTAATACGAAACTCTTAATAAATGTTACAGATGGATGGGCATAATCTGAAATTAAAATAGAGATAGTTGAATATGAATATTAACCGCTCATCATTTTCAGATTTCAGATTCACCGATTCACCGCTCATTTCAGATTAAACAGGTTCCACTGGCTATTGGTATGATTAGAAATTTTTCAAAGTGGTTGCCAGCCCCACTTTTTATTCTTGTCAAGGCAAGCGCCACACGTGAATCTGACAATCTGAGCTATCTACTGTGCTATCCTGCTCTTTTACAAAGCAGGTGGTGAAAAAAAGTAATTAAACTCTTAATGAATGTTACAGATGGATGAACATAGTAATTAATTAAAGTAATTAATTTGTTTTCCAAGAAAGAAGTAAAAAATTGATAACAATACACCTCTGTTTGTGTGTTGATCATTACAACTCAGCTCGGTTCTATGATTCGCATTGTTCACACTATACAAAGACGACACATAATTCGTAAAAATTTTTCGTTGAATAAAGCGTAAGCAACCATTTCGTTCACGTATATCTTTATTTTTCTCTTTTGCAGCTATGTTTATGAATATCTAAAATCGGAAAATAAAATGAATCGGAAAAATAAATGAAAATTCTTAAAATCCTGAAATCCAGATTTCTTAAAATCCAGATTTCGAACGTAAATTGAGAAATTTATGAAATTTTTCAAAAACTGCATCTTATAAATACATCTCGATGTTTATTCATGGTCGGAATGATACGGTACTTTGGTACAAAAGAATTTACATAGTGTCTCGAACTGGACGATAGAAATGCAGTCCAAGTTTTCTCCAGATTAAATCTATATATTAATAAAAGCATTAATATTAACTTCCTTCTACCTAAGCCTTTCATCTTTATATCTTTATAGAAGTGTTATAAAAGAATAGAAATATACATTTCAGATCTAAGAATTCACATTCATAACCTTTATTCCGAAGTCAATGGTTAGTTGAATGCTAAATGGCCCACTATAATAAAATGTTCATTTTTCGTTTTAAATCTGTCATAATTATAATTCTTTTATAGTTTAACCATAGAAAGCCTTTGTTACGCCTATAATAGAATATTAATATGCATTAGCATGCTATAGCCTCAGGAACAAAGCATTCACAAATCATCGGAAAGTTATTTTAGAAATTCTTTACCCGTTGGATTTCTTATCGATTGCCTTATAAAAAAATAGAGACTAAAGGTGATAAAGCTTCAAACGGTGGCTAGACCGACTTAAGGTTGTATTACCAAATACCTATAAAATCTTACATGGTCTTGATGACAAAGATGTCGGAATTCTAACGTACAAATTCTAACAAATGGGTTAAAACTCACATCTAGCCAATATAAAAGAAAATGGAACAGTTTAGCTTAGGTAATAGGATAGTTATAATTTCAAATAAACTTCCTAGAGAAATGGAATTCCTGAGGAATCGGTGCTTGCTGAAAATCTGCAAAATTCGTCAAAAGATCTTTTAACTATTAATTGATATCCTATAAATTTTATTATTTTACTTATTTTCATTCATATCAAATTAATATTTAATTTAATAAAAAAAATAGAAAATATCAATAAAAAAATGTAAAATAAATGAACAGAATTCCATTAATAAAAAATTATAGCAAAAAATCAGACAAAATGGGAATACTTGTTGAAGCGATGGAGTTGAAATTCCATAATTAATAATGCCAAAATTCGAATATTGCTCATCTAACGATGTAAACAAACTAAAATAAAATTTTGAATGGCCAGCAGTTAAAAGATTTAATTTTAAATTCTTAATTTCTTAAAATGCATAAAGATAAAAGATATATATTGGACGGACAATAACCTTTTTAGCTGATCAAGACTAAGTTCAAAAGAAAGTCTGAAAATATATTCATTTCCGATTTGCTCGACCAGTTCACCTCTGCCGTCACTTTTATTTGATATGAAAGATTTGATCATGTCGCACTTTGCAGAATCATTCTAAAAATTGAATAAATAATCGAAATTGAACTAAAATCATTGCTCGAAGAGAACTATAGAGAAGCCATGAAATAAAAAATGAAGAAATTTACCGATTCAACAAGCATATTCAAATGAATGCCATCAGCAAATTTTCTTTTCAAAAAAAATGAAGAACCAGCTGCCAATAAATTACCATTACCAATTATAATGATTCGATCCGCAAGAATATCCGCTTCATTCATGTGATGTGTGGATAATATAATCGTTCGACCTCCAAATATGAATTCAACAATAGTTTAAAATAGTAATAACTTAAAATTTATAGAAAATACATGATATATTAAGGTAAAGGATTGTACCTTCTTTATATTTAAGAAGAAGATTCCAAATGGAACGTCGAGCCTGGGCATCAATACCAGCAGTAGGTTCATCAAAAATGACTATTTTCGGATTTCCCAATAAAGCAATTCCAATACAAAGCTTGCGTTTCATTCCACCTAAAATAATCTATGAACCAATATAACCTTTAACAATGTAAAAAAAAATATTCACTATTTAACAATATAAAAAAATAGTTCACTGATGAAAACAACGAGAGAATAATTAATGAGTTGATCAATAAAATTAAATAGATTAATAAATTAATCTTAAATCTCATGACCTAAAAGTTAATTCTAAAGGCTACGGAATAATAATGAGGATAAAATGGAATAAAATGAGGATGACAGGGAATAGAACTTTCTTTTTACTTTATTTCGGATAAGTACTAAAACCAAGTAACAAATTGGTAACTCTATTTCATTTCACTGCCTCTATTTCCAAGTTATTTTCAGATTGAAATAATAAAAAATTTTTTCAAATTTTTCGCCCTAAAAACGTGAAATGCGAAGGTTACCTGAAAGAGTTTCTACCATTTCATTCTGTTTTTCGATGAGTCCAATATCAGCTATGATCTGATCAATTTGACTGATTAATTTTTCATCTGCCACACCTCTTAAGCTCCCATAGAATTTCAGTTGCTCGACAGTATTTAATCTTAAAAATTAAAGATTCATATTCACTAAGAGCTAAAAATATTTCTGTTTTATTACAAAAGTGGTCTTCTTCTTCTCAGTTCTGACCATTACTGGTTAGGCTGGCTATAATGGTATCTCCAAGCTGCTCGGTCCGACGCCATCGCTAATAGAAGTCATTCCTTTTTCCATCGTCTAAGTCCATATATCGCTGGCCTTATAGCCAGGATCAAAAAGAAAATAAACAGAAAAAAGAAAATAAACTAACTTATTAAAAAGAATGTTATGTTGCGGACAGAATCCTAAAAAATTTCTCACATTGTCGATGTTCTTACGAATGTCGAAACCATGCACAATAATAGTTCCTGAAGTTGGTTTGTGTAACCCTGTCAAGATTGATCTAAAATATTAAAAACATCAGTAAAAACAAATTGCTATGAATATCACTGAAACCAAGAAGTTTACAACCATTCTTCTTCAAATTTTTATATTCGTATTAAATGGCATGGCCTTTTAAAAATAAAATATCGTAGAAATTGAAGCTATAGTATCCGTATAATTGAAACTATAATATTATATCCGTATTAAATAATATACAATGCTGTCGTTTTGCCTGCTCCATTGTGTCCAAGGAAAGCAGTTATTTGTGATTCATAAAACCGGACATTTAAACAGTTAAGCTGAAAATTTTGAATTTTAGAAAACCAATAAAAATTAAGAGATAATATTGAAAAAAATCAAATTTGGAACTAACTGCTTTGAAACCATTTCCATAATCCTTCTCTAAATTTTTGATATTAACAGAGAGCTTTAGACCATTGGGTTCTGATTCAAAATTACCATTGCCACCTGAATTACAAATAGTCTGTTAATTACAAAAAAAAAAATTCAACAGGTTAACGCCTCAAATACTTCTTTTTCTTTTCATCTCTTCAAATATACCCTGGGACTTATATAATATGTAATATATAATATATAATACAAGCCTAAATTAAGATAACTAATTTTACAATTTAATTTTTAAATTTTTTAATTTTTCTTTAAATTTCTATGCTTTTGAGCATAAAATATAAATGCAAGTAAAATCAACAATATCTTAAATTGAGATATCTTAAAAATTGTATTTTATTGTATTTTATTTTTAGGCTATTATTGTTTCTGGTTTACGCTTCAGTTCTATATAGATCATAGCCTAATTATAGCTAAAAAAAGTTATTTCTAAATTTGAAACAAATTTCACCAAAACTGTCGCCATCGTTGTGAGATTGTTCTATAGGATTATCGAAGGAATTATTAAACCAATAACTTCGCATTAGAAAAAAGGTGTAAGGTTGTGGAATGCCATATTTTCCTTTAAAGTCATTACTTTACTGAAGAAATTTTTCTATGTCTTTTTTCCAGCTGATTATCATTGTCCAAAAATTCATTTCATTTCGTTTCCAGTTAAACAAAAAAAAATCGCAAATGAAAAAAAAATCCAAACCAACTTTGAATGCTCCTTGCTATTAAAAAGTAAGAATATTTTATAAAAATTACCTGGAAAAACAGCACTGATATACCAAGCTATTACAATATAAAGCACGAAATCAAATATAAATGCAAGTAAAATCATTAGTAAACTAATGTCGAAATCTGAAAATTTATATCTGAATTTTGTTTATTCTATCGTGCATTGGACCAAAACTTCAGTTAAAAATGCATACCTGGAGCTTCAATATAATAAATATTGACCCATGTAGCCATAAATTCTTTTTCAGCGTAATGGACAATTGATAAACCGTAACCAATGGCAGTTTGGGGAAATAATAACTGAAACAGCAATATAACAAAAGATTCAACATTGTAAATTATATAAAATATAAAATTTGGTGCAATATGCAACGCTAATTTTTTAGTACTAGTGAAATAATTTTATTTTTTAAACTGGTAAAAAGTGATTTAAAACAAAAAGCACACTGCAAAAAACACACAAAAAAGTAAAGCTACCGTAAGCAAAGCAAAAATATGAGATTTTGACCGTCTGCCAATTTGATAATGAAAAAATAACAGAAAAAAAATAATAGCAGATGATGCCGTGGCTGTACTGGCTCGAGAAAACAGCGTAGAAAATAAAATACATTGCGCAGTACAAGCCAATGAGAATAAAATGAACAAAACCAGAAGTAAAGAAAATTCCACTTCAGGCATAATTCGCCCAAACTGAAAGGATAACTAATCAGATAAATTTAAAAGCCTATAACCTGTCACAGAAATCCAGAAAATCTATTCTTTTCTTTGAATTCCATATTTTTTTTCATCTACCGTCGAATTATTCAAACGCTATCTACGGAATGAATTACAATTACGATTCCAAAAATAGTTATTAAAATCGGTTAAAACCTTCATTAATAATTTTCTAAATAAAAAAATCGAAAACTTTGTCAAAAGAATTCAAAATTGAAAATTTGAAAATTGAAAAATTGAAACCCTCAAAAAATGAAAAGAAATTCAAATGCTCTTTCCATTTATTTGAAAATTTATAGAATTGCTAACTCACTTTTAACAATGATGATATTAATATCACGGAAATAAAATTGAAAGCAAGGCTTTGAATTCCCCAAGCTATCCAATGAATGGCATCATTAAGACCCATGATACGCATCATTTCCTTTAAACGTTCTTCTTTCTCACTTACAATGCTTTTAACAAGCATTGCACATGGCAGCATCCATGATAAAATCACGAACAGTACCAGAATATTAATATCAATTTCAAATCTAAATAACACATCTTAAAAAGAAACACGATTTACCAAAGTCAAATGTTATCAAAATTGTCAAGATATTCAAGATAAGAGATGTTCAAATCTGAATTTACCATAACTTACGTGTCTTGAACTTTACAAACGTAAGGTTCTTGCTGGGCATATAAACCTGTCACAACTTTTTCACCTGTTGCTACTTTAATTAATGCTCTATCGAGTATATCTTGCAAATAACTAAAACCAAAAGTCAGATATTTTAAATCAACGAAAACATTATCTCGAGACATGGGTCGGCGTGGGCTATCCATTATATTAGATGTAGCTGAAACAATAAATCAAATAAACATAAATATAATAATATGTAATAAAAATGCTTGGCTCATATTAATTCTTAAATATATACAATCAACAAAATCTGGATGATGGCGAATTTTGTATCGTATCATAGGTGGAAATTGTGCAGAATTATTATTAATATCAAGAAAATAGATTCCAGTGAAGTAATGGTTAAAGTCCATCAAACAAGTTGCTCGATTAACCATTTCATTTTCATTTGTCACAACCACAAATTTGTTTAAGCGAAAACACTAAAAAATATTTATTCGCATTCTTTTTGCCAAAATACTCCCAGCATTATGCTTGAATGAAGAAGTAATATTCCATAATTATTCGATAAAATTATTTATGAAGTAAATAAAATTTATTTCAGTAATAAAAACGAACCTGGAAAAAATCCTCTAGAACCCGAGTATAAGAATGAAAGATCATGAAAAATGAGAATGGATCTTCCGAAGAGTTAAATAAATGTGTTAAAAATGACGACACTGTATTCTTAGTCGAATTGTTGATTAAATTAAGATCATGCATATTTTCAAAAAATTCTTCGGCAATCTAAAATAAATGAAACAATTATTATAAGATGCACGGTCAATAAATTTATTTTTATAATTCCAATAAAATTTATGGAAAAGTGGTTCTTAAGAAAAAAGAGAAAAAGCCAATAATATACTCGGTATCACAGCTATAACAACTCAATAATACAATAAACAACTCAATAATATAATATATAACAACTCAATAATATAATATAAAAAATAAAGGGCAAGAAAGTGATCAATTACTTTAGCCACAAGATGAAGATCACTTCTGAAAACGGCATTTTGCATCGATGAAGCCATCATATTAAAGCCTCGTATTAAATCGCGTAAAATGGAAAGAAATTGAAACGGTATAGATAACTAGAAGAAAAATTGCTCTCAATCTCAAATCTCAAAACAAATTATAAAAATGTGACAACTATTTGATCGAGTTGTCACTGAAGAAAATATTGAAAAAACCTCATCAATGAGTTGCTGAACAACTGAAGATTCTGGACCAACGAGAATATATCCTTTGATAACATGTTTAAATTTATGGAACATTGGATTTTCCAAAAATGAGCAATTATATCCTGAAGTTAAGGTAGATATCCCTTTTTAAATAGACTGATTCTCATGATTAATCTAATAAGGCCACCAAACCAACAAGATTTAAAACAGTTCGTTCACTGAGTCAAATAATATCATGGAAATTACAAAAATAATATAACAATATAAACAAACTTAAACTGCATAAAAAACCAATGAATATGCTCGCTTCATTCACCTTAATCAAATTATAAGAAAACTGCATGTAAATTTGCATAAATAAAAATGAAACCTGAATTCACTGGGATATTTCCACAGAACTCATTAGCTTCGTCTCTGCCAGGTGTTGCATTCTGAAGGAAATCATATATTGCTCTCGCATAATTAGCTAAATTTGAATACCCCGAAGAAATTCGCCCATATCTCACTGTATCCGAAGATCTGGATGATGCTGAAATCACAAAAAATTATCGCAATAAAAAGTTTCAAAATTCTAAACTTTCAGTGGAGCCCAAATAAAAAAATAAAAAACAAAAAATGAATATAAATAACATAAATAACATAAAATAACATAAAAATAACATAAAAATTAGAAACTTTAAAACAAAAATTTATTCATAAATAGCAACCTTAATACAATAAAAATATAAAAATAAGCACCAATTTAGAAAATTCTCTGAAATACGCTAAATTTCTCGAAAATAAACGTTTATATTACTTATTAATTTCTAAAATAAAAATAAATTAAAAATAAACTAATCGTCACGAATCCATAATGTTCCCATTATTCCAGAGAATCAAAGAAATTATAAAATATATTTTCTTTCGCGTAACATTCCTTGATTTGTAAAAAAATGAATTTACTAACGATTATCGCCACAAAAAATTGCATCTATCAACGATTTTTTATCAACAAAATCCAATGGAGCAATAAGCTTTCGTATATTTATTATTAAATCATCATTTCCAAATTTTCGAAGAATTTTTAAAATTTCTTTTAAGTCATTCAATAAAAAAGTTGAAGACTGCAATTAACTTAAAAAATAATGACCGACTAAGTTAAAGACCATAAAGACATGGAAATATTTTTCTTGAAAGTCATTATTCCGATAAATTCAAATAAAATATTTTAAAATAATTGAGACTGACTAAATTATAAAAGGAATAAAAACTTATAACAAACTTATAATCTGACCAAAATTCTCTTCAAGTGCTATTGACGAAAATAAAACAAATGGATTGTACAAAATTTTCCTACTTTTTTACAGTTTTCTTCGAAATTCGACAGTGGAAACGATAATCCAATTTCCTTGCAGAAAAACGAAATTTCCTCATTAGATAAATTCATTAATGATGTTGACCAATCATTAATAACCAAAGAATAAATCTGAAATTAATTTTTAAAAAATTCTCACAACCAGACAGAATCGCCAATTAGTTCGTTGATACGGCTCAGGGAAGATTATAGATTTTATATCCTTAATCTCTTACCACAAGTGATTGTTAATATTCAATAATTAGCATTTGAAGTGAAAAAATTCTAATTAGCTTATGCAAATTTTAAAAAAAATTAACTTCTATGGCATTTTTAAAGAGAAATTCCTTAGAAATAAGGAACCGTGTTTGATTTTTGACTAGATTTTTATTCACAAAAAATTCGAAAAATGATAAAAACGTCTCATTTGATGAATCGAATAAACCTACCATAGGTATCACTGGTTTTTTCCAATGAGCGATGGTTTCAACAAATCGAACGAGTAAATTGAACCGTTCCGACCAGACTGATGGATTCGACCCTACTGTATACAAAAATTTTATGACAATATGACTTGCTTTCGTAAACCTTAAAGAAAACCAAAAATACGAGATTATTGTTTATATAACTAATTATTCAAATCAGTCTAAATAGTAATTATTTGAATAAAACGAGTTGCACGTTGTTTCCACTGAGATTAAGTAGCAATGAGTTCGACTCCTGACCCTTGAAGAAAATAACAACCATAAAAAATCTTGGTAATGCTTAGCAGTCGCCAATATTCATTCTATATTATCATTCTCTAAGCGATTCATTGCCGAAGAGCTCTAATTTGTATCTCAGGCATCAGATAACGGAAAAGCATCAAATTTTATCAGTTTCCGATTTAATAAAATTAAAATTTACAAAGACTGTTTGGCGGAATTAATGTTGATAGTTGACGCATCGTTACCAGTTGTTGGAGAATTTTGGCAAAGATTCATAAATGAACACAAAAAATTTTGAGAAAACGGTAGAATGCCTGCTGATGGATAGGCTTTTGCATCATAATGACATGAAATGAAATGCATCATAAAAAATTCTATTGAGATTTTCCAAAATTTAAAAAAAGAAATCCTTTAAGTGATCTCTTTTGGCCTTTTCAGATTTCATAGAGTTAAAAGAATACTTAAACAGAAATAAAAAACAGCTAACAAAGTGGATAATGCAAATTGAAATTACGTGTTCGCACGATGACTAAAATCGCAAAAAGTAAAACTGGTATAGTTATTTCCAAAAAGACCCATTTCTGCAAATAAACTAAGATAAAAAGGCCAAATTTAAAAAAGTTAGATATTGTTAAATATTTAGATATTGGTTAGATATTTTTGCAAAAAATATTAAATTATTAAATATTAAATTAAATATAAATATTAAATATTAAATTTAGCAGAAAACGCCGAATATGAGGAAAAATATCAAATTTGGGCAAAATGGTCAAATCGGCCATAAATGTTGATAAAAGATAACTTCAATCAGATTGATTACATTCTAATCAATCGTTTTAACAATCGCTGGAAGAATTTTAGCGACCAGATAGTGGTTCCTAACGTTGAAACAGGCAATCTTCATGGACCTGAGCACTTTATGGTTCTAAGATTATGGAGCTAAGATCCTGATCAAATTAACAATACAATCCAGGAATAGTGAAAAATCCCAAAACTTGTGATCACTTATGATCCTATGCTTTCAGAAGAAAGTTCTGCAATATTTCGATCATCAATGTATATCAATGTATATCCAACTTTATGCCTAGATGACCACCATAAGAATAGCTTCTATGCAGTCTCTACCAAAAGAAGCGATGAACTCGGTAATAGGCAAAATATGGCATCGAAGTCAGGTGCGTCAATGAAGAACGCTGAATAGCTGAAAATTTTTCTTACTAATATATACTTCTGGCATCAGAGAAGACTTCTAGTCATGTGGATTCTCCGTGCCAACACTCTAATCAGACTGATTATATTTGTCAATTGGCGTTGGAGGAGTTTAGATAGATGGTCATATCGAAGTATTGAAACCTTCTTATAACGTTGTAACCTTCTTGGATCGGAGTTATGATTCTAGTCAAGATTCACATAAAATTGACAACTCGCAAGAAACAATATCTCCCAAGATCTTTTAATTATCTGCTGAACTAGTGAAATGAATATCAAATGGCATCTCAGGAACTGCGGGTGAATACTGGTTCCAATTAAAGGCATATCTCAATGTTCCCTTCCCATATCAACATGTACTAGTAGGAAATGCACTCGGAAGCAACTCTCCAACTCTCCGAAAAAGCAGTAAAAACACAAACGTGAGGAGATCCCGACCATCGAATGCTTCGAAGAATTACAACTGCAGCAGCATAACGTGAGAAAATTGTTATTGAGTGATATGGCCTTGAGAATGGAGATGGAAGTTCGATTAGGCCATAATAGGAAACTATTCTTTACAAAACAACAAAACAACTATAACTCAGAGAACGTTAGTGAAATTACACGGGATAATAATGATATACATGTTAATGCCATTAAGAATGTCTTATAAGGTGGAAAGAATTCTTTGAGGCCAAACTTAATCACACTGCGCCATCTGTTTCCCGGATATAGCTGAACCAATCGTCGTATTTACAACCGAGAAATGCCAGCAGAACAGGAAATAGTTCCTGACATTCAAAAGCTTAAGTATAAGGCCAATAAAGCTCAAGATTATCTTTGGGCCAAACTCTTCAAATATTGCCCTTCGTCCTTCATAATATAGCTTCAACAAATATGCTTTCTGGTACGAAAGAAAAAAATAGCAAAGATAACTGGACCAAAGCAATTCTCTCAATTCTCAAGAAAGATTACGCATTACTTGTGACGCACTTTTGACAACTGTGACACCTATTGAGGAATTACCTGTTAGAGATTTCTAGGAAAATTTTTGCTTCCCTGCTACTGACTTATGGCAGTGCGAGATAAGAGGATACACTCTAACTAAACTGGATTCAGATGAGGTCATGTGTTGACCAGATATTCACATTAAGAAGGATGTTGGAATACGGCTTCAAATATCTGCAACCCACTACCCACATGTCTGCAGCTCTACGATTCAACTGATAAAATTATTCGACTCATAAAGATATTTTGTTAGCGTACGTCGGCATAGATAAATGTATGTATATGGGGAAATTCTTACTCCTTTATCCCCTTCTTATACTCCATATATACTCCTTCGAAATAAAAACTGTTCGTCAATGCATTCTTTCTCCTACAACTATGCGATAGACTATCAGAAACGAAACGAAACGAAAATATATAAAATATATATCTTATCGTCATATATATACAAGAAGCCGATAAAATAAATATCTATTTTTATCATTCCATCATCGTCTGAGGAAGTGCCAGTGCCAGATTTCAAATATTTTGGATCCACTCTAATCCCAAAGGGCTAAGAGAAACACGAAAGTACAAGCCAGATAATGGTAGTCAGAAATATGTTCTTCCGATTGGGGAGGCCTTGCGTAAGTTGTTGCAAAATCATCATTAAGACGAAAGTCCGCATCCACAAATGCAATTCCCTTGATCTTGCTATACGGCAGTGAAGCTATCTGCTTTTGACCACCCATGTCTAAGATATATTATGGGTTCGCCGACTGCATAAAATCTCACATGACTGCGTGCATCTTCGCATTAAATACCACCTACATCAATGCTACCATCACAGAACATACTTCACTGGTTAGAGAACGTTCTTCGTCGCCCAACACAGGAGTTAATTTTATTACTAGCTAAACCTTGTGTCAAAAGCCAGGAGGACCAACCAAAACCTGGACTGATACAGCCAGGAAAGATTTGCATTTTGAACTTATAAGAGGGACCGGTGATACATGGACTCAGACGATGAAAAAAGGAATGGCTTATATTACTCTCAGCGATGGATTGCGCCGCTTGGCCTTATCCAGTAACTATGAGAGCTATTAGAATAAGAATGATACCAAATTTGAGCAAAATGGCCAAATCGACCATAAATGTCGAATTAATAAAAAAATCTTTCAATTTCAATTAAAATCTTTGAATCTTTCAATTTCAGAGAAAAAAGCAAATTTAATTTAAAATTAAAAAATTCTGAAAAGTCTGAATATTTTATCAGAAATTTGTGAAAATTTTAACCTTTTGTCGTTTTTTTATTATAAAATCTTTCCATATCAATAATTTCAACTGTTTCCATAATGTTACCATTGACAAATAGTCAAGAAAAGATCCAATTGATCACGACAGGTCGAAACAGGAAGGCAATCGATGATATATGAATTAATATGTTAATCTTAATGCCTCGGGTTAAATATATATAAACTTCAAAATTACAAATATGTAACGGTTTAGTGTGGCTCTTAAGGGAGGGCGATCGACAGGAAATAAAAAATAACAATCTTCTGGTTGGCATCGTAGCTAAAAGCCCTCGTTTTTCCGGGTCCTTGGATAAGATTTTGCTTACCTGCCCTATTTCAATATGAGAATGCCACATACTAGTCATTCTGGCTCGAATTAAGAAGGATGCTGAGAAACCAGGGTCATCTGATGACAAATGGGCTACTGGAACAGCGCCAGCTGTTGTAGGAGCAGAGCAGTCTGATATCAAACGAGCTACTGGAATCAACCTTACACGGAGCAGACAAGATAATCTGGAATACTAATGAGATAGTAGACCTAATCAAAGGGGTTATAAGAAAGGCAATGCGGATGGAAAAAAGACGTATGTTTATATAAAATGAGAATAGCTGGTGGTTCAATACAAGATAAGATAAGACTCCACGAGGCTCCAACTGTTATAGATAAAGCAGATTCAAATTCCTGCAGAATAATCAGTGCAAACAACTTAGATAGATTGACTATAGGAAATTAGAATAGATTGACAATAGGAAAACCTACTCAATTAGATTGACAATAGGAAAACCTACTCAACTCCACATGGATCTGTGAATGTAAGGCTTTGTACAAAGTCAAAACGACCCTAAACACGTCATTGAGAGCTCATTGGGTCTGTGAAAAACGACAATTAAAATCAATTCGAAACAGCTTGCATAAGTAGTTATCAAGTGCGGCATATAGCAAGGCAACTTTATTTCCTATTCTTCTGCTAAGATCTAAATCCCTTCAATCAAATAATCGCCGGAAGTGGATAGATCAAGAGCGGAAATACAATCAGCCATCTCTACATGGATTACATTGAGTTATAAACAAAAAAAGATACCGACTTGCTCATTCATCCAACGGATCTACAGCGAGGACATTGGGATGTTATTCGGATGAGAAAAATGTGGCCGAAAAATGGGATTGTAAAGAGAGGAAAAATAGTAATGATAAATGGAGTGGACCTGCAATGACATATAACGGACATACAAGCTAGCTACAAGTGCCTTGATATCACACAGTCAAGTGGTATGATAAGGAGGCAAGGAAGTTCTAAATATCATCAAATGACAGGGAAAATCATGAAGAGCCAGCTCAATGGGAAGGATAAAATCAATGCCATAAATGTATATATAGTCTGTCAGTCACCAAGTATGCAGCTGGCATTATAAGATGGACAAGGGAAAACATGGAGACTACTGATGCAAAGACTAAGGAACTCCTCATAATGCACGGAAATTTCCACATCAAGTCTAATATCTAAAGGCTATACACCAGCCAGAAAGGTGAGTGGGACTTGGTGGGTATGAAAGCAATTATCTTAAACGAAACTTGAAGCATTCAGAAATATATCAGCAAGATGGCACCAAAAGGTGAAAAGGTGAGACAATGTCTGAAAAATCTAACGAGAAAACGAGAAACGAGAAATCAAATAGATGAAATATCATAGCAAAGCAAGGATTACACTATCGATAGGTAGCTAGCTGATACTGCAAAATCTTCCGAGCATTTGGCGAAGTCCGAAAGGATTAAAAGGCAACAATGAAGCATTGATTGTAACAGCACAAGAGGAGTAAGCACTACACCAGACCCATCGAAACAATGATCTACCACAGTAGATAGGACCTTAGATGCAAACTGGGCAACAAACCGCCCTAGAAACAATAAATAAACCATAAACAATAAACAATGAACAAAATTAGAAATTAACTGGTGATAGATATAGTGATATACCAAGCGACAGGAACGTCAGGAAGAAGGAACATGAGAAGTCACAGTAGCTAAAAGAAGAACTAGAGAAGATGTGGATAGTAAAGGCCAAAATAATTCCAGTGATAACTCTAGCACTTGCAAGTGTGACCCTTAAACTAGAAAAGTGTCTTCGGCAGATTTCAGGAAAAACATCAGAGAATTCTATCTAGAAGAGCGCATTATTAGGAACAGCAAAGATATTACACCCTCCCTTAATCCCTCAACCTTCCAGGTCTATGATAAAGTCTCGCGAGGTTGAGGATGATGATGACCACTTACAGGGGAGTGGAAAAGTTCAACAAACAACAACATATCTTCAGAAAAAAGTGATAACGACGCTTAAGACTGGAAAACGGAAATATTTGTACTTTTTCGAGCAGTTGACATCTCCGACTAGTGATTATCAAAACCGATCATTCTCTCGCCTACCAAAACTAAATCCAATTTACAGCCAAGTAGCTGCCCGAACACGAAATATCGCAAATATTTTCTGTCCACTAGGTGAGCTCATCCATTTGCTATCAATTTTTTCGATTTTCCCATTGCTAAGCAACATAGTCGGTTCTTCGGCCGTAGATCACCTGACTGTGGCCACGTTTCCAACGTTATCAATTTGCGCCGTTCCACATTTTAGGGTATCGCTTTGCGATTTTTAGTGGTTGATGAAACATGGTTGTTTATTGTGGTAGTTGGTGGTACTTTCCTGCTTTTTGCTTTTAGGTAGTATCATCATTGTTCGAGACGTCGTTTATTTAGACCCCATAATGATTCAATCGTCTTCGTAGACCATCTAGCTTATGGATTTTATGAGTTTTTTATGGGCATATTGGTAACAGTAATTATTTCTATATCCGTACTTATTAATTATACAAAACCTTCATTTAAAGGAAATTTAAAGGGATTTAGAAAAAAAGTGGAAGATTGAAGTCTGATAAAAGCAGTCATCGATTCCATTTTTCCTTTTTCTAATTGAATTTTTTTATTTTTTAAAGTCGAAACAATTCAAAAAATTGCTTCAGATTTGACCAAATACTGTTTAGTTTTCTTTATTTTTATTACCCATTTGTCATTTATTATTTTGTTCCGATTTTATATAATTTTATACAATTCTTTAATTCGCCTTGTTTGCTTACTTATGATTTGCTAAATATAGTTAAATTTCAGTTTTAAATTCAATATATATTCCTTTGCATATAATTTGCTGTGCAGTTAATCGTCGCTTACATCTCTACACTACGAAAAGTTCCACACTTCTCATCGTTCAAATTGAGTCACAACCTATAAATATAGCATCATAAAGAATGAAACTCGTTTGCGTAGGGCTAAAAAAGAAGCACCTTGTCTGAAAAAAAGCAATAAGAAATATGAAGAAAACCAAAGCACATTCGAGCCATTCCAGTCCTAAGAAGTTGAATTTTAGTATAGCGACGTATTTTTCTCTAATTTCTCATTAACTTTTCATTCAACTTAGGTTTTAAAAGGAGAACTGAGACTTTTGATAATGGCCGACCAAGATGAAGCAGCTTTAGCTGAGCTTAAAAAGAAGCGTACGTTTCGTAAATTTACTTACAGAGGTGTTGATCTTGACCAGTTGCTTGATTTAAACAGGTTTCAGTTCTTACTTTCATGATATCAGAAATTTAATTTGAAGACTTTCATTAAAAAGGAATTGAATTAAATGGTTATCTTTAGAAAAAGGAATTTTAATTCTTTAGAAACCAACTGGCTCAACTGTTACACGCCCGAGGTCGAAGAAAATTGACTCGAGGTCTTAAACGTAAGCATCTAGCGTTTCTTGCTCGTTTGCGCAAGGCTAAAAAAGAAGCACCTTATCTGGAAAAACCAGCAACAGTAAAAACTCATCTTCGCGATATGATTGTTCTTCCTGAAATGGTTGGTTCAATGGTTGGAGTTTATAATGGCAAAATTTTTAATCAGGCTAGTACCCTCTCTTTTCACGTTTTGGTAAAATTTATTTGAAAAAGATGGTGTGCAGTTGAAAATTTTTGGACTGATCACCAAAACATTTTCGCATTTCCTATCATGATGCGTTGAATTTATTCGTTGAATTTGTCATATTTAACTGAATAATTTTCAAAATTGAATGTAATTTTATCCCCTTTGCCGAATTCATTTAACAAGGATATGTGCAATTTTAGATCGAAATTAAGCCTGAAATGATTGGGTATTACTTGGGTGAATTCGCTATAACGTATAAGCCGGTTAAACACGGTCGTCCAGGTATCGGTGCAACACATTCATCACGGTTCATTCCACTTAAGTGAAATTCTTTGTTGTTTAGTTGCTTTTATTTTTGAGAAACGGTTTCTTTTGACGTTAACAATAAATAATAAAAGCCGTTTTTTTTTCACTTCTTAAAAGCTATGACATAATATTCTTAATTTGAATACTTTAATAGTCATAATCATAAATTTTTAGATAAACTAGTTAGAGATAGAAGTTAGAGAATAAAAGTTAGAGATAAAGAATTAATTTAAAAGATAGAAATATTTACCTCGAGTCACAGAAGAAATACATTAAGAATTATCATTAAAACGTATTTTTAAAATTTAGTTATTACTAAATAATTTCCTCTATATTTAAATCGTATTAATCCTATCATTTCACATTTCGGTGATAAACGCAAAAGGATCTCGGGAAGTTCTATTTTCTATTCACCGTTCTTTTATATCTTTTAATCATAAAACAATTAGAGACCATTTAACCATTTAATTAAATAGAACTTTAGATTTAATTTAAAGAATTATAAAATTTATAAATTATAACAAATAGATTTAAAAACGTTTTTTCTACATAACAATCGTTAGTATGCAATAAATAGGAAAATATCTATAGTATAGGGATATAATTATCAATTTTACTGCGATGTCGCTGAGAAATACATTCAGCTATCCATATAATATTACGCATTTCTTGCTCCTTTAATTTTATGAAAGCATAGAAGATACCAAAATGGAACTGTTGGAGAAAAGCAAGAACGTTGAGCTTAACCTGGAATAATAAATGTTTTTGTGATCCGCTATACGTATATATAAATCTCAATATTAAAACAACCAAAGAATGAATAAATAAAAGCAGAAAGCTAATAGTAACCTCATATTCAAAAAATTTATCCTCCAATGCTTTATCCCCTGGCTCCATGCCTGAACCTTCAAATAATGCTCGATATTCCGAATAATATTCACAAACCTGTTTCACTTGCTCATAATCGTCAGCTCTAGATAATCCAGCCAATCCTTAAAATCGTATAAAATATAAGATATTGAGATGTTTGAGAGGTTAAATAAACAAGAATATAAAAAAAAACAATAAATAAGAAACGAGGAAAAGACAAAAAAGTAAGAAATATATTCTGATACCTTCCGGATAAAGTTTTCCACACCGCGGATACAATTTGGCTCGGTCGTCCTTCGAAAGTTCCGTATCGAAACTGTTGATCGTAATAATGATGGATCGGCGATCTGCTTCAAACTGAAATTTTCTTCTGTGGAAAATTGTTGATTAAAAACTTTCTTCAATAATTTATAATATTAAAATCGCTTACAGCAAGGATTTCACCCATAACTTCGGCTGTTGTGCCGCCTAAATGCTTGCAAAATTTATAAAAATCTTCAAGGTAAGCTCGATATAACGTGTTGCGAATAATTTCAACGTTCATTTCATCCAAATCTTGCTCATTGATACAATCCACGAAATATGGCGCTACAATAATACTTTTCGACAGAAGAAAAAAGGAAGATAATAAATAAAAGTGATCAAAATTTCCCTCAACAAAACTTTTGGTAACTAAAATTTAATAAATAGTGAAAACCATTTGCTGTTAAGAATCCAAACTTTTCACAGGAAATAACGTCCAAAGTATTCCTATTTCTTATGAAATGATGCAACGATAATGGATAAACCTAGGGGTGTATCAACAAGCACAGCATTATATAATTCAGCAGGAGTCGAAGCAATATGTATAGCTTCCATTTGTTCGAAAGAGCCCAGTGGATGACATTTAGATATTAATTCATTGATGGGACGTTGATGTAATGTTCCAGTTATTAACAAGATGATATTATCAATCATATATGAATATCTGCAAACTCGTGTTTTTATTTTTTAAGCAAAACTAAAAACTATTAATTTAACCTTCCTCTATTTAACTTCAACTTTTGCCTCAAAAAAATAAAAAATGAAAAATTTTCCCACTTTTTTCCCATAAAAAAACTTACGTGATATAATCGAGGAATGTTGACAATGGCTCAACCGAATTATTTCTGAAATGATGAAAATCATTCACCAATCTTTCTCTTAAACGTTCATCGATTACCTACAACTTTTTTAAATAATAAATCAAAGACAAATAAATAAAAGGAAAGTGCCTTTTTCACATTTCTGAGGAAAAAAATGGTTACCTGGACAGTTATTGAGCCAATTTCATTGGCTAAAAAACTGCCATAATCTGTAGATTGAATATGAAGCTTCAAATCTGAAACAAAATAAAATCTTCAAAGTCTCATAAGTTATTATTATCAAATCTTCAACACCAAATTTAAATAAACCAAACAAAGCAGATTTAACAAACTAATATAAGAACATTTTTTCTTATTTGCTCTTTAAAAATTAAGAAAACTGATATAAATTAAGATAATCTTTTCTTTAAATGTCAGAGCTGGTGTAAAGTCGGTTATTTGCGGCTTCTTCCTTTTTCTTGCGAGATTTTCCACTGTTTCGTTAAGTTTGATCGCTGTGGACCAGATAAGCAAACAAAACAAATGATGATTAAAGAAAATTAAAATGAAAGAAGAAAAAACCTTCAAGTGTTTCACACTGTACAAGATTTGCATAATCAGATTGTGTTAATATTCCTTCTTTAAAACCTCGAATTAATGCTTCTAAATAGCCGTGATCGATATTAAAAAAATATTCTGACATTACTTTGATATTTTTAAAAGACTGAAAAAACTAAAAAATTATTAAAGCCATTGCAACGACTTGAAGTTTTCATTCACATTTAATTTTTGCACTTACAAACCTTTTTTGAACTTTAAAAAATTTTTATATAAATTTTTATATAAAATTTATACTCAGCTGCTGCACTGGACAAAAACTTACACGGTACTTTTCTACAATAACAGACAAATATCACTAGGAAGAATGATAACGAGCGAGCGATCGATCGACCAAACCATAGTCATTGTTTAGAAGGCCACGTTTTAAAAAATGACCTAACCAGTGGTACTAATAAAGAAAAGAGAAAAAAAATCTTGGAGCAAAATCTCATAGCATATGACATTCGATCACAGCCAAAGTCAAGGGTTCACAATCACCAGATTATAAGGTTCAAACCGGGCTCAGCCCGAGCTAATGTCGGAGACAGCCGCACGGCCCGCACTGGGCTCCGAATTGGGTCCACAGGGCCTGCCACAAGACCACACACATTTCGAGCCAAAAACACATCAGCCAAAGCTATAAACTTCAAACAAGTACGTTCAACGATGATTAATAAATAAATATGTTCAATATCAAACCAACAAATCGATTTTTCATCTCCTATCTTTGCCTGAATCAGGACAAATGGCGCGAAATTTGACTATATTTTTTCAGCATTTCTTACGTTTATTCGTTTTTAACGCTCGGCAGTTTTCTGCATGGAAAATAAAAGGTCAAAGGTTGCAGCCGATTCGCGATAATTGAAAATTCATACATTCAATAATATCGATAAACGAGCAAGCAGTTAAATACAGTTCGATACGTTGAGGTTCGACTTGCTTCGCAAATAAATTTTTTTGAGAGAATTATTTGGCGATCGAAACGGCTTAGCGGCGTCAATCGCTTTTAAAGTGTCCTGGAAGGCCGAAAAATACGCGAAGGAAGCCGCTATTTCGATAAAATCGATGATGAATGAACACGACAAGGGAGCCGCCGATCGGTATTTTCGCTATTTTATCGAATAAATAATCGATTGTTGTGCGGCGTAAATACGATTTTCCTTCTGTTATCTAATTAAGATAGAAATTTATGGAATTGTGCGAATTTGATGCGACGAATCCACGCCCTTTCTCCTTCTTCTAGCAGCTTTCACCATTACTGCTTGCACTGGCTCCGCTGGCTGCAGGCAATGGTCGTCACCATTACTGCTTGCACTGGCTCCGCTGGCTGCAGGCAATGGTCGTCACCATTACTGCTTGCACTGGCTCCGCTGGCTGCAGGCAAAGGTCGTCACCATTACTGCTTGCACTGGCTCCGCTGGCTGCAGGCAATGGTCGTCACCATTACTGCTTGCACTGGCTCCGCTGGCTGCAGGCAATGGTCGTCACCATTACTGCTTGCACTGGCTCCGCTGGCTAAGCAAAAGTCCATACTTCACTTATAAGAATCTATAAAATCCAAACTGACCTAAGATATTGAGAAAACAAAGCTCAGTCGAGTAACAGTCGCTCATTATTCCCCATCATAACCGTCGTAACCCCCTTAAATTTATACTCCATTTATACTTGTTAAATCCCTACTCTATTATGAAAATTTTTACAACTGCTTTAAACAAAAAATCTCCGTATTTATAGACCATTAAACTCATAGCTTCGACGTCTGCCATTTGAGTTGTCCAAATCCACATCGTGCTCGCAATCCATGTAATATTTCTCTTCTCACATAATTAATTCACAAAAGCGGTTTCTCCCTCACCTAAAACTCAGTTAGTGTTCTCAGCTAGTGGTGCCGTTCTCACAGTACAGTCTACAGTCTATGTGTAATTACAAGAATTATGTGGCCGTATCCCATTATATTTTTTGGACGTCACAAAAACCGCAGTCCAGTGAGCCATAACAAACCGAGTTAACGATTTTCACGATGGACACGTCAAAGTTCACATTGATTCACAACTGTGTTTGCGTTATTTGTCCAATTGTTGGCTCGTCGGCCAATCCTAAAATGGCGCTTCATCGGCGCTTTGTTTAATTCTCTATTTATTCATTTATTTATTAGTTTTAATTAAATGAATATTATTATTTATTACTATTATTAAACTAAATTTTACTAAGCCTTCTCTAAATCTCTTCATTATTTCCACGGTTTTCAATACTATTTTTATAAATTAAATTACTATTAACATATGTTCTTCATTAATCAAACAGCAGACAACGGTCAGCTGATATCGCCCATCGATTTCTTGCAATAATAATAAGATCGAAAGTTTATTGATATTATTGAATTTGTTGTAAAAATTCGTGTTTTAATTAAAAAAGCTCTTAAATTCTTCTATTTGGGAATATTGTCGAATATGCAAGTACCACTCGAATTTTGTTCTTAGAGATCGATTTATTTCGGTTTGATCGAATAGAGTTTTCCTTTTTGCCGAAGGGAAGGATAACCAGATGGATAGGTTTTGATGAGAAACAAGAGCTCGGCTTCTCCCTCCCCCTCTCCCACCCCCAACAGGAATGTCTCTGCTGCTAAAAAATCCAGTGCTGGCGATCCATCGGTGATTCTTTCGCTCCTTGGCAAAAAAATTCTGAGCCGGCGAGGTTAACCTAATTAGAAACTACATTTATTTTTGATTCCCTCTGACTTATTTGTTTTTATAATTTTTTCAGCAGTTTGCAATTTGATGAAATGAAATACAACGATGATGAATGATTCAGATATAATTCGTGTTTATATACCTAACAGATCACCAAAGAATGTGCGATTTAACATGAAAACAACAGTCAAAGTATGTCCTATTCTATTCTTTTATGCTATAATCGAGGTCATAGGTCAAATTCCAGAATTGTGAAAATTTTAAAATTGTGAAAATAAAATTATCACTAGCAAATAAATTTTGAAGTAGGAGGTATGTTTGTATTCAGTGAATAATTTTGGTATAAAAGTTGCGTTTAATAAATATTGGGGGGCCACCGATATTTCAGTTCTCGAATGAAGTTTTGCTAGAAAATCTTTTCCTTAACGCTGCTTGCTTTCCTCGCTAATATTGGTGAAATTATCATATTTATAATTATATTTGGGATTATTTTTTCCTGGCAATAAAGTTGCCGTCGATTGTTTTCTTTTCTCCAACTCTTCCATCTTATTGTCGTATTATTTATTTTTTCTATAAAGACAACTGTGATCGAGGAAAGTGCCAAAATTTTGTTTAAATTCTATAATTGATCAATAGTATGTGATAAAAATTCAACATTTTTAGCGTATAATAAGTACCGTATTAACAGCATTGGATATTGATAAGGTATCATTCAACAATTATGCTCTACGGCTTGTTGAATCCACGAATAATCAACTGATTTCTGATGAATCATATTGGTTGCACAATGATTATAATATGAATATTATTAAATTATTATATTTCAATAATACAATAAATTCAAAAAAATTCAGGTTTTATTTTTATCAAAAACTAATCTTTTGTCTTCTCTTAACAAGAACTCAGCGATTGCTAATTGGCAAATGGCTAGTGGCTTAAAATATCGTGTTAAGAGACAGGAGTCTGCTCTTTCTTCCCGTACCAGTCAACGTGCTATTAAGAAAATTAGGGTGGTGCAAGGTTTATTTCTATCTAGGAATTCCTCGATAAACAGCCAGTGAAGTTGGCCTAATGAGAAATGGTGAACGCCAGTCATTTACTTTTCATGAAGTTCATCATTTAAATATTTTTCGACCGTTCAGAACAGTGGGGAACAATTCAAATTTAAATTTTTCTTTAAGATTTGAATTACGTTTGCGATTCATTCCAATGAATTTGCAAGAAATGTATCAAACACAAATGGATTCATTCGAATTTCTTTACCATCAGGTTTTCGCTGATTATCTTATGCAGGTTGGTGTATGTACAAATTTCTTTATCACCTAATATACCGATTCTGTTTCCGATTTTAATTTTATTATCAATTTATTTTTAATTTTTGCATTAGCAATAAATTTATTTAAAATAATAGATTTCGTGGAAACTACCAAATGAAACGGTTTTGGAACTAGCTGCTTTGGAGTTGCGAAGAAAATATGGCAGTATTTCTCAGTATATTTTTTTTATTTGTTATTTTTTAGTATTTTTCATATTTTATATTATTGTATTTTTTATCGGTTATTATTAATCTAAGATTCGTTTTCTTGATTATTATTTGTTTGTATTTGTTTACTGTTTATTATTAAGATTTTATTAAGATTTGTTATTTATTATCGTGAGATTATAGAGTGCCAATATAAGTTTTATTTCTATTAATTTGTAAAAATCCGACATCATTAATTGGTTTATTTCGTGTATATATTTTAGTATTTTTATGGTAATCATATCATTAATATTATTTATTTATTTCAGGTGTTCTGTGGAAAAATGTATAAATTATGATGAATTAGAGGCGAATGGTGAATTGTCTCGATTGGTACCTGAATCCGTTATTATTAAGTTAAAGGTAACTTCATTATTTCTATTTTTATTATTTAGGATTTATGAAGATTTATGATTGTGATTTACGAATACATAATCTTATATTTTTTACTCGAAAAATGAAAATTTTGGCAAATTATAAATTGGGCAAATAAATTAAGACAAGGTGAAGTATTTCTCAGTATTCCTTCGTGTTTAGCCAAAATATCTTCGAAAAACTCTAATTTCTGGTGTAAAGAAGAATTTATCGTTATCGCCAACTGAATGTATGTTTCGTTTCATGGAAATTATTTTAAAAGTTACTCAGTTTGATGTGGAAATTTTCAAAGCTTCACTTGGTGTAAGATTTTTCTATTTTTTTAAAATTTAAAAACGTTGAAATTAAAGGTGAAAATAAAAATAAAAGAATTTTTCATACTACCAACTACTTATTTCAACGGTCACTCAAGGTCATTCTTAATTTTAGGCTGGTTGGTCTTCACCGGTCGATCTTATAGTTGGTATGAAAATGAATATATCATATGACACTGCTGATCGTTGTACTGTTAGTTCTCTTTTTTAAGATATTATTTCATTAGATTTTAAATGTTTATTGGACTGTTTTAATTAATATTGATAATATTTAATATTGATAATATTTAACTTTTTATTTAACGTAAAGCGATCGTATTTTTATTATAATTATTGTAATAATTTCATTTGATAATTAGTAATTTTTAATTCGGTCAATTTAATTTAAAAATCAGTAGCGTGTAAATTTGTCTTCTTTATTGATAATTCGTTTTTTATTGCTATTATTCTGATTATTAAATCATTTTTTACAAAAAAATGGACTTAAATGCAGCGATTTTCAGCCATCATTGCTTACCAAGTTGCAGTATATTGTAGATATAAATGTAACGAGACTTAATGAAAATTCGGAAGCTGCTGTTGTTAATTTAAAACTAACAGGAACGCCAGAACCTTTTGTATGTTTGCTCATGCAAATTTACTCATAAAAAATTTCAAACGTTGGGTATGTAAGAATAGGTATTCTTTATCATCACCCAAATTTGGTAGATTTAATGGTAGATTTTCTAACAACGAAAGACCAGTTTACTTCCTCAAAAGATCAAAAATCTTTGATTTAAAAACTCGGATAATTAAAGATAAGATAGTATAATAAATAAATAAATTATGATAGTACTAAATAGTAGGTAGGATATGGGTTTTGTTTATTTTATTATTATCCCACTTATTTTCACTCGTTTTAAGCAGTTTTTAAAAATTTATCTTTCTGATTTTTTTAAAATTTAACATTATTTTTCATGCTGTTACTTTGCCTACTTGGCACCTTGCTGAATCGTTGGCCCATCTTCTAGATGGTTATCAGAATCTTCTATCTCAACAAGGGTCTGTTTGGGTGCCGAAAGGTTCATTGTTATTCTATTCACTGAGTCGGCGATAAGCTGAAAAAATTTTTCGAAAATATTCAATCTTTTCAATAATAACATTTATTTTTTTCTTTATTTTAATGATTCTTCTTATTATTTGAAATCTAAAAATTTGGATTATAAACTCATGAAGCAATTTCAGCATTGCTGTTAGAAAATTCGTTAGCTGATAATTCATTGCAGTCATCATTTGCACTTTGTCCAAAGGCAAACACTGAAGTTTTCGAAAATATTTTGATTAGTGATGAATATAATTTTCTGAATGGTTTGCTTCAAACAGTTTTTATTTTATTACAATTTTTAACAAATTTAGGTTTTAACAAATTTTTAACAAATTTTTCGAATTTGATTTTTAAATTTTTGGTTCTAAATCGCTTCTACAATTGTGTTGATGCATTGTTTTAAGATTAAAATATTTTTTTGGTTTAATTTTTGATTTTGGTTGATAAATTCATTCCATCCAGTTTTCTTCACAAAATATTTATATTTTTAAAAATAATTTTCGAAATTTGATTTTTTCAATTTTTAAATTTCATGATTTTTAAATTGACAGAATTTTTCGTGCTGTTAGCTTGAATTTTTAGTTTTATTGGTCAATAGATTTTTTTGGTACTTTCTCCGACAGCAAAAGTAAACTTTTTTAAATTTTACTAGATTCCAGGTCAAGAAATGCGGATCAATCGTTCAAATGTAATTTTAGAGCAATTACTAGGTGATGGCCAATTTGGAAATGTTTATCGTGGAAGTTATACAAAGAATGTAAATATGAACTTTAAGATAAATATTTAAAGAAGAATTTTTTCTTCTCGTTTTTCAAGAATCAAGAATTTTTCAAGAACTGTTTTCTTGATTTTAAGAGAATAATGATACATGGTCAAATTAAGTCAAATTTTTCATTTATTTGTAATTTCTTCATTCAAAATTTCATTTGTTCTGAGTCAATTCGTGTATCAAATAAAATTCATTCAGGATGGTAGTATATTATCAGTTGCGGTGAAAGTTTGTAAAATTGACAGTGAGCCATCGGAAATGCAGGGTTTTTTAGAAGAAGCACGTATGTTCCCTTTCTTTTCCTTCATTAATTCGAATGAGTTTTTAATTAATGAAATTATTTTTTTCTTTTAAAAGAAGTTTTCATATAAGTTTTCAAGTTTTTCTTTTTAAAGAAGTTTTCAAAAGAAGTTTTCATATAAGTTTTCAAAATATTTTTTGTTTCTTTTTTTTACCGGCTTTTTACTAATTTTTATCTGCCTTAGTTGTAATGAATCGATTTCATCATCCTCATATAGTTAAATTAATCGGTGCTTGCATGGAACTACCAATATGGATTATTATGGAATTGGCTTCCTATGGCGAGGTTTTTTTTTCTAATTTTTTAGAGCATTCTAATCGAAAACGGAAATTTAGCTGCCTCCTTGACTGCTAGTAAGGATGAGATCTTCTTGCCAGAAAGTGATCAAGGGCTAATGAGTCTCCAGAATTTCTTGGGTTTTCATTTCTATAGCGGAAAGCAAGATATCATGGAAGTAAAATGATATTTTTATGATATTTGGCCTCTGTGGAAGTCACTCTTCTATTCTGGTGCTATTATCGCGAATCATAAAGTGTTGTAGGTTAATATTTAGTATTATCAACTATTTATCAAAAATTTATTTTAGCTTCGGCAATATTTGATAAAGAATAGTGTTCTCGTAGACTTCTCGATTCAACTGACATTTAGCGCTCAGTTAAGCTCTGCAATTCTTTATTTACATTCTTGCAATTACGTACATCGTGATATTGCTATTCGAAATGTGCTCGTATCAACCCCACATTGCATAAAACTTTCTGATTTTGGTTTAAGCCGATGTCTCGATCAGGAATCCTTTTATACATGTCAGTTTATGTTCTTTGCTAATAAGATTTGCGATGAATTATTAAGCAGATTAAACTTGCTTTTTTTTCTCATTTTTTGTGGTTGATGATAGACGATATTGATTGCAACTAGAAATCGCTTTAAAATTCTATTTCACATTCTTTTGAAAAAAACCTATAAAATAAATTAATTTTGTAGCAACCAAAGGTAAACTTCCAATAAAATGGATGGCACCAGAGTCAATATGTTATCGACGTTTTAATAAGGCAACAGACGTTTGGATGCTTGGTACCTATACCATATAGATTAAATTTGACTACTAGTTTGTTGTTCTTTTTCTCTTTATTTTCATAGTTTCTCAATTTTTCTTTTTATATACTTCGCTCTAGGCAACAGGCTTCTTAACGAAGGTAATAGTTTGCTCTCTATATCAGAATTTCGAAATATTCCAGGAGTATGCATTTGGGAGATTCTTATGTTTGGAATGAAGCCTTGGAAAAATATACGAAATCATGATGTCTTCGGCTGTTTAGAAAATAATGAGCGACTTCTAATGCCAGATAATTGCCCGCAGCCCCTTTACAATTTGCTGCTGTATGTAATTTTTCTTTAATGATCTGAAAATAATCTGTCTTGAGCAAGCACATGCTGCTTATGAGTCATCTTCATATGTTTATTTTCGAGAGTATTTCATTTTCAGACTTTTAAATATTCGCTTTCAGAAGTATGTGGTCGTTTGATGCGGAAAAGAGGCCAGTGGTACTTGAAGTTAATCATTTTCTTAATTATTTACTGGAACAAATTGATTTACGAGTGCCATATGATCAGCTTAAAGCACCGCTTGAAAAAGTGTTATTTTATTCATAAAGTTTATGGACAGTTTATTTTCTCACTTTTTTCTTTCTTATCTATTTTGATTTTAAAAACAATTTTTTTAAAAAGTTTTCGAATTTTGCATTGATAATTTTGTTAGAATGAAAATTCTCGAATATTTTTTATATTTAAGAAATTGAATGTTTCCACATTGATAAAATATTTTCAGGTATTCATTGGCAAATCGGCAAATAATGTTGGCGATGATAATCATTTCAATAATTTTAAAAATTTCAATTCTCTTGATGTGTGTTTTTTTTCATTGTTTATTACACTTTATAAATGAAATTCTAAAAAAATTTTTCAGATACCTCATGTTTTAAAAGTTGACTCATCATTAATTCCAACGTCAATGCTTTGGAGAACTCTTGAACAACAAAGGATTCAATCCGAACAAGATGGTCGTTGGCTTGAAGAAGAAGAAAAAATGGTAAGATCTTTTATTCATTCATTCATTATTTCAATTTTCCTTATTTCTTAGATTTTTTTCCTATTGATAAAATTATATTTTTCGAATGAAATTTTCATTAAAAATATTTAAAAACATTTAATGTTTTTTGATCGTCCTATTGAATGTTACATAGTTTCCACAGTTAACAACCTCGCTAGCAAGGACATCTGATGAGCTGAATTTATCTGAAAATCAAGTACTCTTAAGTGAATCTGGCAAACTGCCTTATGGATTTGAGTTTGACCGATCATGCGATACCATTCATCAAGCAGTGTTGAAAGTTGTTACAGCTGTATCGAATCTTTCAAAGTCTTATTCTCCAAATATAGCAATGGATCGCTTTGTTTATCTCGTTAAGGTAAAACTGAATTTCAGAAGTTATTTTGGGAATTTTGTTTATTTTATATCCTACTTCACTTATTATAAAGAACATCACAAAAGAATTGGAAAACTTATTTGCTGAATCGTGTCAATGTAAGAAAAAACTGCAACGGTTAGATCAACGGCAAGTGCAACTGGTTGAGACATTGCTTGGTTCGGATATGGGAAATCTAACAAGGACAATGAAAAAGGCATTAAATTCATCAAATACTCGGGTTATCATTAGTGTATTTCTTGAAAAGAAAATGTTTAGTAAAGAGTCATTTTGAAAGGCCAGTCTTATTTAATCTTATTTTCATAGAACTTTTTTTTTTATAGTGTGAAATTCTGAAGTAATCTCTGTGCAGTATGAAAGAAATAACAAAAAACATCTCATGCATTCGTTTGGGAAATATTTTGTATTGAAATATTAAATGTTTGATATTGAAATAAATTTAAATAAATTTAAATAAATTAATAAATATTTTTAAAAAATCCATAGTTTTATACGCTTATATCTTTTATAAATTTAATTTTAGACAGTCAAGCTCAAGTTTTTTCTCAATTTCCTAAATTTTTATCATAATTTATATCAGTTTGAATTTATTTATAAATTTGTAAAACTTTCGTTAATTTTAAATTATATTTCGTTTTACCAATAAAATTTTTCAGGAAGATTATATACTTGCATTTCGCGAAGTTCTTAAAATATCTCATCGTTTAGCATTAAACAGTAAACATTTTCTCGATTCAGTGGACAGTGCACGACTTAGAAACCAAATTGCACATCTTAAAAAAAAAGAAATTTAGGTTTTTCCGGCCTTGATTAATTCGCATTTTTTGATGTATTTTATATGTAATATAGATTTAGATGAAGGACTCAATTTTCATGTATTCAACAATTTTACTTTTTTCAACATTTTTTTTCATAATTTTGTATTCAATTTTTTATATGCTTTTATTTCTTTATTTATTTGTTTCACTGATCCATTGCAATTTCTAATAATATTAACAACCAGTGGAGCAGACGTAACCTGAAATAGTGAGCGATAAGCAGTTACTTACTTTCATAAATTTTGGAAATCTGTTTAACTTTTAATTTTTAATTTTCAAATAAATCCTATGAATGTATATTAGAAAATTATGCACTTGGTTTTTATCTGCTTTTTTTATGTTTCTTTTTATTTCCCATGCTTAGCTAAAAATTTCTCACCTTTTTATGAAGTATTATATTTTTCAGTGATTAATTTTTTTGTCTCTTTATGCAGCTTTCATTAATGAACAATTGAATATAAAATTTGAATATAGAATATAAAATTGCGAAAAAAATTGTTGAAAAAAATAGCGAAATTCTGGAGTATGCAAATTTTTTTGCAACAAAATGGAGAAGTCCCATAGTTACATAACAAAAAAGATAAATAGAGCAGAGCTTAAATAAGTGGAGCTTTGTCGGAGTACATTGTATATATAATTGCAATAATTCATTTCACATTGCGCAAATTTCCATAAATGCCTAATATATTTTTAGTCGTTTTTTTTCACTGTGTTTGTAATATATTTTCTTATGTCTTATGTTTTTTTCTTGATTAAATTGAATGACTTCTGCGGTTATTCAGAAGGTGGGACCTACTCTAATAATTCTCTCACGAAGGATCCTCATTCTAATACCCAGTGAACTCAGCCAGATCAGAAATGATGAGGATGATAGTGGAAGGTGAAGAATTCCTTTTGATAATTTGCCTTTTTTTGCAAATTGTTTGCATTGATCAAAAAGATTCACTGTTATTGAGTAAATTATTGGAGAAAACTGCTGAATTTACTTCTATTAAAAAAACTAATTTAAAAGAAGTGAATCGAGCTAACTGAGAATATTTGCAGTGGCATTCCTTTGCTAGAGAGTCAAGCAGCAAGCAGAAATAAAATTGTGCTTGCAGTATCGCCTAGATCTCACTCTTGCTGACTCCCTTTGCTCCCTTTAAGCAGAATCCATTCGAGTCTGTTAACAATAATATATATTTTTTCCTATGAGTTATTAAAGGTTTAATATTTGTTCATTATTTTAATCTGCCACCAACATAGCATTTCATTCCATATAGAGAATCGAGGCGTTTATCCAGATTTGCAAGAAATTTGAATTTGGCATGGATTATAAAATTTTTCATCATATTCGAACATAATCGCATCGAGAAGCCGTTTCTATTTTTTAATAGCTTGCGCTGTTTTCCGTTTTGCCTGGTTCCACTGACTTCTGCTGTAAAACCTCACTGGACTGATTCTCAGCTTCAAGATGTCTTCGAAATGTCATTTAATCTCATAGTAAAGCAACAAGCCACGTTCGTTCTTTTTATTCAAAGTTCATTTAGCTTGCACATTGAGGAAATTTTCATGAAAATAAACGAAGTTATTCATAATAAAATTCGAAATAAAAAAATACAATAATAAAGCGAATTATTTCATCAGTGATTTTTAAAATGAAAATGCAAAGTGCAATGAATGAAATGAAACGAGTTCTTAGAATGAATGAATGATCTGATCGTTTTTCACTTGTTTTCCGGAATTCTCTGAGAAAAAATTGCTATTATTGATTTAATTTTATACTAATTTTATTTTCTCTAACTGTAATAAAATTTAAGGGAAATCGAGGAGTTTATGAAAATCCAAGGAAGAAAACCAATTTTAAGGATTTTAATCATCAAACTTAGGTCTTAAAAGTTTGCAAAAATTATTCATTCCACTATTGCTCGCATAACAAATTTTCTATAAATTATAAATTTATTTACAAATGTTCATTCGATAAATTAGTTTTTTGCGAATGGATTTGGATGAAACAATGGCTTTTGAGGTGAAATTCATTTTCCCTAATTCAGAAAATGAAACTATTCTGGCAATATTTTCTTATAAAATAGTTTTAAGGATTTAAATGGTCAACCACGAATTACATAATGAAAAACGAATTTTTTACCCATTTTTTGGCCATTTTCAGTAAAAATAAGTGGAGAAATGAAAAGTGGGTGGATCGAAATGATTTCGGTATTTTGTAATGAAATTTAGTTTCGGTGATTTATTTAAAGGGAATTCGGAGATTGCCATCGGTGTTCGATGAATTCTGAGATTTTTCAAATCGTTAAATGAATAGAATTCAATGGTCGGTACACAATCCTCATTAAGGTATTTCAAAGATTCGAGAATCTGCAAAGAGAAAAAAAATTGATTTATTATCGTCAGTCTTAAGTTTGATATAATAGGAAAGGCCAAACAGCGCATAATTAACAAAATTATATTTATATTAATATAATACATCTCAACGACAATCGAAAGCAATCGTCCTAGGCTGACTGCTAGACTGCTAAAACTGAGTCGTTGATTATACTTTCCATAGATACAAATGCAACTGCTTTTAACATTCAAACATTTTTTTATTGGTTAAATAGGTTTTATTATTTATCAGTGAAATATGGAATTTAAATTATGCAAAAAATGATGTGTTTGGATGACATTCACCGTCGCAAACAGGTCTAAGGTGACAACGTTCGTTTTCATTTATTAGTTTTGAAGTGTTGTTCTATGGTTGCCAAGTCAATCTTTTTCTTTTTATTTATTGAAACAAATTTTACTGCAATCCTTTGGCAATCACTTTCCCCAGTATTCTGCAGGGATAATGCACCTTAAATTCCCTGCATTAGATTTATAGTAAAATTCCAAACTGATCCAAAAGAAAATTTATATTTTTGTGTCACCTCCATTAAACAATATTCGTCATTTTTTGTTTGGCTGTTTCCACAAACTAGGAACGAGTATCATTCATCATTAGAACCATTTGAAAGCTGAAGATGTATGCCGTGCATGTGGACTTCACTGATAAAATTTGTTCACACGAAGGAAATTTTTCTTACAATCGACGTATGCCACTCTGCAATGTTCTTATTTTTGCAATGCAAAATTTTGCAATAAGATTTCATTCTCATTAATTCTCATTAAAACTATTTCCATTAACCAATACATTATATTCTCGAATTAACCTTTACAAAAATTTCACTTACATTTCATTATTTTCATCGAATAAGAAAATAAAGGCGATGTTGGAAGGCGAATTGCTGTGATCGTTCTAAACATAGCAGTTTTTTAAAAATTCTTCCTTCGAAATCTGAGATTTTTTCAAACATTATTTTATTCGATTCAGCAAAATTCCGCAAGAATATTGTTCAGAATTTCTCTCTTTCTTTCCTTCTTTCTTTTGCAGATTGTAGAAAAATTTTTTCTCATTTTAAAATCGCTTTATGCCTAATTTATTGCATCTCTTACTGTAATATTTAAAAAGAATCAAATTAGATTTTAGCAAGCTGATAGTGTGTTTTTAATAATCTACTTACTACTCTCGTTCATTATTCATCTTCCAGAAAATTTAATGCTACTGTTTCATGGTTTTTTATTGCTTGCCGGCTTTCTTTTTGCACAGAGATCGCCAGATGATCCATGCGATGATGCGCCAACAGAAGTTGCTCGTATTATTTGCCATCAACTTCGCCAATGGGATGAAAAAGCCAGGGTGATCAACAAAAACATTCTGATTAGTATTGTTAACTGAGCTGGAGAAATCTGAAAAATTAAAGTTGCATGATGGTGCCACCCTAAGGCTACCATATTTTCAGTTTTATAGTAATTATATTATATTACAGTTAATTAAATTCATGAAATTCATTTAAAAATTATAGGCGCAACCACCAGTGTCATCTTTCGCCGCATTTATGCCCGGATTACCAGGTAAAGGCCGAAAAATCGCTGCTGAACTTGCTCCCATGGCTACAAGCCCTTATCAGTGTATGAACCTTGCATGTTTGTGCCCATATTTCAGAGGTTCTTGCTTTAGTGTTCTCGCATTCAATGCATTTTTCTCATATTCAGTAGGGTAATAATGAAGTCTTAATTAATCAGGCCCTATTAACTAATCAATTACAATCAATTACAGTTTTTTTCATCCATTCTCCTTTTAACTGAATATTGCCCTAACTGTTAATCATTGTTTTGCTACTTCATCGAACTTTAATTACGTATCATTTCATCTGATTTGTGTCATATCATCTTTGGCATATTTGGACAACTTATTGTCTAAGTAATAATTTCTTATTTTCACTATTTTTTTACTGTAGAGCAAGATAACCGAGTGAATAGTGGGACTCAGAATCGTATTAAATGGTTCGATTTATCTACTTCCGACAGGAATAAAACTGCCATTAAAATTCAAATAATAGTTCTACCATACCCAACCATATTTCTGCTGCCACTTGAATCCTTAGCAAAAATTTCTATCCGCATAAAGCCAAAGAAGATAGCTAACTAGAATTGTGTCGAGTGCTACTTATTTTTTTATACTTATTTTCATTATAAAACACAAATTCGAATAGCCAGTCCATAAAGAAACTGGGAAAGCAAAAAAGATACTTTTTAAAGTTGGCAGCTTAGTGGAAATGTTTTTTCAATATACCGTTTTGTGTTGAAATCAGGCGTACCATGCTTACGTCAGGAAGGAGTGTTGCAGAACTGCAAGAGCAAAAAGGTCACTTTGGGGTCGTGGAAAAATGGAAAATGGATTCGAATCGGCAGTTTGTTTATTTTATCAACAAATTAACTATCGGTCCATCTATGATCAATGAAATTAATAAGGTAGTTTTGGATCAAAAAACAAGATGATTCGAAGTTTAATAGCATGTCTTTAGCCTGTAGTCCGGTTAACGCTGTAGTGGTTGATTGTATGATTCATTTATAAGAAAGAAATCAAAAGGAAAGCTGAACAAAGGCTAAGGCAGTATGGAAAGATGATAATCGATGAATGGCCCAATGTAGCGATTAAAGCCGGGCGGATCGGGCTCGAAAAGAATGGAGATAGGCGAGTCCCAAAAAATTGCCTTTTTGCTTTAGCAGTTTCGCGACAATTTTACCTGGAGCAGCAACTTGGAATAAGGGTCCGAAAATGCACTAACGATTTTGGCCCTTAAGAAATGTCTCAACTATGTTTCGTAAATTAAGATGTTTTCATGCCGATGTCTTGCGAATGGTAGAATCTTTCAATTTATTCACCCATTTCTTCTAAAATTGTTAAAGTATGCGGAAAAACCATCGTTTACATTCATCGTTTACATTTATTAAAACTAACTAAATTCCCAAAGTAATTAGTAATACTAAAGCAATTTGACGAAGAGGTTCCATCCTAATAGCCACGAAATGAGATCGTCAGAATTAATAAATACTGTAGAAAAAAATCGAAAATAAATTTTTGATTTTCTGGTGATCTGGTGATTTTCTAGACGACAATCCATGTTTGAATTTGCGGAAATCTACTGAAGACTTCTTTTTGAGCTTATTCCATTATTAATCTAGCTGAATGTGCTGGCTAAAATAATAAATGCTCTGCTGAAATCGATGGTTTCAAAGTATCGTAAAAATTCGAATTCGAAACATAAAGTGTTTAGGAAGGGCACAAGCAGATGGATCTTGTATTTTACCTAACGGCTCTCCGCTGAAGAAAGCAGTACGAAAGGAATATAGACTGCTTAGCGATGACGAACGTCGGAGGTTTCATTGGGCTTTACGGCAGCTAAAGCAAAATGGAGAATATGATAAGATGGCACGCATCCATGCTGAGGCGTCGACAAGTGGTGGTGCTCACTCTGGTCCAGCTTTTTTGCCATGGCATCGCGAATTTATGAAAAGGTTATTTAGCATAAATAATTTCCCCAGTCTATAGAGATATAAAAAGATAAGTTGAAAAATAGTTGAAAATAGGAATCAATTACCGAATAGTTAAAATTAGACCCATTAAAATTTCAAATTTCCGGTTAAACTTTTTCATCTTCTGTAGAATGGAAATAGCGATACGACAAATTGATCCAGAGTTATCCCTGCCATACTGGGATTCAGTATTAGATAGTGCGCTGCCTCAACCAAAGGATTCAGTTTTATGGACTGATGAATTGCTCGGAACTACAAATACTCGTGGTTATATAGTTGGAGGGGACTTCAAAGATTTCTCAAGATTCATGGTGAGATTTGCAATAATTGCAGATATAATTAATTAATTATATTTCGGCATTAATAATCGAACCTAACTTACCAGGCATTTTGAAATAACTATATAATTAATTCATTTCATTTCTTGAAAAATAGTTTAGAATAGTTCGCGTTTTATGCGACGTATTGGAGCGCAAGGAACACCATTCCAACAGTCTGAGATCGATTACACCGTAAATCAAGACCGCATAGAAAATGTCCTCGCATTTACAGCACCTCGAATAGTAAGTGGCTTTTAAAAGGAAATTTTGGTGAAAAGAAGAAAAACATAAAAAGAATAACTTCTACTTTATTTTCCAGCTTTTTAACAAATCTGAAAAATTCGCCGAAAATTGTGAAGGATTGTTTCAATGAATTTAAGATGGGCGGAGGTGGAATTAAAGATTTGCGGTAGAAATTCTCCTCCAACTTAAAAAGTCAAGAAAATCACATTTCTTTTCATTTTTGAAAGTAGCGAGGAAACCAGTATTCGTCGTCAATGATTATTTATAGGGTTGTCAGTATCGAGCCAACTATAATGCTTTGGAATACACCCACGGAAGTGTTCATATCTTCGTTGGCGGTGATATGTTTGATCCTTACACCTCTGCTAATGATCCAGCATTCTATTTGCATCACTCATTCGTCGATTATATTTGGGAGATATTCAGGCAACGCAAACAAGTTAATGAATTTTTTTCAATGAATGTTCACATTGTTCAAGCTTTTAACAATATCTACGATGTAGATAATTCGTTGAGAGAAACCATTTTGGTACAATATTTGGAGTGATAGGATGATATTGAAAGGACAGCGTAGAAGAATTCGGGGCAACGTACATTGCTCGAAATTGGTGAATTCAATCACTGGCGTATAACTTTAAAGTTTGAAGAAAATAATTTAAATTTCTGAAAAAAATTAAAAAAACGCATATTTCAGGATTATTCTCAGTAAACAGAATACCTACGAATTCATCCATTTTATTATTTATTCCATATATTTTTGTTCTTTTCCAACGACATTCAGTAATTATTATTAAATTCCAGAATCGTTACAATCGCGAGAAAATTTATCCAATAGATAATCAACTATGCAGTAGTGCACTGCATTTTGGATCTGCTTTTATGAGGCCATTTACTCCGCTTAGAAACGTGGATGGCCTAAGCAATGACTATACCGATAATCTTTACGAATATAATCCAAGGCCTAAATGCAATGATAATTGCGGTTCTTCAAGGTCTTCCTCCTTCTTTAAATTAATTAGTTTTTACCAGAAAAATTGTAGCGTTTTAAAAATATGCTACCTTTTCAAAACTAAAGTTTCGTTATAATTGCTCTCTGATTAATAGATTCTTATTTTGCGATCATTCTCATGGTGCTCCTCGATGTGCATCAAAAGCTCAAATTGGTGGTCGTTGTGATGGATTTCATAATAGTGAAAATGTTTGCTACAATGGCAGATGCATTCGAGGAATTTGCGTTGCATCAGCTGTAAGCAGATTAATTGTTTTTTTCTTTTTTCCCTATTTTTCTAAATATAAAAATTCTTCAAATAAATTATAGCAGCTAATCTTATCTTATTTTTTGTACTTTTACGCAGGAAATGAGCAAAAATTTTAATTTTGCATCAGATTAAATTTTTTTTCAGCAAATTTCTTGCAATAGGTATAAGATTCACCATGTGTCGAAAATTGAATTCAGATCAAAGAAGTAAAAAATGGGCTAAAGTCGAAAGAATCAGCGACGAAAGGATGCTGCCTTCCTTGTCCACTAATAAAAATTTCCGGTTGTAAATTGTATCAACTGATTACACTTATTCACTTGAAATACGATTTCAAGAGGCAAAGATGCCTATTGTACCTATTACTGAAAACCGAGTTAGATTAGAAATGAAAGCAATAGGGAGAAAAGGTTCTTTTTTTATAAAGAAATATTTAGTGTCTTTCTTCCTGCAGTTTATTCCCTTTTTCACGCGGTTTATTCCCTTTTTAATTTTTGCTCCGCAATGAAGTATTTGAGAAATATGCAGTCAGATCCAGACTTAACTAGAACGACCATCTCTCAACACTAAGATATATTTAGAGCTGTACAGTTGCACTGTAATGCACAGTCTTGAGAAAATGGTGGTTGGTCAACCGACTAGTTAACTCATCAGAAAAACTCTTGATTATTTTCTTTGACAAATCAAGGTCGTGAATTTATAAAAATTTAATAAACACTCGAATAACAGATCATCCAGTGTTTTCACTTTATGTTTTAAAAAGCGATTTCCTTAAACTTTTTACTTCCTTTATTTGACTAGAAACCTCTTTTGCTTTTTCCACATTCTAGGCGAATCTTTGATTTGAACCACTGTCGCTTCATTATTTTTGGAAGAAAAATACTTGTACACGCATTATAACTAATATTTCAAAGTGATTAATCTGGTCATTCGATGTAAATTAACGAGAGGATAACTGTGGAACTGAGAAGTGAAGAAAAAGTAAATGATGGAGGATCATCGATACGAATGAGCTTTCGAATAATCATCAATGTTAAATGAATAAAAGTGCTAAATGAAAAATTTTGAAATATTTCGAAATGCTCATTTAAGTATTTCAGAGACCGATTACTCAATCGCCTCAAATAATTGAAGTTCCAACTCAAGCGCCAATTTTGTCGATCGAAGCGAATTGTTATAATGAGCATGAATGCTGTGCATTCTGGAGTTCAAAGGGAGAATGCACTCGTAATGCTGCATATATGAAAGAATGGTGCAAAGCATCTTGCAGGCAGTGCAGGCCTGATTATGACATAAACGCAGGTAAACTTTAAATCTTTTTTAACCAAAAGCAGTTATATAATTGAGCAACTGATTTACGCAACGAAATTGAATAGAATGTGCTGATCGCCATGCGCAATGCATGGTTTGGTCAAGAAGTGGAGAATGTCGACGTAATCGCTTGTGGATGTCAGAGAATTGCCGACGAAGTTGCAATTTTTGCCGAATGACTCGAGCTCAGATTTGTGGTGGTGGACATAATATAATGCAAACCACGAGATGTATGATTTTTATTATTTGATCCTATAATTTTAGTTATTTTCAAAAATTTGTAATTTTAATCATTTTATTTCAATTATATTTAATTAAATTATATTATGTAGTTTTAATTATTATTATTATTGTTTATAAAATGAATTTTTTACCAATCTTTCGCAAAAGAAAATGCAATCCACTAGATTTTTGATGTTTTTCGTTAAAAAAATGAATAAATAAATAAATCGAAAGAAAAAAAGATAAAAACTGAATTAAAAAAATTTTTATCGTAATTATTTCCAAAATTATGCGAAATTAATTTCCCATATGTTAATGAAATCTTTTAGCAATTACTACAAGTACAGCTATATCTTCAAAGAACCATTGTGCTTCACCTGGATGTTATAATGAGAATGTATGTTGCCCGTTATGGGGACTACAGGGTCAGTGCTCGGAAAGCCCGGAATTCATGGCTTGTAATTGTAAAGTTAGCTGCGGACGATGCATACCAACTGATTATAATTATGGAAGTGAATTTCTCGATTATTATCATTCTAAAATCATTTTAAAATTTTAACTATTCGCTACAAAACTGTCGACGGAGCTCAGAGATATCTAAAAAAAAAAAAATTGAAGCATGTGATGATTATCATCGAAGCTGTCGTCAATGGGCTGCTCGTGGCGAATGTAATAGGAATGCATGGATGCTTGAGAATTGCCGTCGGTCGTGTCGATCATGTATGGATGAATGGGAATTAAGAATTCGTTGTCGTATTGATGGTTCCATATGGGGTGGACGGTTCGGCGATGATTCCGGTGAACCTGATTATTTCTGGAGTTTATCATAATTTTCCTGAATCACATCGTTCTCTGTGAATTTTATTTTCTGCCACTGTATCTACTATAGGTATAAATTTTTTTTTTCGTTTCGTCTAGTTTAATTAATAATAATAATAATTGTGCATATGGTTTTCAAAATATCTGTTTTTAACAATTTAACTGAAATTTTTATAATTTTTTACTGCAATTATTAATAATGTTTTTAAGTTTTCGTTTACAAATGCATATTTTGCAATTTAATTTCAAGAAAAGGAAAAGCTCGAGTCTAGCACCTATCTTAATAGAAAATTTTTCACTGAATGTTGCATATCAAAAATTCACAAATCTAAAAAGCCTACAAAAACTAAGTCGAAGGAAATAACATTTAGCTGGATGTTTAAAGGAATGGGAAGAACTGGCTTTCATATAATTTTTGGTTATTCTCTATGATAATTTTTTCATTTATCCAACTTTGATCAGCGAAATTTCGTTATTTTTACTGCCTTTCAGGTTTTCTTCTGAAAATTTCAGACTAAATTTCACTGTTGATTGTCTGAGTTCGATAGCTTAGCAATGTGTTATATCATTTCCTGCATATTGTGCGCCTTATTCAACGTTCCTTTAATTTTATTCTTTTCAGAGCATTAATTTTCAGAACATTAAAATTGCACTTGGATGAATTTTTTTGTTTGATAATTCTAATATTGCATTGTGATTAAATTGCAGTTTTGAATCTAATGATGAGATAAATTTGTGATTTAAAGAAATTCTTTGAAAAAAATCAAAAAATATTTATAAATTTGCAAACCTTCGAAAAAATTTGTGGAACCCATGTAAAAACCATTTTGATTCATTAAAACTTTTTCATTCAGCTTTAATTAACCACATTTAGATGACTATGCGTATGTGTACGTGTATATGTATGCGTAGGTATATGGAGGTATATGATATATGTATGTGCATGTATGAATGTATATGTGTAATGAATATGTATTTACGTAAGTATGTGCATGTCGACCACTTCCGCGCTAGGACATACTAGTAGGAAGTGTTAATTGGTTATCGAAAGCAACTGTCCAACTGTCAAAAAAAGCTGCCAAAGCATGAATGTCAGGATATAATTACTATCGCATGTTTCGAAGAATTACAATGATAACATAACAGAAAGATGGTACAGAAATCACTATTGGAGCGAGATGGTCTTGAAAATGGCGGCTCGATTAGGCGATAACAGGAAACTATTCCGCCTTCTTCATAAAGCAACTATAACTCGGGGAACGATCAAATGGTAAGGGACAGCTATGGCGTGACTGTCAAGAGTATTAAGAATCACTTCATAAGATGGAAGGAATTCTTTGAGGCCAAAGATGCGCCATCTGTTGACCCTGATATAGCTGATACGTTCATCGAACCATACAGTTGCAATTGCGAGCAGCCAACAGAAGAAGAAATAATCTTTGTTATCAATAAGCTTAGGGCCAATCAGGAGATTGTCTCCGTGCTGAACTCTTCATATGTCATCGTTTTTCATAACGAATGTACACATTCAACAAATGTACTCTTTGGTATGGAAAAAATAAATATTAGCAAATGATTGGAGCAAAGCAATTCTGCTTCCAGTTCTCAAGAAAAGTGATAGGACATACTGCGAATCGAGGAATCAGCCTATGACGTCTTAACGATCTTAATCTTATTTTATTTTAATCTTATTAATTTTAAGCGAAAATTTTTCCCTGCTACTTAACAGATTTATGGAAGAATGAGATAGCAGGATGCGCTCTAATTAAGCTGGTTTCAGACCAGGGCGCGGTTGTGCTGACCAGATATTCACGTTAAGAAGGATGTACATCGCTTTAGATATTTGCAACCCATTGCCACGTGTTTCATCGATTTTGATTCAATTCATAGAGCGGCGCTTTGGAGGGTGATGGAACGCGACAGTGTTCCAGAAAAAATCATTCGGCTCATGAAAGGATTTTATCAGTATACCCTGGCGTAAATCTATATGAGATGATATGAGGAACTGACAGACTCCATCGAAATAAGAACTGATATCCGTAAGGGCTATCTCCTTTCCCCTACAGTATTCAACTATGACTGGATAATAGACACCGCTTGTCGGCACACTCAAGAGGTGTCCAAATCAATCCAGAGCATCGTATCACAGATCTTGAATACGCTGATGATGTAGTCCTTTTTGCTGACAGTTATGATGAAATGCAAATAATGCAAAATAACGTGTCAACTGCAGCGAGAATCGGACTCAGGATCAATGAAGATAAAACGGAAGTCTTTTCGTCTTATGTGCAAAATAAAATGCCTCTTTTTGTGAATTCATTGCCGATTGAGGAAGTGCCCGATTTTAAATACCTTGGGTCCACTCGAATACCAAATGGACAGGCAAAAGATGATATTACAGCTCAGATCATGGCAGCTAGAAATGCGTTTTTCCGGTTGACGAAAACTTTATAGAGTTGTCGTGAAATCACCATAAAAACGAAAGTCCGCATCTATATAACCGTGATCGGTTCGATCTTACTATATGGTTCTGAGACATGGCCAGTGAGAGTGAAGGATAATAGGAAGTTATCTGCCCCTTTGACCCCCCTTGTCTAGGGTATATTACGGATCCGTCGAGCAGATAAGATATCTCATGATCGCATCCACCTTTATTCAGATACTACTTGCACAAATGATATTTTTTTTTTATTATATCTCTAAACTTATCTTTTTAAATTTAATTTAATTATTTTTATCTTTTGACTTTTTACCTTTGACAGGAGTAAACCTGTCATGATGTCAAAAATCCGGGTGATTGCTGGGGACCCACCTGTATCTCTATCCCCAAGTGACTCTATGGTGAAAGGGACAGGTCTCTTCGACGTCCCATCTCCCGATACATGTTATTTCTGACCCGGTGGTACATGCGATGAATATACAATCCGGGGGCTATAATAATAATAATGATAATAATAATAATAGTAATTAATAATAATGATAATAATAATAAATAATAATAATGCAATAATAATAATTAATAATAACAATAATAAGAGTCCAAGGCGCAAACAAAGAATTTGCTCGCGAACCGAAATAAGTACTCAAAATCCGTCAAGGGGGGAATCTATTCGTTAACACTTTGTAAGCGCGGTGGGATGTTGGCTATAGCTAGCTTGGAACGTCAGAACGCTTATGGATGTTGCAAGCCAAGCGATCACTAACCTCTCTAAACATCGCGTGGATGTGGCTTGTTTGTCGGAGATCCGTCTTCCTCCGGCTCCCGAGTAATTATTAAATCTGGTTCCGAGCAAAGGTATTGGCTATATCACAATTATGCCTCGGATAACTCGGGGCGAAATGGCGTAATGATTGTTATGTCTGAAAAGGCTCAATCCGCTGTGATTGAATGGAAACCAGTAAATAACCGTATGGCCTACGCGCGTTTCAAAGAAAGTTCTGCAATATTTCAGTCATCAGTGTATATATTGCAACTTTATGCGCAGATGACCGTGATAAGTTCTATGCCAAATTTCAGTTGTTAACATCCCTACCGAGATGTGACATGGTCATACTCGGGGGAGACTGAAATGCGCGCGTAGGTCATGATGGCGTCTCGATGAACTCGGTGATTGGCAAATATGGCATCGGTGTCCAATGCGCCAATAGAGAAAGCCTTTTTCGTTTTGAAGAACATGAAATCTTTGTTACTAATATATGCTTTCGGCATCAGAGGAAACTTCTGTTTACGTGGAACTCTCCAGACTACTAATATTCCGATCAAATTGACTGTATTAAGTCAACGTCACCGCTGGGAAAGTTCTGTGCCTGATGGTCATTCTTATCGCTGTAACTGGTAACCGCCAAGGATCAGACCATGTTATAGTTCGAGCCAAGATTCGTATAAAACTGACAAGTCGTAAGAAACAACGTATCCCAAGATCTTTCAATTATCTCAAATTAAAAAATTCGGGAACGATAAACGCATTTCAAACTGCATTATTGAAACACCTCAGTGAAATGAATCTCAATGACATCTCTGGAACGGCGAATGAATGCTGGTCTCAACGAAAGACATGCCTACAAAAGTCAGCCACTTCCACATTAGGGTATGGTAGTAAGAAGTGCGCTAGTTGGGTGTCGGAAGCAACTGTCCCACTGTCTAAAAAAGCTGCCAAAGCCCGAATATTAGGAGATCCTGACTATCGCGTGCTTCGAAGAATTACAACGACAGCAGGATGGCGGGACAGAAATAAATATTGGAGCGATATGGCCTTGAGAATGGAGTCGGCGGCTCGGATAGGTGATAATAGGAAACTGTTTCGTCTTCTCCGCAAAGCAACTATTACTCGAAAAGGGGTGAGTGAAGTGGTACGGGATATTAATGGGGTGCCTATTAAAGCTCAAGGATCGCCTCAGAAGATGGAAAGAATTTTTTGAGACCAAACTTAACCACAATGAACCATCTATTGTCCCGAATGCAACTGATCTGCCCGTCGAGCCTTACGTTTGCAAATGTGAGCCGCCAACAGAAGAGAAAATACTTTCCGCAATCCATAAGCTTAAGGTTAATAAAACTCCGGAGATGATGGTCTTCTTTAAATGTTGTCTATCATCGTTCATAACTCACCTTCAACAAATATATTCTCTGGTATGGCAAAAGAAAATACAGAAGACTGGAACAAAGCAATTCTGCTTTCCATTCCTAAGAAAGATGATAGGATGTATTGCGACAATTACCGAGGAATAAGCTTACTGGACATCTCCGGAAAAAACTTCCCTTCTGCTAAATAGACTCATGACAACACGAGATAGCAGAAACAATATTCAGCTATGAAAAATTCCGATAGACTGGATAGTGGGCATCGCTTTTCGACTCAAGAAGTGTGCAAATCAGAACGTAGCATCATAGACCTAGAATACACTGATGATGTAGTTCTTTTTGGTGATGAGGAAACGCAAATAAACTATGTGTTAAACTATGTGTCAACAAATACAGCGAGAATTGGACTCAAAATCAATCAATGTAAAT